CCCCCCAACTCAAACACACATTTTCAGATTTGGGGGTCGGGGAAACGAGCTTACCAGGGTTCCCTGTCGCGCCACGTTGCAAGACGAGGGGAGAGAGTGTGAGGGGGGAGCGAAGGAAATTTACAGAAAATCAAATACAAGAGAATGTATTACACAGTGCCCATACGGTCGGTAACTTTCTACCTCGGTAACTTTCCGAGCCCGTCCGTCTGTCTCGGCGTTCTGCTTTCCATGGTCATCGTACACACTTGACAGGTTCTGCACTTTTCGTGACAGCCAAACAAAGGTGTGTCGCAAACATTGGCGGGGTTAGCCCCATCCGCCCTTCGTTCAGAATCCTCTCTTGTACGTGGAGGAGTCGGCTGACCAAGGCAAAGGATCTGAATGAACTTGGAATTTGTCCCCATGTAGGGCTGAGCAATGCTTGACCGCCGAAAGCCGACGGCCAACAGGATTGTTGAAGCTGGCCTTGACCAACAAACGCACCACCGGCTAAAACGCTAGCTGCCAGCCGACCACCTTGTCGGGGCCGTCGCCATCAAATCATTGCGACAAGTCCGAATCTTGCGATCCGACGTTTGCAGCCGCGAACAGGGGGGTACTCTCTCGCCTCTCCCAAGTTCCTGGGTTCAGGTTCAACTTTGAGGAAGCGAATGGCGAGGGGCTGGAGGAAACTGCGAACCAAAAAATGCACAACAAAACAATCTACGCTACTCTACTACACCTGCGCAAGAAGGCCCCAATAAGTAACACAACCGCGGAAGCGGAAGCTACGTGCCCGTGGATTTGGGGGCCAGAGGGCAGCGTTCAAGATCAACCAGTTTCTCCATGGTTGCGAAGTATTTGATAGATTTAGCCCTCGTCCAAGTACTTGTGCGGTCAAGCCCTTTCGATGTGATTATCCCGCAGGGCCCGGCGGCTCCTTCGGCAGACTTGGGACTTTTTTTTTGGTCTTTCGCGGGTAATCTCATCGCCATCTTGCTTTGCGCCCCCTCCAAGTTTCCCTTCGCTCACGGACCGCCGAGCAGCAAGGGAAGGTTGATCAGCGAATGACCGTAGCATGTCACTGGTTGCTTGTCGATCGGCTTGTCCGGGTGGCCGCGTTACCGGCTCGTTAGCGTCGGGGCCGGGCCGTCGATGTATGCATGGGGGGATTATGGCGATGCGTTGGCACAATCTCGGGGTGCAGCACTGCAGCATCAGCGCTCGTCTGTTCGCACCGCATCGCCTGATTCGGATCGGTTTCACCAGCCATCCAATTCGGACGGACCAACGTACCTCTGCTTGCTGCTGTTGTTGCTGCCGGCAACAGGGCCGCAAGCGGCTCGGGTCAGACATTTTTTTTTTGGTCCCGCGGGATCATTTGATCGTTGGATCCCAGCCGGCTGGCCGAATCGGTCATTCAGCGGCACAGAAAACAGGAACCCATCCTGGCGACACTTCACAAAAAGGAGGGTTTTCCAGCCGTGTCAGCACGGTATGGCGGTTTATTATTGCAGCACGAGTCCGGTACCACCAGCCGCGAGCGAGCGCGCGCGTGCGCATCACCGTACCAAAAGACACAGGTGTCGTTGGCCCAAAACCAGCAATCCGGGCAAAACAGCGGTGAGACTCCCCCGCCCGCCTCCTGCGCATCGTCAACTTGGTTTTGATAGGCATGTTTGGGTCCGACCCCAAATTGGGACCATCGTCCTCGAAACCTGCTTTATCACTTTTTTTTGGTTCTTGTTTTTCTTTTGGTTTTGGTCTGGTTTTGTGATCAGTGCACAGCGAGGACGAAAAGCTTGGGTGTGTTCATTTTTGGGGTGGTATCCTGTTTCGTTTTTGAATCAGTGTGGATGGACGGATGGTTTCGCCAGACGGAACACCACAGGACCAGTCCAGATGGTGGGGGCCGCCGGGACATTCAGTGGCTCGGTTCGGTCTGCCGCAGGACGCACAGCACGCCCGACAGAGGTTTTGTCACGGGACGATCCAACGGTCAGGCAATCCCAGTTTGACGGGCACGCCGCCTCCGGTCTGACCTCCAGCGGCCCAACGGACGGCCGCCATGTTAAAAAAGCCCGCTGGAAGCCGCCCAATGGCTCTGCTGGGGTCGCACCACACCTGTGTTTCGAGCCAATAAGAGGCGCCACCACTATTATCCAGTGCACTGTAACACCGTGAAGCGTACCGAGACGTGCCGCCCCAACAATGTGGGATCTGACAGTTCCCGTCCTCCCGCAGCGAGGACAGACGGGAAACAAGTCTTGTGAGACCCTTGGACGCACATCATCAAACCCGCTCTCGGGCTGCGGTTCGTACGCCGGAAAGCCAGTCTAGACAAATGAAAATGAAGCAAAGAAGAGAAAAGGGGAGGACAAGACGGGTCTGACACGGTGAGAAGCGGGTCTGTGGTCGTTTTCCCCCAAAACCTCCCCAGAAACTGAGCAGCGGGTAACTGCTTCCACAGCTGCTCCAGGTTGCATGGGGTTTGTCAAGGTCAAACAAACGACGGCCGGGACTTGATGGAAACAGACGCCGCATGCAGTGGTCCGCAGCGTGCGCGCCGCAGCAAAGGCAGGTCCAGTGATCCCGTCACAAGGTCCAAAAAAGAGGCGGCCGGACGGGAAGGGATGGGAAGGGTATCCCCTCGCATCCCGGAGCCGTGCCGCCCGTTTCTCTCCCCTCTGTTCATGTCCCTGCCGACGAACGAGCAACCAAAGCAAGGCAATGGGAAACCAACTTTTAACCACGCAATCAAAGAAGCAGGAGAGCTCACCGAGCGGGCGAACCGGGCCCCCTCCCCTCTCCTTACATGCGCAGCGGGCAGCCGACCAGCCAACGATGGAACCAGCCCGTCAGCCAGCCCACACCCGCAGCAAGCCTATTGCCGTTCTGCTCGTCTTGCAGCCGCTGCGACATGCCGCCGCGGCAGCGAGCTTTTGCCCCGTCTGCGGGATTTGGGGGCGAGACCTGGCGGACCAGGACAGGGTCAGGACAGCCCGGCCGGACGATGTGCTTGCCGGCCGGCACCGAAAGGCGTACGCGAGAAAAGGGCGCGGACTAAGGTTCTTGTCACGAACGCTCGCAGACCTCCACATCAGGTAGCCACATCAATAAAGCATGGCTGCCCTACTCGGACATCTCGCCGTGCCTGCCGGGACGAATGGGACTAATTTACGAAGTACTTGGGAAAAAAGTTTTTTTTTCTTACCCCTCGTTTTGTGAGCTCCTTCGCTTCGAGTTGTGCCTATGGGCGTACCGTGTGAGACAATTACGCGGGCCGCCAAGACGACGCAGAATTCGGCTGTGTTACCATCCATGAGGTCGGAGGTACCTTGTGTGTTTCGTACCTTCCTTCATACACCGCTGTGTACTGTATGTACATACCTAGCCAATTTATGGCATATGAAATTGTCAAGCGAAGTCACGTATGGGGATGTATTCGTACAGTAACTTTGCACCAACTTGGAACTTCGAAGCGAACAGTTTCGCAACAACCCAAACACTGAGGATTGTTTGAAGCCCCTCCTCAACACCCCCTTTATGAGCTCCGCCACCCAAAAGGAAGACGAAGGGTGTCTTCTCTTTCCTGACCAGTGGTAGCTGGCTGTGAGACTGCGGACCGAGAGGCGGGGTCGTGCATTTTCCCTTCCCATGGGATCGCCCGACGCGCGATCGAGCGCTCGTACCCCGTTTTGGCAGGCCACATCTTCCCACCCCTCCCTTCTTTGAGGTCTGCACCTATTTGACCCCCCCCTTCCTACTCATGTCCCCCACCAATGTCCACAAAGAGATACAAAAGCGAGGTGCGAAATCGATACACGGGAGGAGACGTCGTCTTTTGCAGGACGACGGCGCCGTTGACTACCTCTCGAGGCCAAGTGCCGGAAATGGCGTGCTAAATCGGGCATCCAGATCGGGCTTACCCAACCTCGAGGCACATTCAGAGTGTTGATGAGAAGGTGGTCCTTTTGCTCCGGCTTTTTTTGTGTCCATTTGAGGGGTTGAAATGTGGGAGGTGGGCTTGGACAGGGAACCAGGACCGACCCAAAGATCGGAAATCACCCAAAGCCTCCGCTGCGTCCTTGGTCCCTTTTCCCCCTTCCTTTTCTTCTTTCACGGCTTGTTGGTTCGAGCCCATCTGGACGATCCTCCTCGACTTCTCATTGGGCTCCCGAGTCCCGGACCTTTCCTCCCTGCCCGGGTCAATTGATGGATGGACGTCTCTAGTTGCATTGTCACTGACCCTTGTTGACCCCCCAATTACAATGCTTCCTACCCCTCCTCCAGTCCTCTCGTCCCGCTCCCGCTCCCGCCCTTGCCCGTCCGTTTCGCGGGTGGTTGGTACGCTGTGAAGCAACCCCTTTGGGTGTCCTTTTTCCTTCTCACATTTTCGCCTCTGATCTTCACATTTTTGGGGGTTGTGTTGTGATTTTGCTCTTGCGACCTGAGCTCCGAAGACAGTGTGTGCGAGTGATTTAATGTGATTGGTACGGTACGTGTATGGGCGTTCTTTCCGTATTACATTCCGTTAACGGAAATGGACTTTGTAATACCCGCAGTTTCGTCATCCCATCCCAAACTGGGCCAAAAAGACTGAAAACTACAATGTATTATCACGAGGCACAGCCAATTCTGAAAACTCTCCGTTCAGCCTTATTAGGCGGTATGGGCACTTTTCGCTGACTTTGAAGTCTTGCGATTATCATTTTCACACGTGTCGCCTTGAGTCATTCGTTTTAAGGCACCGCCATGGTTATCTACACTACGTTGGGTTGAAAGTAGCCGAGATGTTTCCGCGAGGCTGATCCGCAAAATCATGTGTAGACAGAAAGAAATCGAGATAAATAAGACTTTCAAAGAACCCCATCTACGGGCTTATTTTCTCTTTCAACGTTTCATAACCACTACATCCCCGGAATCAAATCACACAGAAATCAACACAGCTAGCAAACAAGAGACTTAGCCTCTTACCACACACACCCTCAGCCTTGCACGCAGCGTCATCCAAGAAAATGTCCGGCACCGATTCGCACGGCCACCACGGCCACCATCATCACCACCACTATGGCGCCGGAGCTTCCGCGTCAGGACATAACAAAGATTACTTCAAGTAAGTTGATACAATGATGCCTTCCCAGCGTCAAACCGAGAACGGGCCTATGGGAGGACAACGCATGGCCTCCAATAAGACACGCTGCTTGTAATGGCTAGTCCATATGAACATGAAAGTTGACAGCATGGTGTACAGCGAGCTCGCATCGACCTATGACAGCAGGCATGGGAAAACCCTGGATAAGCTAGTCGAGGAAATTCGAGCGAGGGTCGATTTCCTCGGCGTCGACTGGGCCGATGATGACGATGAGGGTGATGACGACGGTAATAACGACAAGGAGCGAGAGGAGAAGAAGAAGGCGGAGAGTGCTGAAGCTGCCGAAAAAAAGACCGTGAGGCTGTTGGATTATGCTTGTGGGACTGGTGTCGGTGAGTGTCTCCTTTTTTCTTGTTTATTTTGTATACCTCTTTTTGTTAGGATCTGGGTGATCGAGTATCATGGTTACGGAGAGATCCAAGGGCTAGACTCCCTGGCTCCGTTTACATTTTACTTGTTTAGGGATTGGATATGGGTTCCTGGCCGTGATGTATTGTTGCTAACTGTTCACAGTATCGAGGGCAAGTCTTTCCCAATCGAATCTAGAATATGAACTGATTCGGGCTTTCCATCTCGTTATAGAAGTCAACCCATTAATTCTAACATATTTATTACAGGCGCTTGCCCCCTATACAACACAATGCGTTGGGATTGATCTTTCAGAGAACATGGTACACCTCCCCTTATCTAGGCACTCATCAAGCAAAGCTAACAAGCACAAGGTGGCGACGTACAACGCCCGCGCCGAAAACCAGGTGTGTTTATCAACCTTGCCTGGAACCTTTCGTCAGGATTGGAACTGACCACAAGAACGTCAGGGCCTCACTGCGTCCGAAATGCACGCCTATCAAGGGAATCTCTGCGTTCCTGAGGATCCCAACCCAGCGTTACTCGCCTCGCCAGAGTTCACCAACTTCGATATCGCGGCCGTTGGCCTGGGGTTCCACCATTTTGATGACCCAAAATTGGCGGCTCGCCGGCTTGCGGAGCGGCTCAAGGTCGGTGGTGTGTTGATGATTCTGGATTTCTTGCCGCATGAGAAAGCAGATGTGAGTACAAAACAGCCTTCTACTCTCCCCCTTACCCATCTTTACCCCAAATTTCTTCACTTCAAGAGCTCCCCATAGCACTTCTACGGCGGTAAGTTAACATGGAGATGGTTAGGCGTCACACCCGGCAGCGTCGACTATTACCCACCATGGCTTCACCGAGGACCACATCCGGCAGATCTACGAGGAGGCAGGCATGGGGAAGGACTTTGCTCTGCAGGAGATGGCCGTGGTATTCCACTTTTCAAGAGAGACTGAGACTGAAGTTAAGCGGCGCCTTTTCCTGGCGCGTGGGACCAAGGCGTGACTAGGCGGCGATGGAAGGAATGTTTGGTATTCTCATTTGTAAATGGGGAAGATAGAAAGGTGCTCTCCTTTATTTAAACTCGAGTTGGAAATTGAGACTTCATATTGCCTTATTGATTACTGTTAGGTGGCAGTACCCCTTACTGTGTAAATGAATGTAAACTTGGTAAACTAGTGTAATGATTCCACCCGGTTCAACATTCGATAGGGAGAGCCCCTGAAATCTGTTCTAGCCCCCTGTCTCAGTGAACGGGAGATCGGAGCGACAATACACTAAACACTCACTAACGTTAACTCCTAAGGGATCGCCAAACCGTTAACGGCGGGGAGACGCCAGGCCGGACGGCTTAGCGCTGACCTGGGTCTTGAAGTCTGAGTCTAACGCGATCATCACCCTTCTTGTATCCACACTTTGTGCTACGTGTCTCGGGTTTGTTGGGCATGTTAACATTCCCGCCATCATAAATGACTTGTACATTTATTTGCTCTACTATCTATCGATGAGATGGGACATCAGACGTAGTCTCACTGCTTCACTCTTTGCTGCGCTTCTGTTAGGCATTCCGTTAGCAATGCGGGATTCCGAGGAAAGAGATCGTGAGGACGTGAAACATTCCTGGGGAAACGGGTTAGTCGGAGACACTAGCTTACCTGGGATGTCCACGACGAAGGCACCACCGAGAAGGATGGCCGGCTCGTCAATATTATGATGTTCATAACTGAGCACGGTGGGTTAGTACACCTTGTCCATACCATGTACAAAAGCCACTATATGGTTGTGACGATACCAAATCACTCGCAGATCAGATAGCAGGTGTTGTCTTACCTCAACGTACCGACGCCGCCAGCTTCGAGAAGGAAGCTTGGCCCTGCGTGAAGAGACTGGTTTGCCCAGCGCTGGGCAAAGGCCCGGAGGATGTGACCGTGAGCAACAATCAAAACGTCGCCGGTCGCATTGCTGTCGGTGTTCTTTTCCTTCCCAAAGACGGGAGCGTGCCACCTTTCACGAATGTCTTGAATCAGCCGGTCGAGACGTTCGGAGATATCAGTTGGGCTCCTAAGGACCGGGGATGGTGTGTTAGAGGGTCTCGCTTTCTCACAGTTACACAAGAAGACGGGGTAAGGATGTTGAAAACGGTGAGACATACTCCCCGCCTGGGCAACCATCTCTCCAAATGTCCCAATTAGGGTCCAGATCTTGTTGTTTCCGCAACTCCTTGATCTGGTGCGTTGTGATGCCCTCATAATCACCGTAATCCCACTCCCGGATGTCTTCGGTGATCTCAACCTCGACTTCGCACTGCTGGCCTTCGCAAAATGTTTCGCCATGGGCCTGCCAAGGTAGCTGGTCCTTGGTCGCAACGTTGAGTAGCTCTAGGGTACGTTGCGCCCGCCGTCTTGGTGATACATAGCTGTACAAGGGAGAAACCGTGCGTTAGTTTTGACACACAGACAGACACACCCTGTCCCGTTTTCTCCGGAGCTTGTTCCACGCGTTCCTGGTAACACTTCCTGCGCTGCTGAACCAGCTCGAGCGCCTCGTCTGATTCTAGGGTCCCCGGCAGATCGACAAGGTCATCTGACGGCCCGGTCCATGGAAATTTGACGCCGCGGCCGTGCCCCGAATCACATTCCCATTCCGTTGTTCCCTTTACCCCCTCCCCTGGCATAACTAACGCGACCCCATATCCAGAACTAACCCATGCTCTGGAACAAACCAAACGGGCCCCTTGCGAAAAACGGTCTCTCGCATGTGACGACAGATGGGATGGTGCAGGAAGAACACTGCGCGTGCGTACACACAAGCAAAAAAGTGACGAAAAACCACAAAAACGAACACGACGGAACCAACGAACTCACATATGCGCCAACTTGCTGGGGGCAATTAGGCGGTCATTCCCCACTAGGGCCTTACCCGTGGCCAACACGCGTTTCTCACCGGTGGCCGTGAGCGGTATGTCCGTGGACCCGGTGTGACGACCATTGAGCGACCATTCGGTCTCTCCGTGACGGACGATGAACACGCGGGGGGTTGCCATGATGAAAACAACCAAAAAATATCGCAAATGCTTGGGCGCGAAAAAGTCAGCGAGAAATACTGGTAAAACCGTAAACTCAAAATATCGAAATTGGCCAAGATGGGTGGTGGTGGGTTGGCGTCTGAAGGTAAGGTTACACCAACGCCGAGACTTGAGACAAGGAGGTTGTCCTAAGTTTACAATGGGTGGCCGGGTTGCTGGTCAGGCTGTTAGAAGAAGGGGCCGGGCCAAAAGTTCCTGAGACTGGCCGTCAAATCCGGCCAGGGCCATGGAAGCTTCAATGCAGGTCGGCGGGTGGTGGGTGTTTGTGTTGACGGGTATTAAGAGAAGAGATCGTGCCCGCTGACCTGAACGGTTCGTTGGGTTGGTGGTGCGTGGGAGGTTGTTGGCCTCCCCTCTCTTTGTTTTCCGAGTTGAGACCTGGACCTCGTTGCCGGGCGCAGAGAAGTGGATGACTGACCTCACGGCCCTCAAGAAACAATGAATTACACGGGGGTTGCCTGAGAAACTTGCTTACCTCTTCTCGCTGATAGACTTCTGGAAAGCGAATCAAGCTTATGGAAATTGATGGTCTCGCGACAGAAAAAGGGACCAAACCCACACGAAACGGCCACGGTTTTGGAGGCTGCAGAAGCTGGTTCAATACTTATACCCAGCTCGATGCACCACGCCGAGTCTTCCTCAGATCATCACCATCTTCCGTGCAACAAAGCATCAACTCAGCACCACAGGGTGATTACTCAGACTTGGTTCCCCTCTCTCCGCTTCAAGCTTCTCGGTCGAACATTCCAAGCGAACGAAACGGTAATTTAGCCAACGGGTCCGCCCGCTGAAGCACATTTTGGGAGGAGCACTGGCGCAGCGGAATGTGGGCCCTCATTCTGGGGCTTGGAGTCGCTGATTCGCCCGCTGTCGAGACCGATGGATTTGAGCTTGGGCCTTATCCTTGCCTCCATGACGGGCCGACATGGCAACGTGAACCGGTGCGACGACGGCGTTTTCGGCCGGCACGGGCACTGTCAACTTTTTCTCCACAAGATTTTAGCGGCCGAGACCAGGACAGCGACGACGGGACCAGCAGCATTAGCAGTAGCAACGACGACAGGGGCTTTGATGATACCAGCGACAGCGACAACCATACTGCTTGGGCAACAGGAATATTGCCATTAAGGACCACGGAAAGGACGAGGAGGAGGAAAGGAGTGGTCAACAGTGTCAGCAGTGATTCTCCGAGAGGCTCACCTAAGTCGATTGTGAGGCTCTCATCGACTCTTCCCAGGGGGCACGCGACTACCAAGGCCGAAGATTGCCTCACCATCTGGCGGAAATATTGGGATTGAGTGTTCGGCGCTCATACGGTCATACCAACCCAAACTCACTCAACGAACCCTATTACCACTCCATCTCAATCTCAAACCGCACCTCACGACACACCTGCACACCCAACATGGCTCAAGAAACGCTAGCAGAAAAGATGGCCACTTACGCCGCCCGGCGAGCCGCTAGAGGACTACCCCCCAAACCGTTTCCTGGATTCCCTGGAGGTCCATTACCAGCAGCACCAGCATCATCATCATCGCCGGCCCCAGCAATACCACCACGACCCTTCCACCGAACGCGAACTGCTATCCTCGCCATGGTCTGCGGCGCCGTCATCTTTACTGGATCTATTTACGGAGCTGGATTGAAACTGCAACGAGAGTGGAAGACTGTAAGCCGGCCAGCCCCTTAGCTTCCTCGTTGCTCCCCCATTGAAATCACAATCATCTACACACACAACATTCACCCCAGGGTGACACAAACCTGCTAACACCGCCCCCCTCTTAGGAAAAGAAAAAGATCATAGAAGCCCCAGTGGAGGATAAAGTCGCCATCCTTGAAACCCAAAAGGTCGACCGCCTCCGCCAGCGCGTTGAGGTGCAGAAGAAGCTGGCTCGTCTACGTGCCCGGATGGCATACAACGCCGTGAAGGCTGCGGAGGCAGCCGATGCGATTGAGTATGGAGAGGACGAGGACGAGGAGACGAGGAAGAAGCGAAAGGAAGCAGTGATTGCGAAGGCCAAGGCGGCCGCGGTGGCTGCCGGGAATGGTGAAATGAAGGGGGAGTTCAGTTGGGAGGACAGGAAGTTGAAGAAAACGGGTATGTTCATAAATTGGGCATCGTGAGACAATATACCATATTGGCATCTCTCAAGTCGTCGAGGTTCCATAGTAGGGTGTCGGATTGTATTCGTGATTGAGCGGGTAATGGGCATCCAAATCTCCAGACATATTCGTATGAATGCAGAGTTGTAATACACATGACATTCCTTACTGTTTGTCTACACTACCCGAGCCAGTGTCTAAATCATCTTGTCCGATTTACCAAGGCCTTTTCAAACCGTTCCGTAGCTCCGCCTTGACTATGCATATTCAATGTTGATCGACAGCCTTGCGACCGTGAGGTCAGGACTACAACCCTCCTTGACTTTATTCCACAATACCCTCTGCCGAGGGCAGCGGGATGGCCTTGTAAAGCAGAATCAGCGCCGAATGCGACTCACCGCCGCCGGCCAGCGCGTCAATCTTGTCTGGGGTTACCTCGGTGACTTTGTCATCGTTGAACCACCACCAGTTACCGTCCTCCTCGCCGACCTTGCCGGTGACTGGGTCCTTGTGACCCGTCTTCTTCACATATGCCGTGTAGTGGCCGCTATCGGCGCTAGCGCCCTGGTGTGTGACCACAGCACGAAGCTCATAAATGCCCGACTGGCTGGCACCCTCGTCCTTCTTGAGCTCAGGGTCAATCAACGAATACAGCTCCTTCTTAGACGCCAAAAGCGAGGCGTCCTTTTCGGCCTCCCACTCTGCGTCTGTCTTGAACGTCTCGGTCTCGGTCATCTCCACATCGCCGTCTGCCGAGGTAGCTGGCTTCTTGTTATCCTTCTTGACGTTTTCTTTCTTCTCCTCCGGGAGCTCATCCTGCTGGGCAGGGTTCTTCTTGCGGCGCTTCCGGGCCCGCTCGACGTCCTCCTCGTCCTTGCGCACCTCACGCACCTTGTCCCGTACCGGAATAAGCGCCTTCTTCAGTTCATCGGTACAAAACTCGACGGCGTCTAGCTCATGGGGGAAAGTGACCTTGCGCATGATCTTGGCCTTCTTTTGGACGTCACGCTTCCAGAAGAAGCGCACAAAGTGGACCGTAAGGTACTTGGGAAGCCGAGAAATCTTGGAAATCTTGGTGTACGTCTCATCTCTCCCCAGGGCCTCAGACTTCTTCTCGATCTTCTCCGACAAGCCGTTGATCAAACCATCCCTTAGATGGGCTGTTTGATTGTCGATATGGCAGTTGAGTTTGAGAAACGGTTCCGTGCTTGAAGTCGGCTGTTCGCCAGCCTCAGCGGCAGCGGGGTCGTCGCAAGTAAGCGTGCTGGAAAACGCTCCAGACATGTACTTGTCAATAAAAGAACTCGCATTCGTGGTTTCGGTTTCCGTTGGGATCGGCAGCTTCAACTTTTGCCTCAGCTGTGAAACAATCTGAGACCACGCTTCTTCCGCATCCTGCTGGGCGAAGCCAGGCCCCTTTTTAGACCTCTCGGCAAATTGTGGGAAGGCTACCCGAAGAGCGTTGAGAAAGGTGAACGGGGACATGCCGCCCTGCGTCTTAACCATCTCTCCGAAGAGATTCTTGAGCTGGTAGGTGATGTCGAGCTGAGGGATGTCGGACGTAGTGGTGTGCTCGTGCTTAAAGAGGGCATCCTGAAGCTCGGGAATCGAACGCAGCGCTTGAAGCGTGGAGTTGAGGTAGCAGGTGTTGCCGAGGTTGACAAGGCCAGCGGGTGTGGCACCCGCTTGTTGGGCGGCCTCGGCTTCAGTCATATCCTCCAGGAACTTGACTTTCTCGGTGGGCCGCACAATTTGACCGCCGCCATCTGCCGGTGTGCCCATCATCATTATGACTTGGCCGGGCTTCAGCCCGAGCTTGCCGACGTCGGCATCATCCTTGAGTTGGCCGCCTTTGACGAGAATCTTCTGTCGTTCGGGTTCGACGCCGGTCAGGCTGAAAAGTTGGTATTTGAGGACATCGCCGGTCGAAGTAGTATCAACTTCGACGTCGTACTTCTTGCCCTGGTGCTTGATTACCACTGTACGAAGGCAGGTTAGCGGCAACACGATAACGCCCAAGTCCAAGATGCCTACCGTTGACGGATGCCATGTTGAAAGCTCGCTCCGGTTGGGCGCGGGGAAGAACCAAAAGGCCAAGGAAAAGAAGGCAGGGCAAGGGAAGAAAAAGAACCAGAAATGCTTTTCGGCGGGTTGGTTATCAATCCCCAAAACGCCCTCGGTTTTTTCTCCTACTGCGAAGCTGTGAAGTGGCGGGCCTCGTGGAAAGGGAGAGAAAGACGCGGGGTTGTAAGAGGAATGAGCCAAGCCAAGGCCTGGGTAGCTTGAAGCCCAGGCTACGAAAGATTACGTAACTGGCGGTAACTTGGGCTGTTGGTGTTGCGTCAGGACCCGCCCAAGCACCCTGCTGCCCCGCCAGCGTCCAGCCCCAGTGGCCGCCAGGCTGACTTGCAGCCAAGGATACCTGGGGCTCCATTGACGACTTCAACGTCCACGACGACAACGCCAGCAACCGAATTATTTGGCCATTGCTTGATCTCAGAGGCGCTCCTCTGAGCACACACAATAATGGTGAGGAATACCGGCCGGAAAACAACACCGAGACCGATGTGACACTGCAACACGAGTCAGCTAACCCTCGTCGTCCCCGCAGTCTCAATCACTCCGCCCATACCTCCAAGCTGTCCGGAGCAGTTTGACGGCCGCCCTCTGTCTCTCCAACTTTGCATCCCAAACCGCCGAACGCCACAATGTCCCCGAGGTCGAAGCGCGGACATCTCCCGAGGTGCTCCTCACACCACTGACCGTCGCGCGTAACGAGAATGAGCGCGTGCTCATCGAACCGAGCATCAACAGTATACGAATTAGCATCAAGATCAAGCAAGCCGACGAGATCGAACACATTTTGGTGCATAAGTTTACCCGGTTTTTGACCCAACGCGCCGAGTCCTTCTTCATCCTTCGCCGGAAGCCCATTAAGGTTGGACCTTTACATCTACCTATCTTCCAGTTCCCCTCGAGCTAACACTTTCCTGTTAGGGATACGACATCTCGTTCTTGATCACAAACTTCCATACCGAGGAAATGCTCAAACATAAACTGGTGGACTTCATCATTCAGTTTATGGAGGAAGTGGACAAAGAGATCTCGGAGATGAAACTATTCGTATGCGGCCTCTCTTCTCCTCGCGACATATCTAGGGTGCTGATTTCTTCAAACAGTTGAATGCGCGGGCGCGTTTTGTTGCGGAATCCTTCTTGACACCGGTATGGCTACCTTGTTCTCGCTGCTGCGCACACTATGATCCCGCTGACTTGCTTTAGTTCGATTAATCTATGAGAGCGAGATCCTCAACACTCCTGCAAAAGCGGTTGGCGCCAGGGGCCATCCCATCCCTTTGCGTCTAAGGCATTCCTTACACTTGGAGCACCATAGCCTGCGCTTTAGCAAGGAAACTGGCCTTGAGATTAACACTAGAAAAGGCCCAGGGTCTCTCAGCACGCCCATTGTTGTTCCATATCGGAATAAGTCCCTGTCGGGCTTGCATATCTCCTGCTTGCTCACTACCAAGATAACCCCAAATTAAAACCCCGGCGTTACATATCACCTTAGGTTGTCATTGTCTACGCTGCCGCTCCTTGTCTTCTGTCCCATCTTCTGCGTTAATCTCTTTTTCCACATGGCTCTCAAGCTCTAAGCGTGTGTTAGAGGGCCTCGTCATAATATCCCCATCGTGTTGACCCGACTCAAGTCGTGTGATAGTGTCATTGTTCATTTGTAGCTAACACATCTCACGTAGTTCCCGAACTCGTATTGATTATCGGGACGACCTCGTAGCGCATTGAGGTGCAAAATATTGTCTGATATCTGCTCATGGTGGTCCACCTGTTTTCAAAACTGTCCTCCCTCTGCTCTCCCAGCACAGATGGGGGAAGGAGCGGTGATTTCTGATGTGATAAAAGTCAGTACCCTCGGGTCCAACACACTCGTCCCCACCTCTCTCTCTGTCTCTCTCTCTCGCAAACCTCAGAGTATCGGTTGCCATGGAATGACTGTTCCTACCCCAACCAACACCTGCTTCCTCGAAACCAACTCTTGTTTGGGTTCTTGCGGAGGTATCTTCCTGGCCTTCATTTTGACGCCGATGTGGCTTTGTTTCTATTGAGCGCACTTCCGGGATCTATTCTCGCCTTCTGAACAATAGCAACCCATGCCGGCACAGTTTCCCACTATCGTGTGGATTTTAGCTTGCCATTGTTTTCTTATTGTAGGTACAATTTCTTATTCTTTCCCACCGGCCACCGCCTGCCTTGCACGAACCCGCACATACTGACCGACACTATCATCTCAACAGTCACCCCGCTCTTTATTGCCCACCCTCGAGGGTATTTAAGTTTTCCTCCTTGCGGCTTCGACTTTCTTTCTTTCTCTTCCTCTTCAAACCTTCCAACATTCTCGCCGAGCACCAACCGCATCGATAATTCCGGTATTCCTTAGATTGTAAGCACTCTGGAGCGCCAAGTAACCGCTTACTCTACGAAGTCTCCCTCTACCCTACGATCCAGTTTCGTACTTTCTTGGTCAAAACGTCTCGGATGATCTAACCATCGACCCTCTGCCTAGAACGTCGATCTTCACGCTTCACGCCCGCATATTTGGCGACCATAAAGATCCTTCTACTTCCCAACCTTGGGATTTCGAACGACTATCTTTCAAGGTGTGTGTTCTCTCTTCTCTTACCGCGTACCCTTCTTGTTTTGATCTCCCCTCCATATACCCGGCTTCATCTCAAGCGCGTTCCCCCGGGCGACAACCTCGTCCTGATCCCCGCAAAGTCGTATTCAGAAAAAGAAGGTCGGCTGAAAACACCTTCCTTCCCAAAATCTGATTTCCGGCATTCTTCACGCATATTCCAGCTACACTGGTGCTCCTTCCACTGTACACTATTTCATTTTGTCGGCCTAAATACCACACAAACCCTCCCCAACTCTCGGCATTAAAACAACCTCAGGCTTCGTTTCTCTGCCATCCATCTCTCTTCCCCATCATTATCACTGCATTCCAACACCAGGTTAGAAGTTCACTACCCACTATTATCATTACCCTCGCGTCTTATAACAACGCATCGGGTCGTTGAGGCATCTGGACGGAGCGGTTGAATTCTTCACGCTTCCTCCCAGTTTCCTTTGACTCTCCGCCTTGTTCTTGTTCTGCTCTTTTACTTGGTTGGCTTGACTAACATCTAATATCTTTAGACGCAAGCGGTCGTCCGACTCGCTCATAGCTTTCATCCAACAAGATGTCGTCCATCAAACCCCACAATAGTGTGGAGGGCACTTCCGAGAATCACTCGAAGATGCGCTACAACCGCAGCGACAGAAACTCCATCAGTCGTTTTTCCGTTCTCGTCGAGGATGGCGAGGACGAAGACGATGGTGGCAATGGTGGCGTGATGCTCCGTAACTTTGAAGAAGACAGCCCGAGCAGTTATGCTGGTACCTCGACCCCCATCGGCTCCCAGAGCATCAGCACCCAGAGCAGCGGCTCTTCCGGTCATGGCGGTGTCACAGAGATGGACAAGAAACCATTCATTGCCACGTATAATGGCCAGGCCGAAACTTCCGGACGTCGCAACAGTATCGCTCCCATTGGTACCGGCCGTTTCAATACAAACAGCAACTCTCCGACTCCCAATACCAGCCACGCTGGCGCGTCGGATAATTTGACTGAGGCTTGGGTACGTGTTCAAGATTCACCTTTTCATTCAAAACGCTTATCATCTAATGGTTAAATCCAGAAGAAGGCAAAGGCCACCGGACTTGAGGCTGATAACAACTACGACGACCTGGCCGCTCAGTCCAAGGAGTTTGCCGCCGCAGCCACGCGTGACCTTGCCAATATGATGGTGAGGCTCTACCGTAATTAGACTATTCATGCCCGGCATACCCGCTAATGATACCCCTTTAGGCGAACAAGTACCCGCAGTTTAGCAAGCTTCACGCTACCCAAAGCATGTTCAAGGAGAACAACGTGACCCCAGCCTACCGTGCTGGCGTCAGTCACCACTATTCTCATTCTGCCAATGCCGCCATCCCCGAGTACCCGTGGAACCCCACGCCGGCCCATCCCGGAACTCAGAACCCCTTCGGTACTCCGCAGACCGACACCGGGTACAAGATCATGCATGGGCACACTTCTAGCGCCAGTGCCAACCTTCAGTATGTTGGCAACAATACCCCGTCCCATGCGCCCAAGAACGCTGCGCAAGCTGCCATGGCCACCCCTCAGACGGAGTCCATGTTCAAGCAGGATGGCTCCTACAACCGAACCGAGCCGCGCGACTTCGCGCCTCACATTGATTCGTTCTTCCTGCCGCCTCCGGCCTTCGGCTTAGCTCCTCATGGCACCACCGGCTCCATCATTAGGCAGGAACACAGTTCCTCCCAGGGCTCTAATACTGACCCCTTCTCGTCGCCCGCGGTCAGAAATGCCAACTTTTTTAGCCCTGCCAGCCGTCGTGCTAGCATCTCCCAGGCCCTGGTCCTCCAGTCAGTCCCCGAGGACAACCAAATGACCGTCATTCCTCAGCAGCAAATGGTCCACAACCGCGCGAATTCCGATGTACGTGCTGCCCGTTCCACTCAGCTGAACAAACTCACGGAGGGCCCTCTCAATGTACCGAGCCAAGAGGCCGCTCTGGACCAGAACAATTTTCCTTTCATTGAAGCTACCACTCAGGCCGCCCCCGTCGGCTATGGCGTGGTGAAGCTCAAGAACGTATGTTTTCTCCCCATATTTATCCATCTATTTGAAAAGCTTGAAAACCCCCCCGTAACACGCATCATTTTAGATTCCATTTGGTACTCGCCGTGCCGAGATCATTGCCTTCCTGGGCCGCAACTCCAAGATACTCAACGACAACCAGGAGCCTGTTCATATCATCATGGAGCGCGTTTCCTCCAAGACCCAGGATTGCTACGTAGAATTCGTCACCACTCAGGACGCAGTGCGCGCCGTTGAGCGTCATCGCGACAACATTCAAAAGGGCCGCCCCTCCCGCCTTGGCGAGCGCCCGGTCGAAGTCCTCCTTTCGAGCCAGGCGGCCCTTATGAAGGACTTGTTCCCCCTTGCTGCCGGGATCTGGTGGGACAACTCCAGGCCGATCATTCAGGCACCTGTGGACGGCGAGCCGTGGAAGACTTTCAAGGGCTTTGTTACTGAGGAGGAGATGACTCTTCTTGTCAAGCATGTGGAAATTCCGCAGCGTGTAAGTCCTTGTCACATACTTGGCCTACTCTCAATTGTTGAAACTAACCGGTCGTGTTCACAGTCCCCTTACTCCAAGGAGTGCCCCCAGCGCCCTTATGAGTGCATGATCTCGACCATCAAGAAGCTCCCATGGTACATGTCAAGCCACATCACGCTTCGCCAGCGCCATTCCATCTACGATGCGACCGTCAAACTCGTCGTCCTACTGCAGCAAGCTCTCGCGCGTGACAAGAACCGCAACCACGAAGTCGTTATCAACAATGTTCTCCTGAAGCGTCTCGTCACCGCCGCTCTGCTCTGCCCGGGCTTTTCGGTCGTGCAGAAGGACAACATCGCGGCCCTTGCCGAGATGGACGAGGCCCAGGCTCGCATGTTTAACCAACCCCGTTTTGCTGACCAGTGGGTTCATCTTCATGGTATTTGCGCCAAGCCTGGTCTTCCCCTCGACGTTCTTGAGTGGTATGTCGCCATCATTCGTGAGGAGACCACTCGCCAGCTGCACCGCATGCACCTTGTCGAGCGTGCTGAGATTCAGCGCACCAGCTGCTACACCTCGCTCTACTTCGGCTACATCTGGTACGAGATCGGTTTGCCCACCGGCAAGGAGCTGGGCAACTTGACCCTGCATGAGGTCGCTCGTTGCGAGCTGGCTGTCATCGAGCGTGTGTTGCGCCGTGCTTTCCCGGCTAACATGTCCGCTGTCTCGTCTCCCATGGCCCTGCCGTCGTCGGTTCAGCCTCTCGCCTTGGGCATGTAGAGAGACATTAACAGTCCCGCCTCCTTAATGTGAGATGAGGCGCTCCGTGATAGAGAGACAAAGACGATAAGAGTCGTTGTGTCTAAAGGGGCACCCACCATGGAAAACATGACAAGGTCATTACTTTCCATGCTTTCGGTTTTATTTCGATTCTCTTTTCAAGTCGCGATTTCAACCTGGTTTATTGGAACAATCTAGTCTGATTGTTCGGCGGGGACTTCGGTTTCCCTTTCTTTTGTTTTTCCTTTATCATTTCATTCACGGTACGTTTCGACCGAACATGATCGGTCAAGGCTTCCGGAACCCATTCCACAGGACGATCCGATCTTCAACGTTCAAGGATAACGCCATTTTTCAGGCCGTACTTCTCTCAGCATCTGAAGGCAACTTAGTCCGGAAGTCAACGGGCCCGCCCATCTGAAGAAGATCTTCGGAAATTCGTCTCGGCAGCGCACAAGTGTGGATCAAATTCTCGATTCACTTTTTCCCTAGGTTTCTTCTGCAGTTTTGTCTTTTATTTATTCGACCGCGTCATTCCTGCGACATAGCGCGCATAGCTACCCCGGCCCAGTCGTTCTTTCGACAACTCGCCACCACGGCGAGGACCATGAAGGTTACTACTGGTATGACTTGGACGGTAGGCTCACTTCGGTGATCACTCACTGGGAAAACCCGCCTCATTTGGTTTGCCACACAATCTGGGTGTTAGCAAAGCAGCCGGCACATTGATGCCGACATAGCGACAGGTTGACTTTTCTTATTATTATTTGGGGCATTATCCGTCAACGAGGGAAGGCGAGGGAAGAGGAGAATTCACAGTACCCGAGTACACAACATGGATTGGACCGCCTACTTTTTAGCGGATGTTTCTGGTGGAAGTGGTTGATGGACCTCAATACCTCCCATTGTTTAGGCGTTAGACAAAGCGTAGCACAGAATGAATTCGTTCTTGCGAAAACCCCGGTGTGTCGTGAATTGTGAAGGATAATTACTTTAAACACGGCTGAACTGAAGAGACCCTTGGTTGAACCCTTTTAACAAGGATTGAAGGTCAACGTTGTAAATTGCCCTATGGATAGTGCTGTGTTTTCTTCATTGACGTTTGCGTTTCTCCCCCCTTGGCATTAGCCCCTTCTTTTAATTTGTTTATCAACAAACTCACGCCGGTTGCTCCCTTGACCAACCAACGAGCTGCACTTCTAGCCTGTCGGGCTCGAATCGTCCTAGATGAATTCCCTGCATAACTTCAAATCGACGAGGAGCTATTCGTATGTCGATGATAAAAGATTGGCTTTCCAGGGTGCAGATTATGAACAGAAATAACTAGTGCATGTCAAGGAGAAAGGGTGTAAATAACGTGACATTGGAAGTTGAAGGCATTGGTCCGTGCTCATGGGCAGTGAGGCGATGACGTTCCAAATTCTCGGAACTTTCACTTCCGAAGATTATCCGGCCAAGGCCAATGAACGCGTCTCCAAAAAAAAAAGTTCGAGAACGTCGCTTCTTATCGCGATAACATCGACTTTCGCTCTTTTCGGTTTTATTTCGCACCTATTCTTCCCCATCCCTGCCTTTGCCTCAACTTGCGACGGCGATGCAGAGGCTGCATTCCAATATTTGACTTAAAAAAGGGAACATTGTCAGACTCCATTTTGATTCTTGTAACCGCTAGTTCCCGGCCATCCGGGACCCCGACCTAATTTACTTCCCCCCTCCCCCGCCCGACGAGCCGGGAGCCGTCGATGGCTTCCGCTTCGGTTAGCGCGAGGACAACAATGACTGGTGCGCACGGGAAGACCCCGTTGCATGGCAATGCACCCCTCACACAGTCACGGGAGACGGGCGAGGTGAACCCCGAGTCAAGACAGGCAGGAGCGCCAATAACCAGTGGCGCAAAGGGGACGAGTTTTGCGAAATCATGGGCGCATATGGTAGCGGGCGGGTAAGCTTGGATCTGGGTGATAAGGAACAATCGGAACGCTTCAGGGCATCATTGTTTCTGACCCTCTTACCTCTAGGATTGGCGGCATGACGGCTGCGACCCTGACGGCGCCACTAGACGTTCTCAAGACAAGGCTGCAGTCCGATTTTTACCAGGCGCAGATCAAAGCTTCACGGGCGTCGATTATCACACCAATGAACCCTCTCCGAACGGTGGTATTCCACTTCAATGAGACCATGTCCATTCTAGGCTCTGTGTATCGCCAGGAGGGGCCTCGCGCGCTTTTCAAGGGCCTCGGCCCCAACCTCATCGGCGTGATCCCAGCTCGTTCTATCAACTTCTTCACCTATGGAAACGGCAAGCGCATTATTGGTGAACACTTCAATAACCCAGATTCCCCTTGGGTGCACCTTGGCGCTGGCGCACTAGCTGGTGTCACCACTAGTACAGCAACAAACCCGATCTGGATGGTCAAGACTCGCCTGCAGCTTGATAAGAACATGGCTATAGAGAGTGGCGGTGCCACCAAGCGAAGGTACAAGAACAGCTTGGACTGCATCCGGCAGGTGCTGCGTGACGAGGGCATTCACGGGATGTACAAGGGCATGAGCGCAAGCTACCTGGGCGTGGCCGAGTCGACCATGCACTGGATGCTGTACGAGCGCATCAAGCAGTCCCTGGCCGCGAGAGAGGAACGTATTGTTCTTAGCGGGAGGGCCAAGAACTGGTGGGACTACACAGTCGACTGGACCGGCAAGTTTGGTGCTGCGGGCTTCTCCAAGTTCATTGCGGCCGTCATTAGCTATCCCCACGAGGTATGATTGAATTTTTCTCAGCCCCTTTTCATGATGGCGTTGGAGGGAGATATTAATGATTCCACCAGGTCGCTAGAACCCGCCTCCGCCAAGCGCCCCTCGCTGATGGTCGGCCAAAATACACGGGCCTGGTCCAGTGCTTCAAGCTTGTATTCAAGGAGGAGGGCATGCTCGGCCTCTACGGCGGGTTGACGCCTCACTTGCTGCGCACTGTCCCTAGTGCGGCCATCATGTTCGGCATGTACGAGGGCATCCTCCGCCTCCTGGATACTCCGGCTTGATGCACTACTTTATCATCCGATCGTTGCGTCTTGCGTCGGACGATTTAAGCGCGACGCAGCACTTTCAGACGATTTAAGCGCGACGCAGCACTTTCAGACGATCGATCATGACACGCTCACTATGTAACAACACGAATCTTCTACCGACCACTACCACCAAGGACCACCACGTTACCTAGAAGTTCATCTGGATATTCAATATCCTTCCTGTCTAGGTATTTTCCGGAGGGATGATCTCCGCCTGTACAACACAACCTTACTCGAAGATGAACGACCTCATCACCACAAAACACCACGACCGTTTTGTTTTTTCCGACCTGTTTGTTTGCCGGCACTTACATACCTTCCTTCCTTGTCTCTGCGCCATTTCACGAACACGACCAGTTATAGAGGGGAATAAAATTATGACGGCCATAGACGGGATCTGGTTGGGTGTTCATGGCATTACTGTATACAACCTTTTCTTTTGCATTTGAATGGGCGGCGGCGGCGTTTATGAGGGGGGATAAAACGCTGATGATGTCTTTTATGTTCCACGATTATGGACGCGTGGGGGATGGAGATAAGGGATGAAGATGGTCAAGGCGGGTTGGGAAATTCTGCTCCTCTTGACTCGCTCCACTAGATCAGGCATACCTTCTAAAAAGGAGATTTGGCTTGTATGTACAGTAGATATATGTTGTGGATAACGCAACTTTGCGGATGTGTTGGGTTGTGGAGAAGCGGCCAACGGGCCGCGGATGCAGACGAGCATTTGAAACGGAGATCGGGGGTTGAGGAGGGCTTGGTAGGCAGATATATCGTCTCTACTCCGGCTATGAACAAATAATCAACCGATGAGTTCACCGAGCGGAGATGCCAGCGATTTTCTGCTTTGGCTTAGGAGAGATATTGTATGTGCATGTAACTAGGCCTTCGAGACCATATTCATGTGGGTTCGGGAAGCCGCACTTGAGAACCCTCGAACGAACACATACACCATTAAATGTGCTAACACCACGGCCAATGCTAAATCACTAGCTAAGAGACCGAAACACACTGTAGATATCAAGCCTGTCAATCTCGTGCGAGTGGTTTCGTCTCCTCATTCCGTCCGCTTTTCCCATCGTAATTAGCCGTGGATCCATCCACCACGGGTGGTTCCACACCATCAATATGTGCTGAATACCGTTAAAGTTAATTGCAGTACTGCACCCACCCTTTGGCCTTGCACCTTCGCTCTTATCAAGATGGAAGAAGAAGTAAACGAACAAAAGAGAGAGAGAAAGAAAAGAAAATGAAACGGAAACCCCCGATTGGTATAAATAAATCATCCTCAAAATCAGATTCAATCCACGTCCTCCCTTCCCCCCAACCATATTTCCCATATCCATCCATCCACATCACACCCTATCCTGATCCATATCACCGCCAACGCCCATACCTGCCACCGCCAACACCAGTACCCGACCAGGCATCATACCCCCTCTCCATCCAAGTCATCACCATCCCTCAATTTATGCGCCTCCAACCACTCCCTCGGCGGTCGTTTGCGTAATTTCCGTTGCGGTCGGGGCGGGTGTGTTGCTGCTGCTGCTGCTGCTGTTACCGTCACTTGACAACACCCACAATCACGGCTGGTATCACGATTGATGGATCTGTCGGTCAGGAGCAGGCGTAGCTTAGAGGTGTGGCTACGTCGGGGTGGAGGTGGAGAGACGGAGAGGATGTGGTGTGTGTGGTTGTTTGAGTTGGTGTGATTATGGAAGAGAGTGGGGTTGGCGTTGGGGCTGTGGCAATGGTGGTGGTAGTGGTGGTGGTGGTGGTGGTGGTTGCTGGTCTGGAGGCGTCACCAGGCGTTGCGGTCCCAGTTAGGGTCTTGATGTTTCCTATTAGTCGTCCATTCCCACACACGTTTCCTCTCGGGGAAAATGAATACATACCCTGAACAAACGCAGCTAGCACCTTGCTCCCCGTCTGCAGCAGCGGATGACCCACGACAATCTTCAGAAACTTCTCCAACCCCGCCCGCCGGCCCTCAATCACATCATCACTAAACCGATTCGTAAACACCTTCCCCGGCAGCGGGGGAATGGTAACCCGGGCGCTCTCGCGCTCGAGAATATCGCGGAAATACTCAAAATCCGAGTACCGTCGCCGCACCGTCGACTGCCGCAACTTAAAGGCGGGGATGTTGGTGCGGCAGACAATCTCGTAGTCGGTGTACATGTGCCGGCCGATGCCGTGGGTGCGTGGGTTGCGCACTTCGATCTCGAGGAAGTTCTCCGGCGGGCCGTAGATCTCGTCGAAGGATTGTTGGCGGGTGTCGGGCAGGGATTGTAGGATGGGCCGGTGCAGGCGGGCGGCGGCGGCTTCGGCCTCGGTGGGGCTTGTAGCGCTGGTCGGGGAGGTTGGCGAGGTTGGGGATAGGGGTGACTTGATGTTGGCATTGGGGTCGGCGGGTGTGTTGGGGCTCGGGAGAGCGGGCGAGGCCGCATCGGTTGCGGCCGTGACCGTTGGGGAGGTACCGTCCGTTGGTGAAGCCATGCCCGCGGTGTTGGAAGTCGCTTGAGTAAAAGCGGAAACTAACAATACGGGCGGAGGGTGATCGAGGTGATATGGTCTCCCGAGGTTAACTAACGCCTCTCAGTTGTAGTCGTCGCGGGGGGGTGCACGGATGTTGTTCTTTGCGCGCGGTGCGCTCTTCGTCGTGGTCTTGGTCGGTGGAAAGTCGGCACGAGGGTCCGCCAGTTCGAGAGTGGGGATCAATAGCGCGTGATGCGGGTTGTGGTGTGGGCGGACGCTGTGGATGGTGTGCTGCGAAGGCCGAGCGGGAGCTGCGTAAAGATGGCTGAGGTGGGGTAATCTTTCCTCTTGCGAATCGCCGGCAGGCAATGACCGCATCGCACAGCCGCTGTAACATTCAATCAACCCACTTCCATTACTGGACTGAATGGACGTAATGTAATCAAAGACGGAAACGGGCATTTGACGATTGTCACAACAGGCACAAAGATCAATTGGGATCAAACTCGTCAAGTAACATGAATTAATGCTCCCACAGCCCTCAGAACGCCTGGTGTTTTCGGCACGACCGTACATATACATCCATACCAATTTCCCATTTGTGCCTGTTGCTCAGCTCAATACAACCCCATTGCTGCCTCCGACATTATAGAGGTAAGCGGTATATGATTGTGAAGCAATCTGCAGTGCGGATTGCTCGCCCATAGTCCATACTAACCCACCCGAGCCCTCCATCATTTGAACCCATATTATCAGGGCTTCGGATACCTCCCCATTCAACAGCCTGACGAACTTTCATTACGGAACGACGAGCACCCACGGTACTACTTCTTATCCGCAAACTTCTGATGAATCGCCCGGATCTGCTCATCCAAATTGAAAGTCTGCAATTGGTTGATATGCGCCTGGCTCTTCCCGTCCGGGTTGCCGTCAAACGCGTGGAGGGCGACCTTCTTCCGCCGGGCCAGCTCCTCTTCCGAAATGGCTTGCCCCGTGGTCGTGTCAAATATGTCGCTCCGCTGGCTGGCTAAGCGCTTGAGGTTGTTGGCCACGTCCACGGTGGACAGGTTGGTCGTGGCGAACCGGGCGTCGGCCTTGGCTTTTTGCTCTTTCCATCGTGGATCGAGGAGTTCGACTGTGATAGACTTGTTAGCATTTGTCCATTAAATCAATCGAGAACTGTAAACATGGGTATGAGGGGGGTGGGGGGGAAGACTAACTCCTCATATGCTCGTCCATCTCGTTGAGCGGGATCTGCTGCTTGCAGTTGGGACACATGGCCGTCTGCGTGCCGAACTTGCTGGCCGCCCGCTGCGCCGCCCGCGGGACATAGTTCTCCTTGATCTTCATCGGCGCTGCTCCGCCCCGTGCCTCGGCCTGGGCCTGCTGCATCCGCAGCCTCTCCTGCTCCCGCTCCTGTATCCTTTGCGCTTCTTCTTCCTCATCCGTAGCCCGCGTTCGTGACGCCAGTGGGATAGGAGCGCCGTAGGATGGTTGTTGTTGTGGTGGTGGTGGAGTGTTGACCGCGGGATATCCGAGGGTGGCGGAAGATGGCTGCGCGGGAGGTGCTTGCGCGCCGTAGGTCTCGGGGGGGTAGGCGTTGTAGTGGGTATCCTCGAAGGGGAAGGCTTCTTCGATGCGCAAGCTGGAGCTGACGGATACCTTGTTCCGCTCCTCTAGCGAAGCATATTGCAGGTCGTTGAGCGTGGTCGGCGCGGGGAGCTTCGCTTGGTCGTCGGTCTCGGTGAAGACAATCGTCTCGACGACCACAAAGTCGTTCCAGTCGATCCGCGCAAACTCGATCTTCTTCTGCTCTTCCTCCTCTTCCTGCTTCGCCTTTTCCACTTCCTGCCATTTGGCGTAGGCCGCCCGTTGCTTCGCCCGTGCCAGCACCTTGTACTTGTCGGACACGTTCTGCTTGAGCTGGTCCACGCGCTCCTGCTGCGCCTTGTTGCCCTCGCCGTTGACCCCGCTCTCGCGCAGGAGAATGGAGTATTGGTCGACCAGGCTCTGGAAGAAGTTGTGGAAGGTGTGGTTGGGGATCAGGAACTGGTACTGCGGGTTGCTGGCCTCACGCTGGGCAAGCTGGGTCATGAAGGGGCGCCCGTTCTTTGCGACGAACAAGGCAGTTAGTCGCACAATCTCCAAGTCTTTCTGGCTCATTCGAGGCATACGGGCTGAGAACTGGAAATCCGGCGGCTTAGGCGGGCCCGCAGGTTTCTCTGGAACCGGTGCGGCGGCGGCCGCCTCGCCCACGCGCCCAGCCGCGAGCGCCGTGCCCCTCCCGGACTTGATCTCCTCTTTGCGCCATTCGTAGTACGCGTTATACGGGTCGGTGCTCGACATCAAAAAGCTGAACTTGGGGTTTTTGCCGTGGTTGTCGCGGATGCGCTGCTCCAGGCCCGCACCGCCGCGCATCACGTAACCGGCCGTCTTCTCGATCGCCTCGCGAATTTCGCCGGGGGGCGGGATGATAACACCGGCCGGCGGCTTGAGGTTGTCAAGCACGGCCGCGGCTTCGGTGGCCGCATTGCCGTTTGTTGTTGTTGTTGTTGTCGCGACAGCCATGGTTGATGTGGGCGATGCGATCGCGACGCTAGATCTCGTTTCGCAATTTTCGGCGGTGGGAATTAGGCTAGTTGATGCCTCTCCAATTTATCTGATGGAACAACGACACAGCCGTGTCAAAAGGTTCCGGGCACTTCGGGTCCGTGCAGATGGACCCATGGTTAGCGTTACCTGTAATGTAACGTCGAATTGTTTCTCGAATTGTTTTCCGTATCCGTCCCTCTCCCAGAATCCGTCATGCACCAAATAACTCCCGAAAGGAAACAGAAGAATATCACGGGATATCCAGCCGTACATAATTAAGGTACCTAGTGTTCTACATAGTAATTCTCAAGTGTGGGTTGTGCTTCTAGAAAATTAGGACAGATACTTTGCACCATGGCTCGCATGGTCGTAGCGGAAATCCAAGACGACCCAGAAGCTCTCGAAAGATTCGTATCAGCGCCCGCCCAGGCTGCGGGATCCAAAAACGGGTCTGTGCCACCAACGAGCCGCCAATCGCAGTGCGGCCCAGACCTGGCCGCTGCCGTTGCGAGTGCGACAGGGGTTGAGGCCACTTCAGCTCAATTAATTTCACGACGGGGGATCTGATGCCTGCCAGCGCGGCTCTCAAAACTGCAACCCCCTTTACGCAGTTCGCTCAGCTTTCCTCGAGGTCGACGACAGGAAGCGACAAACCTTTTCTTGTCATCCTCTTCTTCTTTCGGCACCGCGCTTTCTTCTTTGCGGCTGTCGATTGTTCCCTTTTCATAATTTTGTTCTTTTATTTTGCACCCTCGGGGTTTCCATGATAGCCTTGTAATCGGACCTTGACCTTTCGCGACTCTCGTTAAACATCCACCCGTTTTATGATCGGCGTATCTGCGGCTGCAGCTGCCACGCCGGCTCGACGCGCACCTCGGACCGGTTCGTAGCCGACCGCGAAACCCCCAGGTTCCGGCATTGACCTCCCAATTGTCACGACAAAACCTTCTCGTCCCACGGCGCCGAAAACTACCGACACCATGGCTCGATCGGCGGGCTCTAAACCGTCGGCCGCGCGTGCCTCTCCTTCTCCCCCACCGGGGGCCTCGTCCCTCGGCCAGAAACCCAAGGCGAAAGCGACAAAGCGCAAAGAGGATTATTCGTCCGAGGGCGTGGAAGACAACGATGTGTTCCTGCTCCCGGGCTCTGACTTCCAGATCGTGCTGGCGATCACCGTGCTTGCCGCCGCTGTGCGCCTGTTCCGCATCTACCAGCCCTCCAGCGTCGTCTTCGATGAGGTCCAGTATGTCGTCCCGATCCCCCTCTTCCAAGCATTGTCCAGAAAGGTAGAACCAAGGCTGACCCTACTCCCGCAACAGCTTCGGTGGCTTCGCAACCAAGTACATCAAGGGCCGGTTCTTCATGGACGTGCACCCCCCGCTCGCGAAACTGATGATCACGCTCTTCGGCTGGGCTGCCGGCTTCAACGGAAACTTTGACTTCAAGGACATTGGCAAGGACTACCTCGAGCCCGGCGTCCCCTATGTGGCCATGCGCATGTTCCCCGCCATCTGCGGCATCCTCCTCGCCCCAACCATGTTCTTGACCCTCAAGGCCGCGGGTTGCCGTAGCTTCACTTCGGCCATGGGTGCAGGTCTCATCATTTTCGGTACGTTGTGATGTTATGTGGTATTTTTAGGGGAGTCATATGGCTTTGGGCTGACTGTTGTTGTTATTGCAGAGAACGGACTGCTTACACAGGCACGGCTTATTCTCCTCGACTCTCCCCTGATGATCGCGACCGCTTTCACTGCCTTTGCCTTCACGTCGTTCACCAACCAACAAGAATTGGGCCCGTCCCGCGCGTTCGGTCTGAGCTGGTGGTTCTGGCTCGTCATGACCGGCCTCGGTCTCGGCATGACGGTGAGCATCAAGTGGGTTGGGCTGTTCACGATCGCTTGGGTGGGCTCCTTGACGCTGGTGCAGCTGTGGGTTCTGCTGGGCGACACCAAGAATGTGTCGATCCGGATCTTTAGCAAGCACTTCATGGCTCGCGCGTTCTGCCTGATCATCATCCCGGTGGGCTTCTACATGGCCATGTTTGGCGTGCACTTCCTGATCCTGCAGAACCCCGGCGACGGCGACGGGTTCATGAGCTCGGAGTTCCAGTCGACGCTGAACAGCAAGGGCATGAAGAACGTCCCGGCCGATGTGTTGATGGGCAGCCGGGTCAGCATCCGCCACGTCAACACCCAGGGCGGGTACCTGCATTCGCACAATCTGATGTACCCGACGGGATCCAAGCAGCAACAGATCACTCTTTACCCGCACAAGGATGACAACAACGTCTGGCTGCTCGAGAACCAGACCCAACCCCTCGATATCAACGGCGAGCCCATCAACGGCACGAATGCCTGGTACAACATCCCCGAGACCCCCTACATCGAAGACGGCGCGGTCGTCCGCCTGTACCACCTAGCTACCCACCGCCGCCTACACTCCCACGACGTCCGCCCTCCCGTCACCGAGGCCGAGTGGCAGAACGAGGTCTCCGCATACGGCTACGAAGGCTTCGACGGCGATGCCAACGATTTCTTCCGCGTCGAGATCGTCAAGAAGAAGTCCAAGTCCGGCGTGGCCCAGGACCGGGTCCGCACCATCGACACCAAGTTCCGGCTCGTGCACGTCATGACGGGCTGCGTGTTGTTCTCGCACAAGGTCAAGCTCCCCGACTGGGCCTCGGAGCAGCAGGAAGTGACCTGCGCGCGCGGCGGTACGCTCCCCAACAGCCTGTGGTACGTCGAGTCGAACGACCACCCGAAGCTGGGTGCCGGCGCCGAGACTGTCAACTACGCGAACCCGGGCTTCTTCGGCAAGTTCTGGGAGCTCCAGAAGGTCATGTGGAAGACCAATGCCGGGCTGGTCGAGTCGCACGCCTGGGACTCCCGCCCGCCGTCGTGGCCGATCCTCAGCCGAGGCATCAACTTCTGGGGCAAAGACCACAGGCAAATTTATTTGATTGGCAACCCGATCATCTGGTGGAGCGCCACGGCGGCCGTGGTCATCTACGTCTTGTTCAAGGGCATTGCCGTGCTCCGGTGGCAGCGCAGCTGCAACGACTACGCGGTCCCCGTGTTCAAGCGGTTCGACTACGAAATCGGCACCTCCGTACTCGGCTGGGCGCTGCACTACTTCCCCTTTTACCTGATGCAGCGCCAGCTCTTCCTGCACCACTACTTCCCCGCGCTCTACTTTGGCATCATGGCCTTCTGCCAGATCTATGACTTCGCCACCGCGCGCATCGCTGGCGTGGGGCTCCGCGAGAACCCCATCATCGGCCGGGCAGGTGCCGTCGGGTTCCTGGTCCTGTCGATTGCGGCCTTTTCGCTGTTTTCCCCGCTTGCGTACGGCAACACATGGACGCGGGACGAGTGCAAGCGTGTGAAGCTCCTCAGCGGCTGGGATTGGGACTGCAACACGTTCTTGGACAGCGTAAGTGGTCTCCCTAATGCCGTAATTCCGGAGCGAAAGTTGCCCCAAAGAGGGGGGTAGTGAGCTATTTTTTCGGTTGTTTGTCGGTTGGGTTTTGGACGGGTTTTGGGGGGGCGGTTTTCCTTTTCCTCTGAGAAAACATTATGTATCATCACTGTTTTACTATGGAAAGCAAGCGAGGAAGAGGAGGACGAGGACGATCACGTGTTATGACATTGACGAAAAACCGCACGATCGCTGTCATGTAGTCATTCTGGAGACATGCTAACGTTTTGACTCGGGGCTTAGTACGAAGCCTACCAGGGCCTTCCCTCTACACCAGCAGCCGCACAGACACCCCAGCAATCCGTCGATGCCGCCCAACAACAGCCCCCTCACGTAGCAGGCGGGGAGCAGGAGCAAATCCCTATCGCCGACTCGCCGCAACAAGAGCAGCAATCTTCTCAAGGTGCTGAAGTCTCGGCCGCGCCCGTCGTCGCGGAGGAAAAGCGCCTTCTTCGCAAGGAGGAGCGAGTCGAGTACCGCGACCAGGATGGCAACCTCCTGAACGAGGAGCAGGTCAAGGCGCTCGAAGGGAAAGTCGAGTTCAAGACGCGCTACGAGACCCGCACCCGGCTCGTCGATGCGCAGGGCAACGAGATCCTGGCCCCGGCTGATGAGCAGCGGCAACAGCAGCAGCAGGAGCAACAGCAAGACCAACAGCAGGCGGCGGTACCCCCCGCTCCAGAGGCTGGGGAGAAGGAGGAGCCGGCTTCCGGCGCGGGTGTGGCACCCCCGCACCCTGATGTCGAAGGTATGTTTAAGTCCTAGTTTTATCCCAGTCCTATCCCCATTTTATCCCATCTTTTCTACCTCTTTTTACCCCTCCCTCCTTCTCGAGAAGGGACTCCTCCGAGTAACCCCCCGAGAAGGGAGAAGAAGGGAGAAAGGGAGAAAGGAAGATGGCATTCTCCGCGCCCAATGACCTATCGCTCACGTCACATATTGTTTCAGGCGCCAACAGCGAGACAGTAGTCGCGTCTTCCGGTGCGCCGGTGCCCGAGCCCAAGGAGAGTGTGGAGGGCGAAAAGGAGCGTGAGGAGCAGGCGGCTAAACCGGCGAGTGAGAGGAATGAGGCGAGTGCTGTCAAGGAGGAGCTTTAACTCTAGCTTGTCAATTGAACGGACTTGCCAATTGGGAGGCTGGAGGGGTGGGTGAGGGGGTGGGTGGATGAATTGTGAGAATTAACTTAGACGGGCTCAGGGGGGTCGCGGTAGAGAGATAAGGCAAGGAGGTAGGGGGTGGGTAGCTAAGGTAATACAATGGTGTGGACATGGTTGGGGCTGTTCCGTTCTTGTTAGGGGGTGGCGATACTTGATGGGAACAGCTCTCGCCGACTGTAAAGGAGAGGAGAAGAGGGGGTGTGAAGTGAGAGAGAAGACGGGAGAGGAAGGGGAGAGGGGAGGGGTGTCGAGTGAGAGTTTGCGGGGGGAAGACAGCACAGCAGCACAATTTGGGGGTTTCTGACCACCATCACACAAGGACGACACACTGATCCAGATCTCCTTGGTTATTTTTCGCTTTTTAGAGCAATGGAATAAACCACCGCTCTTATTTTGAATGTGCTATGCTATGCTGTGTTGAATTGTCGATGTCTGCTCTATCCGCTTAGCTTTTCTCTGTTTTCTCTTGAGGGACTATCGGCCAATTTCTACGAGAAGTGCTGTGTGTGTTTGCTACGCATTGCAAATTTTGGTTTGTGGCATGGGTTCACAGATTGAGGTCAAGTATTTGGTGAACAGAGTTCATTCTAGTTTTCTGTTATAAATACAGCCGGACGCCACCAACTCTGTCTGGTTGCTGGTAATTAAACCCCCCCGTCAACCTCCTTTATTTCCTGATAACTCCCTTTTTTTTTTGTCAACCTCGCTAGATTCACTGGTAAACCTGCTTTTTTTACCCCGTCGACTTGACCTTCTTGGTTTGCCAGTGGACCTTTGATTTCTATCAACCACCTTTTACCCCTGAGTGTGTCTTGGTTTCCAGCAACCTCAGTTCCCGTAAATACAGACCAACGCCGAACACGGTAGAATGTAGCGAGTGTGCCCAAATTAATTACAAGAAACTAGAAACTAGAGCAGTGAAAAGCACTGAGGGAGTGTTTCCAAACATTACAAGCAGTAGAGTGGAGCAGAGCAGAATACAACGGATTACAAACGATACAGCAGAAGATGGAAGCAATCACAAGAAACTAGGCAAACAAAACTGACTCAAGTTCAGTTTTTTTGGGTTTGACAGGTAGGAAGAGGAAGCGGATAGGATGAATGTTAACAGTGCAGAGAAGCAGACGACAGCGACGAGTAACAGTCGAGTAATAAAACGAAACAAAGAAAGGAGAAAGAAAAAAAAGAAATCACCGGATAAACCCCATCATCATAGTCACCGTGTCAGACGAGATCAAAGCCTCCCACTCAGCCTCGAGTGCCTCATCGTCGAGCTCGCTGACATTGACCTCGGGACGGGTGGCCGAGGGGATGTCGATGTTGTCGCTGCGGGTGATGTTGCTGGTCAGGTTGTTGACCACGCTGTTGCTGTTGTCGGTGTTGGCATAGCCGTTGCCGACACTGACCCCAGCAGCACCGGCACTGACATTGGCACCAAGGCCGTGGCTGTAGTTGTTGTGGTTGCCATAGGCGTTGCCATTGCCGTTCGCACCGCTAGCGTACGGACCACCAGGAGTAGTAACACTTGTCTGAGCATGACCATGACCGTAACCACCAACACCGGCGTGAGCATGACCATGACCATGAGTAGCAGCAGCGGTAGCACCCGGAAGCTGAGAAAGTCCCGCAGCAGCAGCAGCCGCAGCAGCCCTAGCCCTCATCCGTGCCCTCATGCGTGCGCGATGACAGGCCCTGAGGCCACGAGAGCGATGATAAAATAGCGGGTAAGGAATAAACGAGACTGAGTAACCCGCATCAAGCAGGGCTGCGGCGGTCTGGCAGCGGAGACGGTTCTCGGCTGCTTGCTCTTCGTTTTCTTCTTCTTCTTCTTCTTCTTCTTCGCCGTCTGCTTCTCCTTCATCGGCGTCTAGGGCTGGGACGGGGGCTAGAGCAGGAGCAGGAGCAGGAGCAGGGGCAGGGACAGGGACAGGGGCAGAGGTTGCATGAACGTAGTCGTCGTCGTCATCATCATCAGTGGCATCTGTGTCCGGGTCCGGGCCGTTATCACCGTCGCTGTCGCTGTCACTGACATAGCTGGCATTGGTGTAGTGGGTGTATGCCGCGCTGCTGGTGGCGGTGTTGACAGTGCTGTTGGTGTTGGTCCTGGGCCTGGGGTTGGTGTTGACACCGTTGACATCGGTGTCGTGGATGCCCAGCCCCAAAAGATCAGTGCTGAGGTCGTGGGGGTCGAGGTCGGAGATGGAGAGGAAGTGGGAAGAAGAAGAGGAGGAAGAGGCGGTGTTGACGGAGGGGGAGGAGGGGGCTAGGAGGTTGATATTGTGGTCGGGGGCCGTGTATGGGTTGGTGTTGGTGTAGGGGTGAGTGTGAGAGCGGGTGGAAGGGTGGGTGTAGGGGTTGGTGTAAGGGCGGTTGCGGAAGTTCAGGGGGGAGTCCTCTTCCTCTGAGTCGGAGTCGTCGTCAACGTTGTGGAAGTTGTTGCTGTTGTGGTTGAAGTAGTTGCTGCTCCTGTAGTTGTTGCTGCTCTGGGTGTTGCTGCTCTCGCTGTTGACTCGACGAGCAATGTGCTCCATGGCGGCCCGGATGGCCGGGATGTTGATGGTGTTGTGATTCAGACCAAGGTCCGGCCACCCCGGAGCATCCGGATCGCCCATCGACGAGTCACTGTCAGACTCCGCTTCTGGCTCGGCTTCCGGCTCGGGTTCTTCGCCCTCACCCTCGCTGTCCGAGTCAAAGTCGAAGGCGGACCGCGGTTCGTAGGGGGAAGCCGTGTCAGCACGGTTGATGGCGTCCATGTTGAGTCGGGTCAGGCCGAGGCCGTTGCGGCTGACGCTGACACCCGTGCTGGTGCTCTGGATATTCTGATTATTCGAGTTGGTGCTTTGATAGACGTTCTGGCTGGGGATCACCCTGTTATTACGGCGATCATGCAGAGGTAGCGACCTAGCGGCAGCAGCCAAGGACGCGGCGCGTCTCACGGCATCGGCCGTCAACTGAGACGGCGGGGGTGGGGCCGGGGCCGAGTAGCCGCGGTGGGTGTCGACGAGGTCCGCGGCGGTAGCGTAGCGGGGGAAGCTGCTGATGGTGCGCGGGCGGGTGTTGTCGGCCGGGATGTGGTCGACGTCGGGCTGGGGCCGGTAGTGGTTGTGGTGGCTGTGGTAGCTGTGGCTTGGGTTGTGCTGGTAGTGTTGACTGTGTCCGTGGTTGTGATGGTTGTGGTGGGTGGAGTTGTGGTGTTGATGCTGCCGGTGATGGTGATGATAGCTGGGGGGTGTGGACGACGGGTGGGGGTGGGGGTACACCGTCTGAGGACACTTGCAGCGTTCACAGTAGCGGAGCGTCTCGCGGTGTCTTCTGGTGCTCTCGCCAATGCTGATGCTGTGGCGTTGGCCACCGGTGTTGGTGTTGGTGTTGGTACCTATACCGGCACCTGCACCAACACCTGCACTTATACCCATTCCGATGTCGCCAATATGGGTGCCCCGACGACGCTCCGGGTCAGCGAGGTGCTCAAACCCAGGAGGCGGCCGCATATGGGTATACGACGGCTCCATCATGTTGACGCCTGGGGGAAGCACGCCCCCGTCGACCGACATACGGGCCGAGCGAGGGGGTCCGTTGGGGATGGGTAGCGGCCGAGTGGGCGGCGACGAGGCCGGCTGGAACCGGCCACAGACAGAGCCACGCCGGACGGGCTCGTTCTGCGGCACGTGGTGCGGCATAACGGGAGGATCGCTCTCGGCGAGGGCTCTCTTGATGTTGGTCTTGAGGCGCTCACACTCGCGGACAGCCAGTTCCTATTCAGGTCAAATCTTGCTCGAAAAGCAAGAGATTTGTCTTCTGCTCTGAGACAACATACAGGGTAAAGACTCTGCGACGAGGTCCGGGCCAGGCGCGAGGGCGGTTCAGGACATAGACCAATGTCTGACTCCAAGGGAAGTGAACCTAGAGTCGGGGACGACGTGGCGCTAGCGGTGTTGGAGTGAGTCTCGGAGTAGGTGTGTCGAAAGAATTGCGAAGGCATGGGAAAAGGAAAGTAAATTGGAAAACTAAGGAATTGGTCATAGAAACAAGTCAATGGGTCGGGCTGAATATCGAGAGGGAAATCGAGAACGAAGCCAGGGGGAAACCGTCACGGGTTTATATCGACCTCGATGCCAGCCTTGTCGACTTTGTTTCCTTGTCCAAAGTGTCAGAATGGTCAGAATTGCCAGAATTCACGGACCTCTTGACATGACTTAGTCGACCTCCGATTGTTTGCTTCCGTCTGTAGGGTTTCCATGTCCTGTGTCTTCCGCTGCGAGATCTGGATGTCTAGATCGAACTACCTATGTAATCAGAGCAAGTAGAAGCACAGCAAGTAGATCAAGAGGCGGAAGGAGGCGGAAAGACACTGGCAGGCAACAGCATGTTCAACTTCTTACTACTATCACTGCAAGCTTCGCCTCCCGCCAAGCATCACGGGAGTCCCCTGCCAGTGCCCGTAGATGGACGAATCCAGTGTCGAGGAATCCTCCGGGCGAGGTTCCGTGCATGACTTGATACAAGTTCGAGTCTCCAGTGTCTCCAGTGTCCCCAGTTTGGTCCCCAGTTTGGTCCCCATGGTCCCTAGTTGTGACCCAGTTCTTCCCCATAATTCTATCCATATCGAGAAGAGCACGACGGACACGACGGCACTGACGGGTATCGGTAGCGTCCGTGTGGTTGGATCTTGGAGGGGGTTTCCCTCGAGGCTCCCAACGGCTCCCTAGGGCGCCAAGGAGGCTCAACTGGGAGCTACCTAGGTCCAGCTGGGGGGCTCGGCGGGTGTGTCTGGGCCCGGGACGCGGGGCGGTGGGGGCCCAAGGTGGCAAGCTGTGTCAAGTCAACTTTGTTCGAGTTTATCAGCCAACGAGCCAACATGAAGGCACTTCAGCACGAAGGACCCTCAAAGGGCTGGACCCCCAAGTCTTAGCGTGCGGGTTGCTCGGGGGGCGAATGTTTGACATGGTCCCAAGTCGCTATTCCTGGAGGAAGTCGAGGACCAAGGCGAGAGGCCTCTTCCAGACCCGCGCGATATCCTCCGGCACGACAGAGCAGATAGCAAACAACGAGGTGTATGACTTGCTGTTTCTTCACATGCTCTCCATCCTTATCTTGGGAAGGCGAGAAATTCCAGATATTCCGGAAATGTTGGAAATGTTTGCTATCGAGCTAAAGGAGTTGTTTGTCCGGTTGACGTCAGTGGGCAGAGGACGGGGAAGATACCCGTACAACCTCTAGTGTCCTCCACACATGTGAATAACACTTACACCAGTTCTCCATATTCTCTCCACAGACATGGAGCTTGGCACATCTCGGAAGATCGTCGGTGTCTACTCTCTCCACGGAGATGCGCAAACCTTTACTAACCGTTACGCTGTGCTGTGGACTGTCTACTAGGCTGGCATGGCTGGCCGTAGGGTAAACCGTTGCGCGGCTATGTCGATCGAAGGGATATCCTCTTGCGCTTACAAGGGACAAGGGGTGCGGGAACGCGCGCGGCGGAGCTTTGTCGTATTGAGTAAACTATCCGCCGTGGAGACTGGAGACAGAGGCCGAGCGTTGTGACTATGATCGACCCCGGGTTGCCAGGTCCCTTCCTGTCGAGCTGTCTTCTAAATCATCATCCCCTCACTACTTTCCCCGTTCCTTCTGATCGCGGCGGCGAGCAAACTTTCCCATTTTCACCTCCCTAGTACCGGACATCTTGCCCGGCGTGTCGAACTTATCGCACGACACGACAAGTACCCCAGAATAGAGAATCTAGAGCGAGGAAAAACACAACGGTCTAGACCCGCGCGCGTATTTGACATCTACTCCACCGGGATATCCCAGGTATCCCAGCTAGACAGAGGAGGGGCGAGCACACCAACAGCACCGCAAAAGACACATCAGGTCGAGCTCATCATGAGCACGGTAGACCGACTCTGAAACACTTCTATTTCGGACCAAGGCCCTTGCGTCCTTGCGAATCGCGCCGATAAGGGACCTAACTGCCAGTAACCCCGTCAGTAAACTCCGTCAGTAAACTCCGTCAGGTACCAAAAGGCCCAAGAGTCTTGGAAAAAAAGTCCAAAACTCTAGGCGCATTATCTCGAGTCAGGCGGCATGACTAGGTCGCCAAGCCAGTCCCTGTCGGCGTGAAAGCCGGACAAGATCAATTGGCCAGCAGGTTGTCGTGCTACAGCGTTGAGGCGTGTAAATCCCAAGTCGACGAGTTTTGTCCTTGCTCTTGCTCTTGATCGATCTCGACTTTGCGATTTACAACGCACACGGCCCGGACGATGAAGACTGACTCGGATTTAGCAAACAATTTTCCTCGCCAGATCCTCGCCAGACTCCTCATTGCTCCATCGACCAGAATCTAAGCGAGTATTAGTTATGTTTCTCCTCGAGGCCACTCCCCAGCTCATCCTATAGTCTCTCGATATTCGTGCGTCGTGCTCACACCCGATCGGGGGCATCCGATTCAACGTTGAGGCTTAGCCGTGATGATGTCTGATCGCAACTTCTCGATGGCTTCCAAAGTCTTCTTCGTCTGGAGTCTTCAAGCGGGTGTCAAACTCTTCCGAGACACGATAGCCCCTCTTCCGAGCTCTCTTCCGTGCTTCTCTTTCGTGCTTTCATTTCGTGCTTTTCCTTCGTCCAGTGTTCTCTTTCGTGCTTCTCCTTCCATGCTTGTCGCCTTCGTGCTCTCTCTCACATGCCAAACACCACCAGCCATCTCCCCAGATCAACAAGCAAGGAAGATCTTGGGCTTCCTCTCCCATTTTCACTTCCGCTTCCGCTTCCGCCACTCCACCCTCACAGTACATACACAGGAAACATGTCTCCCTAAGGATGCTTAGAAATTCACATCTCCGCGCGATCGACCTGTAGGAGCATGACGGGCGCCGACTCGCAGACGGGAACTTCCCTTCCCGGATGAGTAATTGAAAGTAAGAGGCCGCGTTGGTAGGAGCTGAGAGCTGAGATTTGAGAGCTGAGATTTGAGAGCTGAGACTTGAAACGGGAAGTGAGGGGATGGATAGTAATCACTATCAACCTCAGGTATCGGGGGAAGGGGGAAGATCGATCATAGTGATGATGGCCTTTTGAGCTACGAATTCTTGAATAGGAAGGGAGAGAATACCGAACAACTGGCTCCTTTGCCGTCTCTGCCGTCTCTGCCGTCTCTGCCGTGTTTGCTCGAGGGAAGGGAATGCAGTGTCCTTTGCGGGCCGCTCCGAATGTGTTCGATCAACAAAAGTCGCGGGCCGCAACGCAAACGTAAATGCAGCTAACGTAGGGCTGCTTGTCTACACTAGTGTATAGCCATTTCGCGGCCGAGATCCGAAAGACGATGCTCGAATCGGAAGTCGTAGCCCGTTTCGAAAATGCCGTAGTGGGAAGCTTCTCCGTGCCTTTGAGATCGCCGGTGCTATGTCTGGACGTGTAGGTAGTGTAGGAGTGGACGGATGTTCCGTGGCCCTGATACCCTAGTGCCCTGATACCCCAGATCGATCTGCATAAAGTCCCATTGAGGCCCATCGACGAGTCCCACCAACCAGTTTAGCCCTCCAGACCCCGTGGGGAGAAATAAAAGGGAATATCTAAACTGTAGCCCCTGATTCCACTCTGCGCCAGTTAGCTTGGCGCCCAACCTTATGTTGTCGCACTGCTCGCAGCCATTGACAAATAACGTCGGGTTACGAGGCGGGGAGCCAAGACACGGTGCTTCGGGCAGCGAGAGAATCGCAAATCGAGTTCGATGACCCCGAGGGCATCACACCGCAGACAACGAGTCGACAAGAACATCGACTCGTGAATTCCTGAATAAAATCGCTCTCGCCGCTTCAATCGCCGAGCCTTGGCCCCAAGACAATAAACCAAGGGATACGAAGGAGAGTGTACAGTAAGCAAACTGAGAGTGTGACGGATGGACGTCAACCCCGCGCGCAAGTCGAGGAGACCCTTGGAAGCCCGGCGGGTCGATCGATGACGTTTGTGCTGGACCCACCAACACCTGCCCGAGTGGGCCGAGCTCGGACCCCGACTCAACAGCGGGCAGCACAGCGCGCATGGAGAGAGACGGGAAAGGCCGGCCCAACCCAACCAACACAAGCGGCCACCAGCGGAAAAAGAATCGATTGGATTTCACTTCTTACGGGTGTGTGTGTCTGCGCCGCAGAAGCTCCCCGCGAACCAACAGATTTGTGTGACGAGATTGCTGAGACTGCAGAAAAAAAAAAGGGACAGGACTGGACAATTGGCGGAAAAAAACAGGAAGCGGAAGAAGAAAAACAACAAAACAAAATCGATGCCAATGTTGTTGAGTCCACTGCGCGCAAACGGTGCCTGAGCGCCTGCAGCGTGGAAAAGGCTCTTTTAGCGCAGCGCGCTGAGGCGAGGGCCCAATCAAGGCTTTACGACCCCGGTACCGTCCCACGCTGGGGCCATCTTCGCCTCCCACAGAGCCTGGCCCTTGCGATGCAACGCAGCATCCCAGTTGAATTGCCCTGCTGGCCAGTGAGTTTTCTCTCGATCGCCGAATGCCACCAAAAAGGCCCATCGCCTTCTCGTATGCATCTGTACAGTACCCACAAGCGTCCCGTTCCCAGCAGCAAGTTAGCCGCCGGCGCCTCTTCCTCCGATCCTCGCCTTGCGCCGTCCATCGAACCTTAACTATTGTCTGTGCTGGTGTATTGTTTATTGCGACGCCGCTGTCCGCGCCTTGAGGATCATTTATTTCCTCTCGTCTTGCCGTCGACTATTCATTCCTTCGATTATTCATTCATATGTCCTCGATGCGACGGTAATCAATTCGCATCGTCCCGTGTCCTCCGACCGACCGACCAACGAACGACCTTTGCCTCCCCATCTTTCTTGTCCTTCTTCTCCTCACCGTCCCAACATCTTGAAACGATAGCGACGAAAGCTGCGGCACTTCTCTCAAAAGTCTCGCCCGTTCCAACCCCGACGAGTACACCGCGACCCGCGACTTTTCCTCCGCACGACGATACCGATTTGGGACGACACGACGAGGCGATTTGAAATCAAGAAGGACCAGAACAGGTTGTCGAAGTGGGCGGGGGACGATTTGTGTGTTTGTTTGCTTTTCTAGGACGATAAGGACGACGAGCAGGATTTGCTGGCCGCTTGGTGCGGTCCGCCACCCAGGCAGTTCAAGCTGGATTATCCGTATGTTATGCTTTTGTGTTATCTGTTTGCTTTGTTCTTATGATTCAGGCGCCACCTCTGCGGCCGGGTTACGGCTGGGACTGGCCGCGCAGATGGGACGAAGGGTCGGACCCAGTTCGTGCTCGCAAGTGCCTCGGTCGTGCTCCCAGTCGTGCCCTCCTCGAGTGAGAGGGCCAGAGCACAGGGAGAGAGAAAGGAAAGAGGGAGAGAGGAAGAGGGAGAACACACGCACACATAGAGAGAGACAGAGAGGAAGGCATCAGTACATGCTAACAAGTGGCAAGGTTCGTCGCCGTGACCGGCTGGTCACATCAGCCACCACCAAATGGCCGCTCTAGCTATGGTCACCACAGGTCACTGTCCAGCATCCTCCGGACCGCCTCGCCCCGACCCTCGTCCACCCATACGCGGTCCAACTCGACCACCGAGCTGCCCATGGTCGGCGACGGTTTCCTCCGGTCGTCCCGGCCCTCGACTCCACAGCCGAAGCGGCTCTTCGTGCCCTCCCACCCGGACGACTTTGACAACGACATGAGTACCATCCCCGACCCCCGGAGCCGCGCCATGAGCCCGGCCAGCGGTGAAGTCCTCATGTCCTCCCCGGCCCACCACCCAGACCTCAACGACGAGGTGGCCACCCTCAGCACCAAGCTCATCAACGCCATCAACCACCAGACCGCCCTGGACGACAACCTGTCAGCCACTCGCGTCGAGCTGGAACGCTCACAGGACCGGATACGCGAGCTCGAGGCCGAGGTTGAGGACCAGCGCGAGATGCTCTCGGGGGACGTCTGGGTGCGCCGGAAGACGGTCGAGGCCGAGAAGGCGATGTTGGTGGCCCGCGCGGCCGAGGAGAAGCGCGCGCGGCTCGACATGGAGCAGCAGAAGAAGAAGATTGAGCAGGAGCTCGAGAACTTGACGGCCGCTTTGTTTGAGGAAGCCAACAAGATGGTCATCTCGGCCAAGGAGGACGCACGCGCGGAGCAAGAGGCCCTGCAGCGCAAGAACGACCAGCTGCGCGCCCAGATCGCCGACACCGAGGCTCTCCTGCGGTCGCAACAGGAGCAGTTAGTCGAGCTCAAGCAGGTCATGGAGCAAATGGCAGTCGAGAAGGAGGAGCAGCAGTCGCCGGCTACTGTCCCTTCATCGCCGGGGCGCGAGAGCGTCGCCGATGCTCGGGAGTCAGTGGGCTTTGGTCCCATGGTTGTTGGGCCGTCGCGCCATCACAGCTTCCCCGTGCCGTCTCCGCCGCCTCAGCCGTCGTATCCGACGAGCTTCACCCACCTTCTGCACCCTGTACTTCGCACCGACCTGGCCGCGTGCAACGATTTCAAGGAGTTGCTCCGCACGACAAAGCGGCTCTCTGCGCCCCGACTTCCTTCCGGGTCGTCCGGTTCTGGTCTGGCGTCTCTGGGTATCGGCCTCGGCTCCGCTACCTCTCACATCTCGATGGGTAGCGTTTCTACCACCTCTCTTGCGACCACGACGGGAACACCACCCACAACCTCCCCACAGACCCCCCACACGCCCGCGTCGTCTGTCAGCAGCACCACGTCCGCCAACACACACACCACCCCGCTCCCACACCTCAAGGAAACCAAGTTCTACAAGCGGGTACTGACCGAGGACATCGAGCCCACGCTCCGGCTCGACACCGCACCCGGGCTTTCCTGGCTCGCCCGCCGCAGCGTCCTCACGGCCATGACAGACGGCTCCCTCGTCGTCGAACCCACCCCATCCACCGCCACCGGCCGCTTCGGCAAAGTCATCAAGCCCGAACTGCACCCGTGCTCCCTCTGCGGCGAAGCCCGCAAGGACGCCGAGCACCTCCTCCGCACGCACCGCTTCCGCGTCAGCGAGACCGACAACACCACCCAGGTCGGCTACCCGCTATGCCGGTACTGTCTCGGCCGCGTGCGGTCGACCTGCGAGTTCCTCGGGTTCTTGCGGATCGTCAAGGACGGCCATTGGCGGTTCGCTGCCGCTGGTGATGATGAGGATGCCGAGTGGAAGGCGGCGTGGGAGGAGAGTGTGCGGCTGCGCGAGCAGATGTTTTGGAGCCGGATGGGTGGCGGGGTGGTGCCGGTGGGTGGTCACGGCCGGCAGTTTTCGGGGTCGGAGAGTATGTTGAGTATCAGGGGGGAGAGGAGTCCGAGGCCTAGTCAGGAGGGGGGGAGGCCGGTGTTGAAGCAGCCTGTTGAGTTGACTGAACCGCCGAAGGGGACTCCAAAAGAGACTCCGAAGGGGGAGACCGAGGCTCCAAGGGAGATTTCGAGCGGGGAGTCTTCAAAGGAGGAGACTCCAAAGGGAGAGCCTTCAAAGGGGGTTGTTGAAATGGCGCAGCAGGCCGCGGTTGAGGAAGCACCCAAGGACTCTTTAGCCCCCGAGGAGCCTTCAGCACCCAAGGAGGTTGGAGATGCTTCGTCAACTCCGTCAACCAAGGAGGTTGAGCAACCCGCTGAGCAACCCGTTGAGCAACCCGCTGAGCAACCCGTTGAGCAACCCGCTGAGCAACCCGCTGAGCAACCCACTGAGTCGCTCAGTGGACAACCCGGGCCCATTGAACTCACCGAGCAACCCACGGAACCCGCCGAACAACCTGTTGCACAGGAGGCGGAACCGACCCCACCTGCTGCACCCACCGAGCAACTCACTGAACAACCCTCCGAACCCACTGAGCAACAACAACCCACTGAATCCACCCCCAAAGTGGATGAAACCAAGGCGCCGCTCAGCGCACCCATCTCCATCACTTTTTGAGATCCTTCATCCATCTCACACCGCGGATGTAGCGCTATAATGCACGATTACATGCATCACCGGTACCATCCTACTCGCCATCATCATCATCATCATCATCACCATCGACCGGTTATCAACTCCATCGGCAACTCTGTACCATTAGTAATATCAATCAACACCACACCAACGCAAAGCATACATGCATTCAAGGCGTTTAACGGCGAAGGTTTCCTTTCCCCTTCTCTTTTCCTTCGATATTTTCTCGGTCTCCGTTTCTTAGTCTGCATCATATCACGATCGTCATTTCTGTCTGGCGTTTCTTGAGAGTAATCGTTTTGGATGAACGGGTATTGTGGTGCCTGGGTGTGGGGGAGTTGCGGACGAGCATTTTCATACATATATACTGTTTTCCTCATTTCGAGTCGTTTCATTTTTCGGTTCTCGGTTTCATTGGACGGGTTGGGATCATGGATGCTCTCTTTGTTTCGGCGGCTTGGATTTATGGCTGCCTTTAGTCCCTGGTCTCTGGTCTCTCTCTGGTTGCAGGTCTCGGCATGGTGGGGGGTTAGGAGGAAGGGAAAGCAAGGGAGGAAAAGGTTGGCAGGGGAGGGGGGCACAGGTGTTTGTTTACTACTTACTACACTGACTACCTGTATTAATATGGTTTGGGCAACGGGGAGACAGGATGGGCGGTGGGCGGTGGGTAGTAGACGGACGGGGACGGGGGTCAGGTTGGGTTGGTCGGGCGGTTTTTGTTTTATAAGAGTATTTGGATTAATTGGAATGGAATGAATGGATATGGGATGTCTTGAATGCCCGTGTCGTATCAAGTGTCTTGTCTGTAAGATGGTGTTATATATGTTCAGTCGGTATGAAATGATGGCAATTGACACTGTCATCGAGCAGGAGTGCTCCGGGTGACTTTCGCGATGGCACTAGGACAGACGTCGCGGATATCAGCAAAGGCACTTCATTCCAGGGGGCGACGTACATGTGCTGACAACCCCCCTTACAATAGGCGTTTAAACACCCCCATTCGGGCACACCCACAACGTCTAATCTGACTAGGTTAGAGAAGAAGCATATTGCTGTGGGTAGAGTCAGGACAGTTGTTGCATATATATGGGAGCTGCACATATATGGGACAGACGTCTCAGGTGAGAAAGAAGAGAGCAAAGCATGGGTCAACTCAAAAACGCTGCATTAAGCTCAGCAATATCAACAAGAAACACTAAAACAAGCAGAATGAAACATTTTTTAGTCGAGATAGAAAAAACTGCATGTATCCATCCATCCACTCATCTGGCAACCTGCAACCGATCTGGACTAGGCTAGTAGTGCGCGAGAAAATAGACAAAACAAATAAAAGCGGGATGAGTATCCAACGACGCGAAGGAAAAGCAAATTCCAAAGCAACAAAAGAACGCGGTTTCGAGAGGGAGTATTAGGAAATATGACACGATAGTGACGGCGATGTGGTGACAGAATTACGAAAGAAAAACAATAAAACGACAATCAAGAAGAAGCATAATTCCCCCACAGTTTACTCATTCCAGTCCTCAAAGCCTCCATCTCCATACGGATTCCACTCCTGGCCCGGGTAGCTCGTGGCACTCATCTGGGGTAGCACCTCCTGGTTCTTGCCGGCGGCCGCCGCAGCGGCGTCTTCATCCAGTACGGGGATCTTCTCCTCCATCATCAGGCGATGCTCGGCCTCACGCTGCTCCTCAGCCTTCTTCTTGGCGCGCTCAAAGATGGCGACGTTGTCCTTGGCCGCGGTGTTGCCGTTTTGGTTGGCCGGGCTGCTCGTGCTGGGGCTGGCTTGTTGCACCGTGGCGATCGCGGCGTCCTGGATGATAGGGGATTCCATGTCGGAGTCAAAGTCTAGGTCATCGTCGTGATCGTGGTCATGGTCCCGGTCGGTGTTGGTGCGCGGAGGCGGGTGGAAGGCGATGGCCGGAGGTGTGGGAATGTCCGAGTCTGAGCTGACGATGGCGTGGGGGTTCTGCACCGGTGGCCGGGTGACCTCGTGGGACAAGCCCGCAGACTTGGGCTCGATGGGACCAGAAACGACAATGGTGTTGGCGGGGACATCACGGGCCACTTGCTGCTGCTGTTGCTGAGGCTGCACCTGCACTTGAACCGGTGGCTGGGGCTGGGGCGGTGGTGACACGGACTGAGGTGACCGCTGGATGGGCGGGGAGCCCGTTTGGGTGCCAGTAGGGAACTGGGACTGACGCGGCGTCGCATCATAAAGGTTATCCTCTTCCACCCGCTGGGCTGTAGGGGTCGCCACCAGCTGGTTCACAGGAGAAGTAGAAGAAGGCGGTTGGATAGTCGACTTAGATTCGGCGCCGGCACCGGCACTCACACCCCGTTCAGCGGCCTTGGGCTGTACTGGCGGGGCTGATGGGTTGACAATCCAACCCGGCGCAGGCTGCTGAGCCGGGGGAGACAAGGGCTGTCCACGACCTGGCCGCTGCGACGGAAGCGAGGCAATGCCGTCAGCACTCAGATCCCTCGAGTGAGACACCTTGTTGCTGCTCTGCCCCTGCGGCGGCGCAATGACCACGTTCACAGGGCCGGACGACGGCTGCGGCGGTGGGACATTGTACTGGAGCTGAGGCGGCGGAGAGACATTGTCGCGAGCAAACGTGCGGGCGGGGAGTCCAGCTTGAGTTTGGGCCTGGACTGGCGGCTGGTTCGCCGGGGGCGGGACAACCGCTTGGGAGACCTGAGGAGCGGGAGTGGGAGTCGACGACTGGGGTGAGACGTCCGGCGCTGTGGGCCGAGAGACAACCGGAGCAGTGGTGGCTGGTGGCTGCTGAATGGACGGGACTTGCAATTGAGGCGGAGCGTCCTCAGCCTTCTGTTCTTGGGCGGGAGCATCTCTAGCAGGCTCTTCGGCAGGAGCAGTGACTGGAGCAGCGCCTGGAGCGGGAGAGGCGGTATCTTGCCGTGCCTGTCCCTGTTCCTGGGCCGCTGAAGTTTGTGTAAGCGCCGAAGCCGGAGCAGGAGTCTGCGACTGCGGAGTCGAAGCTGCCAGTGAGATAGCAGAGGCCGGAATGCCATTAGGCTGCTGTTGCTGGGGTGCACCCGCCGGCTGGCCCGGAGCACCGGGTTGAGCCCACTGTTGCTGTGGTTGCTGCTGAGGGAACCCAGGTCGGGGGCCTGGTCCAGGGAAACCAGGTCCGACGTAGACGTGTGCCGGAGCGGGCGCAACTCGTCCTTCGCCGTGGACGTAGCCATACCCAGCCGGGATGGGAACCTGATCGTACTGTGGCTCCGGTGCCAGCGGACGGGTAACTTGTCGGGGGATCATCTGCGGGGGTAGCTGTCCTTGCGGGGGTTGTCCCGGACCACCACCGGGGCCGCCGAGCTGAGGACCTTGCTGGGGAGGACCTTGCTGGGGAGGGCCTTGCGGGAGAGGACCCGGCATACCAGGACGCAGACCCTGCGGAGGGCCTTGTTGAAACTGTTGCTGTTGAGGGAAACCCGGCGGCCTAGTCATAAATTGCTGCTGCTGCTGCTGCGCTCCCGGAGGAAGCGGGCCTTGACCGGGTCTGCCAGCCTGCGCTTGGGGCGTCTGGGTTGGCTGAGTCTCGGGCTGCTTCCGCTTAAAGGCGCTCATGATGGACGGTTTCGAGCTCTTCTCCTTCTCGGGCTTGGACGCACTGGAGATAGATGCCGCACCCGATGCGGCAGCCGACGACGACTTGCCGCCGAAGAGCAGCTTCGAGATGGTGCTCTGCTCCTTCTCCTTCGGCTGGGCATTGGCCGGAGCACCGTTCGGGCGGGGACCGGGACCAGGACCGCCTGGCCCGGCTTGCTGGCGGAATTGGGCTGGAACAGGGCCGGGTTGGCCCGGCATCCAGTAGCCTTGGCCCGGGGAGCCAGCAGCGCCAGGTGGGCGGGGAGGGCCGGTAAAGCCGGGCGGGCCGGGCTGTGGCTGACCCTGTAAAACAGCCGGGGGCTGGGGACCACCAGCTTGCTGACCTTGCTGACCCGGTTGAGGGCTCGACGGCTGCGGTGTTGAGCCCAACGCTGGGCCCGACTCTTCAGATGCTGAACCGGGACCCTGTGCGATGCGCGGTGTGCCTTGTCCAGAGGAACCACCACCGACCGGGGGCGACCGATCGCCGGCTGCGGGCTGCGGCGAAGCGATGCGTTCAAGCTGCTCACCCGGAATGCCAGGGAGCGGAGGCTGGATATGCGAGGCCGGGGAAACAGGTCGGTTGACATCGTTCCCATCTCCCGGCTGGCCCAGGCTGTTGTTGTTGCCCTGGAGAGTGCTGGGACCCCCCTGGCCTGGGGCCTGCGGAGGAGCAAACAGCGGTTTGGTGCTGACCGGAGAGTCCGCCAAGAACCGGGTCTGCTCAATAGCAAACTGCGTCGCGGGCTGCGAGTGCAACGACACTGGTGAATCGATAATCGACGTGCCGGGAGTAGGCCCCGTAGCGCTGCTTGGCTCACGCTGGGGCACCTGTGGGGACTGGCCGGGTTGTGTTTGCGCAGGCGGTCGTGGGCTCGTGGCCGGAGCAAAGCCAGGATGCTGCTGAAGCTGGTGGCTAAGAGCCGTACCGGGTCGTGGGCCACCTGGGAGACTCTGCGGCGGAAGAGAACCCGCAGTGCCTGGGGGACCGAGAGGGCCCGGAGGACCGGTCTGTCCAAACTGTGGCTGGCCCTGGAACTGCCCGGGATACGGCGACTGCGCGGCTGCCGTAATCGGGCGTCCGTCAGGGCCCAGTGGCGGACGAATGCCAAATCGCTGACCTGGGGCCGGCCCCTGTCCTGGCGGGAAAGAACCGGGCTGTTGACCCTGCAGCGGTGCTTGACTCGGCTGCGAGGATGTCTCCTGACTCTTTGAATCTGCCCGACCTCTCAAGAAACCAAAGAAGCCCGTGCCAGCTTTCTTGTCCGACTGGTTCTGGTTCTGGCCCTGGCCCTGGTTCGGGCGCTGATTCTGGTTTGGACCAGGCCCTTGCTGAGGAGGTTGCGTGCCCTGGAATCCCCAGCCCACAGGTGGCTGTTGCTGCGGCGGCCGCTGCTGCATAAATTGTTGCTGAGGAAAGGGTTGTTGTTGTGGCTGCTGCTGCTGTGGTTGTTGCTGCTGTTGTTGTTGTGGCCCAAGGCCAGGGCCAAGACCCGGGCCAAGACCAGGGTTAGGACCGGGGCTGGGAGTAGGCCCAGGTCCGGGAGCAAAGCGATCCTGTCCATTGGGCATTTGCCCGTTTGCAGAGTTCAGCTGGGGCGAAGAAGCGCCTGGCGAGCTATTGTTGGTATTTCCTTGAGGCCCTGCGCTCTGGGGACCTGCGCTCTGGGGTCCGGCGCTTTGGGGACCCGTGTTCTGGGGCCCAATGTTGGATGCCGGCGAAGCTGAAGCGCCGGGCCCCGGGCTCGGCCCAGTCCGTGGCGGCTGGAATTGGGACGTGCCTAGAGATTGCGACATATTTTGATATTGACCCTGCGGCGGTATATGAGGCTGGGACTGGCCTGGAACTTGGAACTGGCCTTGCGGTTGCCCTTGCCCTGGTGGCTGGCCTTGGAACTGACCCTGGGGCTGGGCTTGGGGCTGGCCCTGGAATTGTGTCTGGGCGCCGGGTGCTTGTGAAGCCGTCTGCGCAGGCATCCGGACAGTAAACGAGGAGCCCGGGTTCTTTGCGTTGTCACGAGGCGAGCCCCGGAACACGTCTTTAAGCGCGGAGAAGCGCTTCTTCGGCCCACCACTGATGCTCCCAGCAGTCTTGTGACCGGGACCGTTCGCCGGTGCCGCACCCCCAGCGCCGCCTGGTCGGTTGTGGAAGAACCCAGTCGGCTTCCGGGTAGGCGGCGCAAATTGAGAAGGCGGGGTATGCCCCTGCATCCTCTCGCCGAGAGGTGTTCCGGGGCTTTGGGCGGTGATGCTATCCTTGCTCTGGCCACTGTAAGACATGTTGTCCGGACTCCCGCCGCCCCTCGGGCCAAAGACCGGGTTCAGTCTCTGCTGTTGGGGCCCTGCTTCCTCCGTGTTCAGGCTAACCACTGAGGCGTCGTCGCCATTGACGTTCTGCGGCTTGGCCACGCTGTCCGGGCCCTGCGGCTGGGACTCGTCGGCGTGATTATTGCTTCCAAGCCGGTTCCGCAGGCTGGAGAACACACCTGAGTTTCGCTTAGGCGGACCGTCTTGGAGATCATGTCGCTGTAGTTCGCTTTGTTGGGACTGATGGGATCGGAAGCGCGACAGGACGCCGCCCTCCTGTTGAGGGCTCTGTGGCCGTTGCGCGGCTTGTTGAGAACCGTCAGGCGGGCTGCTTGGCGGCTGCTCAGTCGCAGCGCGCCGTTGAACTGGCGAGGCAGACATGGGCACGCCAGTTTCCTTGTCGATACCATAGTACGGCCTATCTTCCTGCTGCCGCGACGACGCGTTGCTCGGAGAGTGGCGGTGACGGCCGGTGGGTTGAAGGGGCTCGGACAGGTGCGATTCTTGCAAGTTCCAGCCTCCGCCTTGGGGCTGGAACCGCTGCGACAGGTTGTTTGAAAGCATGTGCGGCGGCACAACCATCTGTCGGCCACCGGCCTGGCCGAACTGCTGGCCTTGACCGGCGATCGGCGCAGGCCCGCCCATGACGGGCTGAGCTGTCCCGGGAGCGCCCACAAAGGCCCTCCCCTGCATCGGAGACGGGCCTTGCCCAGGTAGGCTACCATTCGGGAACCCGGCGTTCGGAAAGCCCCGGTTTTGGATCTGATTCTGATTCTGGCTGGGCGCCTGGCTCTGCACCTGCCACGTTTGGGCCGGGCGTATCGGACCCTGAGCGCCTTGGGAAGCCTGGGCGCCGGGGGTAGGCCGGTAGACGTTCTGGACAAATTGGCCGGACGGTGGGGCGGAGCCTAGGAATTGGCCCGTCTGCTGCTGCTGCTGCTGCTGCTGCTGCTGCTGCTGCGCGGAGGCCATGGTGGGCTGCTGGGAGGAGGGTCCCTGAGCGGAAGAATTGGGTTTGGGGCTTGGTTGCGGGCGAGGAATGCCCTCGGCGTTGTTATCGTTGGTCGTGAACTCCTCGGCCGTTAAGCCTAGTGAGGAGCCAAAAGTCGAAGCGCGGCGAATCGGCGGGAGCCCTACAAAAGACGGAGGCCGATGCTCCACATCGGAGTTCAGCTGTTGCTGGTAGTACTGGGCTTGCGGGTGGTAACCCTGCTGGTAGTCCCTTGGCGGCGGAAGCGGCTTTTGTGTGTACTTTTGAGCGTATGCGGCCATCGGCAAGGGCAGAGGACCCAGATCAGAGGCGGGTCAGAGACGTAAGGGGTACGCGATATCGATCAAGTTACAGCCGTTACAATTCTGTTCTTGATGATTAGTCTCGTCCGGTCGTCGATCGAGAACAACTTCGCTGAAAAAAGGGGATCGACAATGAGCGCGGGGTCACCAGCGAGGGCTGCTCAGCTCAGCTCGAGTTCGCGGAGCGCTATGCGCAAGATGCGATGTACGGCTCTGAGGGATGATGCTATCGAGACTTGTCCTCGTGTATGACCTTGGGGGCAAGAGGGACAGATAATAGATCGACGTACAATCTCATTGGGGACCAATCGGTCGGAGAAAATAGTTCAGATGAACAGGTGGCCCCGGCTCCTCCCCGACGGCGAAGTTGCGGCACTCGATTAGGAATTTTGGCGCGGTGCAGCGGGATGACGACGAGGTCGAGAAAATGTCACGGAGGTTCGAACGCGGAAACGGGGACGAGAACGAGTAACACGAGAAAGCAGGCGTCGAGGCTCGCGAGGCGGAGCTGAGAGAAGATGCTTTGCCGTAAAAAAGGCTCTCAGCCGGCGCGCTCGCAGGACGGCGGCGCGCAATTCGTCGAGAGCGAGCGAGCGAACGAGCGTAGAGAACCGCTATCCGTCCGTCTCTAGCCCACTTCGCGGTGCGTGTAGTTTGGCTAGACCGCACTGGAGATTCCCAACTAGTAAACCGTCGGGATCGCAAAAAAGTGTGGCGGTGAATTGGCCCGTCACCAGCGGCCGATGAGGGTGGAAAGGGATAACTAAAAGAGACAAGGCGACAGGAAGAGAAGGGGGTAAGAAGGACACCAGAACGCGATCGAGGAATTTGGCGACAGCGGCAGCGGCTCGACCGAGACCGACCGACTTTGTCCCGGGGGGCGGGGGGGGGATGCAGAGAGACGAAATGGCCGCGAGCAAGCGAACAACACCACCACCCATGGAGACACACGCAATGGACGCACCTGCACTCTTTAGCTTGCAACGGCTGGACTTCTCATCTGCAGAGAAAGAACCACCAGGGCGTCCCCCCTGCCACGAACCTTGGGGTTCCTTCAGGGCAGACGTGCAGGTATCACGGTGATTGGTCGAGTCTGGGATGCAGCTGCAGCAAGCCCACTGTTGGTGGGCTGAAAATCCATGGCAGCCTGATCCAGCCATGGAAGGCACGAAGGTTGTTAGCACAGTGTGAGGAAGGAGCGTGGAAAGGTTAATTTCACGGAGAATTAGCTCCCAGCCCAGGAGTGGCGTGGGTTGCGAGATTTCGACTTCTTCCATTCCATAGCTCTCTCTCGCTGCTTTCTCCGTAGTGTATGTTCCCATCATCACCCATGAACCGTTTCCTTCAAAACCACCACCGAGAAGAGACAGCCTGGCCGGTTCATGATAGGCCCGCGGGCCGGCCGCCAGTGGAGTCGTGTTGCTGCTGCAGATGTTCCAGGAGCCCTGGTCCCTCCATGTTGCCAATTTAGGATGCGCGCGAGTGGAGATGGGATCATCGCCAATTTCAAACTACCAGAGGGCTGTTAGCGGAGAAGCGCGAGACGAGCTCAACGGGCTCGAGTTTCTCAATGGGGCGAAAAATAAAATCACGAAGATGAGGGGGCACAGCCTGCCGTTGTGGGCCCTCATGAGTGGTCCTCGTTGCGCGACTTGTCTCGAGGCAAGACAACTGCTTTCCACTGCCTCCTGAATCTTATGTGTTGTTTCTCGGCGTTTCTTGGCGAGCTGCTTAAAAGGCCGGACAAACAAGAAGCTCAATGGATAGTTAGCAGAAAACAAGAAATAGAGCACAGTACGAAGCCCTACGACAATACGCAGGGGATGTTTAGCCCATACGTTTTATTCTGTGTGTTGTGTTGTGTAGTTAATGCAGCGTAGCGTAGTGCTAATTATTCGTACTCGTGTTGGTTGTGCCGTGTGTTGGACAATCACCATGTCCTCTCGCTCCAACACAAATTACAAAGTCCCTAAATAAACGCTAATATCCCCTACCCCTCTCCCCAAATAGCTATGCTCTCCCGATCTGGCCACTGCTTGTAAAACTGCCGTTCAATGATTCTCGAATCCTTTAACAGTGCCGTTCAATCCCTTGTCATAACATCCCCATTTTCCTTTCTCACTCAAACACCACCTCCTCCCGCCCCCCTAAGCTTATTCCGCCCCTTACTAAACAACCCCTTCCCAGCCTTCCCCGCAGCCATCAACAACTCCTTACTCTTCGTCCCAGCCTGGTTCCCCGACCGCCCCAACCCGCTCAACCCATGCTGAAGATGCTGCGGGATATGCAACGCCGGTCCGCGTCCACCCAGTCCACTCAACCCTCCCGGTCCGCCCGGCCCGTGAGTCAGTGCCGGTACCGCACCACCAGCACCAGCAGCGGTCCCGTCGTGCAATGGTGCGGCAGCGGCCGCGTGGGCCATCAACACCCCCTCAGCATGCTCCGGATGCGCCGACGTCATGACCTGCACCCACTCGCCAAGACCAGACTCGAGGGCGGCAAACTGCGTGCGTGTCTCGTTGTACAGGCGGATACGGTCCGAGGCAAGAGTCATCTCCATGATGTTACGGAAGTTGATGATGTTTGTTGAGGCGGCCAGGTTGTTCGCGTTCCCGTTCCCGGTTCCCCCGCGGCTGCTCCCTGGTGCTGGTCCCACAGGTTGGAGTCCTGAGTGTTGTTGATCGCTGTCTCTCGTAAAAGCGGGGTGTTGCTCGAGGGGCGGTGAGGCGGACACGGGGTGTGAAGAGTCCTGGAGAACCTCTTTTTCTTCGGCTAGGGAGAGGCGTTTCGTATTGCTTGGCTCGTTAGAGGAATCCGACCCTAGCGACGTAGACCGGTCGTGCTTGTTGAGACCCAATGACGCGCCGAGCGTCGCGGCTGGGTTGAATTCGGGGGCTGATTCGGCCCTCAGGTCTTCTGCTGATTTCTCCGCTTCCCGGGCAGAAGAGGACTGCAACGGATTCACCTCCGGCGCACCGGGAACCGACTCGATATTGACCACATTATCAAGGCCAGATCCGAGGGCTTTCTGCTCAGTTGGAGGGCCAGCGGCCGGCGGTGTCTTGGACGCAGCTGCTGCTTGTGACAACCCTTCCCACGAGAAACGTTTCTGAAGCGTAGAATCGCCCAAAACGCTTCCGGATTGCGCATCAGAAGGCCCTCCAGGAGCAGAGTCCGACGGAGCCTCCACAGCGTTGTCCCCTTTAACAACCTCAGTGGGAATGGGAGGGACATCCGGCACCTCGCCTCCCGCACCAGGAAGAAGCAGGCCCGGTTCCACCTTGTCTTCGGTCGTCGACCAGTAGTCGCCGTACACATCTCCCAAATAGCTGCTCTCCCGTGTGGGATCTGTGGACGCCGCGGCATGGTAAGCAGCCGCCGGGTCTTCAGCTATATTGGTAAAGGCAGAGGTGGAAGGTTGCCCGGGGCTCAGGGACTTCATGATTTCTTCACTGAGGAGGTCGCTGTCTTTGACAGGAGAGTTGTTCGACGAGTCTGTTGTTGAATCTGCTGGCAATGGCGGAGACAAACGCGGTGGAGGGTTCTCGGGCGTGCTTCGGCGAGTATTAAGCGGTGCTGTCGGGGTGATTTCGGAGTGTCCGGTCGACCCCGTTGCTGGCCCGGGGCTGCCGGGTTTGGTGGTTTCGACATCGAGGGACGGCGACGCGAGATGCCGCGTGGCTTCAGGAGAGGTTTGTGGAGGCCCCATCTCCTCGTTTGTAACATTCGGAGCGGGGCTCGATGTAGAAACGGGGAGATCGCGCGGTGAGTCTGAGTGTAAGGCCGTAGGAGCGTTGTTGTCACTAGCCCCGTCTGCCGCACTCGTCGCGTCCTGTGAAGACCCAGTGATCGCAGGAGTAGCAGCGGCAACCGCAGCGGCGAGTGCGTCTTGAGATTTCGCCGTCTCGTCCGATATTTCAGTAGAAGATGGATCAAGAGGAGCGGGTGCAGAAAAGTCGCCGGGTGTCGAGGGTGTCTCGGTGACCCAACCACCCGGCAGTTGTGGCCTGGTTGGCTGGGGCACTGTTTGCTGCGTTTCGGTGGAAGATGTCGGTTCCCGTGCTGCATCAGCCGTATCGGGCTTTGGCGGCTCAGGTGCATCGAGAGCCGCTTGTGTCGCGTCTTGGTGCAACGGCAACCCAAGAGGACCGTCTTGATTGGGTTGGTCGGGCGGCGACGGGGCAGCAGCAGGTTCTCCTGCGTTAGTTGTACCGGTAGTAGCACCCGTATCAGTGGCTTCAGTGGCTGCAGTATTCGAGCCCACATGCCGGATCTCCGGCTCGGGGTTACCGGCCGATTGGCTTCCAGCAGCAGCAGCAGTTTGCACACCCGGCGCTTGGGGTTGAGCTTGACCTTGACCTTGGACTAGGCCCTTTGCCGGTTCTTCTGTCGTTGCTGTCTCGTCGGCCTCCGGGATGCAATCACCCGACGACGGGGATTGCAGACTACCAGAAAGGGGTGAGCGCAGTCCTGAACCAGGGAAAAAAGTGGAGGAGAACAGATCCTCTCCGAACGCCGACATGCGGCTCAGGTCAGGTAACTGGGGGCTTGTAGAATAACGCCGGATATCCCCAAAGGAAACGGGCTGCACAGACTTTGACTGTTCGTCGTGATAGGTTACCTCTCCCTGGCCCTCGCCCCGATCCTGCCCTTGTCCCTGGTTCTGTTTCTGTTCAAGAGCATCCACAGCGGTCGCTCCCGATGCGCCAACTGTCTCATTTAACGGGCCACCAACAGGCCCGGCACCGGACCGACCCGCTTCTTCCCCCATCCGTCGGTACAGATCGGCCGGACGGACAAAGGCTGGGGGCTTCGTTCCTCCAGGTGCCGAAGCCGAAGCCGACGCCGGTGCCGAAGCTCCCGCGATGGAGGGCGATCCCGAGCGGGCCTCGCTCCTATCAATCGACCGGGGGCTCGCATTCGCTTGCCGCATCGCATCCAGAGCGCCCGCACCACCGTCAAGATCCGGCATGGTATTTTCCCGGGAAGAAAGCTGCGAAGGAAGTTGATGGCCACCTTGTGGTGCCGGGGAACCCCCGCGTCTGCCATCGGGAGAGAAAGGCGGTCGCGAGTATCCCGGGCTGTTACGCGGCGATGAGCTATACGGATCGGTCCCCGTCCTCCGCGGCGGGCCGCTAATGGGTACGGATGGCGGGCTAGCTGTCTGGGACCGTACTGGAAGCCCGGCCAAAGACGGGGCAGGATGCTGCTGCGGAAAGGTTCGCACAGGCGGGGACCCAGTCGGCTGGAATTGTCTCGAGGTCGGTGAGTTATTCCCTGTCGGGAAACGTGGCCCGAGGGGCTTTGGTGGAGGTGCGGGGGGCTGGTCGTCGGCATCGTCGTCGTCTTGGTCGCCATACTCGTCACCCCAGTCATCGCCGTCGTAGTTTTGGGGCTTGAAGTTGGCCCATTTTTTTGTCTTCTGGCGGCTCACATTGACCTTGTATTGATTGCCGTCGTTGCTACTCGGCGCGCTTCCTGCGTTCGAGGACCTGTTTTCAATTCGCACGGTTAGCTGGGCGCGCGGGTCAAAGAGGCAATTCGCAAATCAACATAGAGGGGGACACGGACATTGCTTTGCTCGTTGGGAACACGGTCCCGTACGTCCCATCCATGACGACGTTCTAAATTCGGTAATGCCGGAAGTGTGTGCACCCGTTGGAGTAGGTCGGTGGCTTGTTTCGGTTGTAGAGAATTTCTTCTTTCTTTTCTCTATCTGCTTTTTCCCCTCTCGCAATCAAGCAGTCCTAGAGTTGGTTGGCGCGGGCGCACCCAAGAGGCGTCGTGTCTCAATGATGCGCACCCGCAGCTTGCTCTGGCACCTGGGCGGCAAAAAGCGACGGGTGTACTTCGTACTGGCAGACGAGTTGGCAAAGCAGCTTGCTGCCACAGTAATGCTGTTTGGCAGCCGCTCGTGGCTCAGAATTCCCCAGTGAACTTGGGATTAAGGATAGCTGCGATGCAGTATCAGGAGAAGGCCTGTTAGAAGGATCTTGCGCCAGATCGTGGGTCGCGTAAAGGGGCCGGCGGATTCCAGTTGTCGTTGAAAAGTCCGCCCCCACCGAGATGGAATGCCCCCGTTAATTCGCTTCACGAGGGGCCCGGGGTCAGGGACCGCGACGACAAAAGTTGTGGCGCAATGCCAAGTAAACGATGATCTGCACCCAAAAAAAGAGCGTCTCGCTGCAACGACACGGCGCGTCAAATTGGCTGCCAGCTCCCTGATTTTTATTTTCGTTTTCGTGGGAAGACGGGAGACCAATTGGCTTATGGACAAACCCTCTGAACTCGAGGAGAATTTGCAGTCAAGCGGGAACAAGCAACTCAATCCAGCAAGTCTCTCTCGGCGGGGACCATGACGTCGAGGTGCCGAGGGTCTCGAAACATGGAAACAAACAACGCCAGGACCACATGGGAAGCCAGGGAGAAAAGGTTTACGCTGGAGGCAGTTAGCTCCGTGGATGCCCCTGTATCCTGCATACAGCAGAAGGGACCAGGACAGTGAGCATGCAGACAATTCTTGTGACCATCAGAGCTAGGACTGTCGAGTGAGGTCCGTTACTTTCACCCTCCTCCCATACGTCGAGTACGAGTTGCAAGTTAGTTACTCAGATGCGCCGTTGCAAGTTTCGGCTCTGTGCCGTCGTGAAGAGAAGATTGTGGCCCTTGGTTTCTGGTCGACTCCACAGTGATAAAGCACAGTTCCCGCCGAGTGCTCACACAGTCTTGGCGAGGGGCCCACCCTCGGCCGGGCCTGGGGCAGTTTGATGAGCGGAGCGTCCAGGCGCCGCAGAACCGCGCCACTGAATCCGCGCCAAACACCACGTTGCGCTCGATTGAAACTCAACCAGAACAACACCAATCCGCCAGCTCACGATTACCACCACCCGTCACGACGACCGAACATCAACTCATCAGTCTTCTCCCATTGTACAGATCCATTTGATACATCTGAAACGAAGCCTTTCCTCCAACTCCCAACCGAATCAGCCGTCGCATCGACAAGAGGCCCACCCCTGGATTCCATCGAAAACCCCCAAGTTAAACCAAATCCCTTTCGAGAACACTCGCAGAAGCACGCACCCCCACCCCGTCGCGTTCGTCTCCGTTGAATCGATCCGCCGCCATGGCCGTTGCCATCAACGACCGCACGGTGGAGTTTCGCCACATCGTCACAGCCGCCCAGCGAAAACAGTCCGCAAAGCCCGGTTCGCAACGACTTCTCGGTAGCGATGCGCAAAACGGTGCGGCAGCCAGCGCGCCGCCACGACGGTCCGAGTTTGCGCGGCACGCAGCCGACATTGGGAGAGGGATTTCAGGCACGATGGGCAAACTCCAAAAACTCGCACAGCTCGCTAAGAAGCGCTCGCTGTTCGACGACAACCCGGTCGAGGTGAACGAGTTGACCTTCATCATCAAGCAAGACCTGTCCCGCCTCAACGAAGACATCCGCAACCTACAGGGGCTCTCCAAGCAGCTGCACCCCAAGCCGGACCAGGAAGGGGAGAACAACAAAAACATTCTGCTGCTGCTGCAGGGCAAGCTCGGGGATGTCAGCGCCAACTTCAAGGACGTGCTGGAGATCCGGACCAAGAACATCCAGGCGTCGCGGTCACGAACTGAGGCGTTTGTGTCGACGGTGGGACAGCATGCCCACGCGGCCCTGCCGCCGTCGGCGTCTCCGCTGTATGGCACGCCCCAGCGCGGGACACCATCGCCGGGGGCTGATCTTATCTCGCTCAACCCGGGCGGCGGCGGCGATCAGCAGCTGCAGCTGCAGATGATGGAGGAGGGGCAGAACCAGTATATTCAGCAGCGCGGGCAGGCGATCGAGGCGATTGAGTCGACTATCAACGAGCTGGGGTCAATGTACGTCACGTCACCATGGAGGGGAAACAGGGCAAGTTATGTGAACATCCAGTGCTAATACACTTTACAGTTTCGGGCAACTCGCCGCGATGGTGAGCGAGCAGTCGGAGATGATCCAGCGTATCGACGCCAACACGTATGTCCCCCAACCCCAAGAACTCGTGTTATGCGAGCACCCTTTACTAACCCCGCTGCAGAGACGATGTGGTGGATAATGTCGAAGGCGCACAGAAAGAGTTGCTGAAGTACTGGACCCGTGTTTCGGGCAACCGGTGGCTTGTGGCCAAGATGTTTGGTGTTCTGGTACGTCGAACCCCACCCATTCACCCCTTATCTTTTTGTAACACACCCCATGCTAACATCACACTCGCTCGGTAGATGGTATTCTTCCTGCTCTGGGTGTTGATCGCCGGGTAGCTGGGGCAGCGCAGTGCGTTGTGCATTGCCCGTCTTCTTTTCTCTCCCTTTCTTGTATACCAACTTTTAGCCCTTACACCTTCCTACTACTACTACACTTTGCGGCGGGCGTCAGCATAGACTCTTTTTTCTCTCTCGCGTCTCGTGCGGTAGACATTTTTTTTTTTTAGTAATAGGGAGGGATCCAACGCATCGGTCGAATACGCATTCATGTCTTGGAGGGATGGAGGAATGAAGGGATATGGGGGTATGAGGGTGGTGGAGGTATCTTGTAGCTTTGTATTGGCGAGATGACAGCAAGCGTAAAGAAATGCGTAAGGTCAGGCGGCAGTGTTCGTTACACATGAGGATTGATCCATGGTTTCTTAGATGTGGTGGTGGTGCCAGTCATACTCGGGGTGGGGTTGTTGGTACTTGAATTCAGTACGGTAATTACAGATGCGAAACGGACCGTGACAGATCATGACCGGCCTGGATTTTCGCCAGTTTTGTCCACGGAATATATTTTCCACCTATCAACTCTTGGTTTCCCGGTGAAACCCACGATGTCCCTGGACAACCCCACCATCCCCGCCTACCCCGCGATGTTGTGAGAAGCAGTTATACAGAGAGGCAGTTTGTTTAGCTATTCATGACCCGTGAGAATCGAGATGACCCGTATGCTGGACCGGGTAGACTTGAGGTATAGAGGAACAAACATCTGTTCTTTTCCGAGCCTCCTTGGAAAAACAGAATGAGATTTGAATCATGTCCTTCGATTATTCGACGGATCAATCATCAAGCCAAGGAACCGTTCGGCACATGAAGCTCCCCGCGGCAAAGATGCACCGAAGCTCGACCCGCTCCGCCGCTCGGGGTGTCGTGATGGCGCCCCCATTTAGCCGGGGTTGAAACAGAGAAATAGATACCCACTTGAAACCTTTCACTCCCTGTTCCTTGACATTTAACACGGAGGGCGATTGATGTTTCCTGTGACCTACACGTATAACAAGTTGCCTGCCCGTTGTGTAACAGACGAACTCCCAGAGATCACGCAGATAACCACCACAATGGCAGACAAGACCTTCAAGCTCAACACCGGCCAGGACATTCCCGCTCTGGGCCTTGGTGAGTAGCCCTCTTTACGCCCAGTCCGTGATGGCTTTTCTTCAACAATCCATCTAACCTGAGTACACACTCCAACAGGCACATGGCAAGGCGAACCCGGCAAAGTCAAGACCGCAGTTGCGCACGCCCTCAAGGCCGGCTACCGGCTGATCGACGGGGCCTACTGCTACGGCAACGAGGACGAGGTCGGACAGGGCCTAGCGGAGGCGTTTGCTGCGGGCCTCAAGCGTGAGGATGTGTTTGTCGTGAGCAAGGTGTGGGCTACGTACACGACGCGGTGCGAGCTGGGGCTGCAGAAGAGTCTGGACAAGTTGGGGTTGGATTATGTAGATTTGTTCTTGGTCGTAGGTTGAACAGTCTCTGGATTGGATGAAGAGATGCTGACGAGGTGATAGCATTGGCCTTTGTTGATGAACCCTGAAGGTGAGAACCCAGAGTCATATCCCCCGGGATAAACGGTCATACTCACTCTATCTCAGGCAACGATGACCGGTTCCCCAAGCTCCCCAATGGTGAGCGCGACATCATCCGCTCACACAACCACGTCGACACATGGAAGCAGATGGAGAAGCTCGTCGCGACGGGCAAGACCAAGGCCATTGGTGTTTCTAACGTATGGCCCCCTATATCTCCAACGCCTAGGTTTCTAGGTACGACCTAGCTAACACATGCCACAGTACAGCAAACGCTACCTGGAACAGCTGCTCCCGCACGCCACGATCAAGCCGGCGGTCAACCAGATCGAGAACCACCCTGCCCTGCCGCAGCAAGAGATTGTCGACCTCTGCAAGCAAGAAGGCATCCACATCATGGCGTACAGCCCGCTGGGCAGCACGGGCGGGCCGCTGCTGACGGCCGAGCCGGTGGTCCAGATTGCTGAGAAGCACGGCGTGCCGGCGTCGACGGTGTTGTTGAGTTACCACAGTGAGCTTTTTATCCGCCTCGAAACATGGAAAAAAAAAGACAAGAAAAAAGAGAGACTGTAGAGTGGTGCTAACGGTATTCACAGTCCCCCGTGGCAGCACAGTCCTGGCCAAGTCGGTCACGCCGTCGCGCATCGACGCCAACCTGAAGCTGATCGACCTCGATGCCGACGACGTCAAGGTGCTCAACGACTACTCGGATAGGTTGGGCAAAGAGAAGAAGTTCCAGCGGTTTGTGTATCCGCCGTTTGGTGTCGAGTTTGGCTTCCCGGATAAGTCGTAGGCAGGGGAGTACGGTTCATGGAAGATATAGAGGGGGTAAATAAATAGGAGTAAACAGTCGCGGATTATACAATGCAATCTTCTAAATCTTTCTACATTTTATGCGTGCCTATTCCTACATATCTACCATCACTTTCAACACCAACTTCCCCTCATCATCCTTCACCCTGGCAGCCATATCAAACGCCTTGGGGATACTGTCCAACCCGGTAAACCGCTGGGTAATGAGCTTGGTAAAGTCAGGCAGCTTGGGGTCCTTGCTGGCCAGCAGCTGGATGACGCGCGGGTAGGTGTTGGCGTAGCGGAAGACGCCGACGAGGTCGACCTCGCGGAGCGCGGCAGCCGAGATGGGCAGGGTCTGGATGGGGTTGCCCATGCCGATGAGCATGATGCGGCCGCCGGGGGCTGTGGCCTACGACATCATTAGTGGTTTTTCTCTCAAAGAGTTGAGATACAGCAGACAATGGCAAAGTAACTCACATAAATGGCAGCCTGCAAACACGTCTCAACCCCCGTACATTCATACGTAACCCCAACGTCCCCAAACACCTCCCCCTCCTTCCCCCCCGGTACCACCGTCCCCTTCACAAGCCCAGCCACTTCCCTCGCAAACGCCAGCTTCGCCTCCACCGTCTCAGGCCTCGTCATCGGCACAACAACCGCCGCATCAGCAAACCCGTTATCCACGGCAAACTGCACCCGGTCAGGCTGGATATCAGCGATGACGACGCGGGCGCCGGCCACGGCTTTGCTGAGTGCCGCACACAGCAGGCCGACGGTGCCGGCGCCGAAGACGAGGACGGTTTGGTTGGGGGTTGTCAGGCGGGCGCGGTCGAGGGCGTGGAGGGCGACGGCTAGCGGTTCGGTTAGGGCGCCTTGTTCGAGGGTTACCGAGGGGGGGAGTCTGGGGGTTCGTTAGCATGTTGAAGAATTCTCAACCACCCCCCCAAAAATGGAAAGAAAAAGGGGAGAAAACATACTTGTGACACCACTTAGCCGGGTGAGTAATCCGTTCCTGCAGCGTTCCCTGCGCATGCGGCACCGCCTTGGCCGAGCTGCGAAACTTCATCTCGCGGCAGATATTATACCGTCCCGCGACACACAGCTCACAACGCTCACACGGCTGGCCCACCTCGAGCGCGACACGGTCACCGACCTGGAAGGTTGAGGTTGAGGCAGAGCCCACCGCAGTGACAACGCCGGCCGACTCGTGGCCCAGGGTCAGCGGCTCGCGGACGAGGATGTCGCCGTTGCGGAAGTGGCCGAAGTAGTGCAGGTCGGACCCGCAGAGGCCGGTGGCTTTGACGGCGACTTGGACGTCGTCGGGGCCGAGAGGGGGGAGGTCCCGGGATTCCTAAGAGTGTCAGCGGCTTTTCTTTTTCTTTCCCCCCATTTCTTTTATCTTGTTTTTATTTCTTTTTGCAAAAAAAAATATTAGGGGGTACGTACGAGACGCAGGTCCCGGGCTCCGTGGAGGACGGAGGCGTTTACGCGGGCAGCCATGGCAACCTAGGAGCCTGAGGGATACTCTCAAAATTGACGCTTGTATGTACAAGAAAAGGGGGTTGAAGTCAAGTAAGTAGAAATGAAACTCAAAGTATTACAAGTGTATCAACGGTGCTACGTCGGAACTAGGCAAATTAAATTCTACAAGAGTGTGAATACAAATACACTAATGTTTGTGTCTCCTTTCCACGCCGATACCGATCCGCCGCCGGTCCATGTCCGGTCGACGGGGAAACACTCACCCGGAGCCACAGGAGGGCCGAATTGGCGGGGTTGTCCAACGGTCAGGGGCCGAGGGAGTCGAGATCCGGTGGTAAGCGGAGTGTGTAATTACCCCACGATTTCAATGTCCAGTACGTGCTTTACGCCGTTAATTACCGGTTTACGGGCCTTTCCCTGTGAGCTCACCGGAAAGCAGCCCACTTACACCCCTCCGAGGTATTACGTGGGGCCTGTTCCTCATTCAGTCACCACTTCTCAGCACACAACTTTAACCCTCACTCTCAATTCTTACTCTTAAAACAACGTCATCGAACCAGCCCAATATGTTTTCTCTTGAAGGCCACACGGCGCTGGTGACGGGCGGCACGCGGGGCATTGGCCAGGCTGTTGCTATTGCGCTCGCCGAGGCCGGAGCCGACATTCTACTCGTCCAGGTGCGTCACTTCCATACTTTTACTACTTTTACTGGCTGAGTTATGGGTTCCCTTTTTCACTCATGCTTACTTGTTTCTCAACCTCTATTCTCTTGCATATTGAACACGCCCCTGAATTAAACCCCTGAACACAACAAACACACACCCAACCATATATCCAACCTTCAACCTCTAATCATAGAACTATGCTAACCAACTACCCAGCGCGACCCCTCCTCAACAGCAACCCAATCCGCCATCCAAGCCCTCGGCCGCAAAGCCACAATCTACACCGCCGATCTCTCCGACCCGGCCTCCGTCGCCTCCCTCGTACCCGCCATCCTGAACGACATCACCGAAATCCGCATCCTAGTAAACTGCGCCGGCATCCAACGCCGACACCCCTCCCACCTCTTCCCCGACACCGACTTCCAACAAGTCCTCCAAGTCAACCTTTCCAGCGTCTTCACCCTCTGCCGGGACGTCGGCGCCCACATGCTGAACCTGGAACCCTCCCCCGTGACAGGCCGCAGGGGATCCATCATCAACTTCGCTTCTCTGTTGACTTTCCAAGGCGGGTTGACGGTCCCCGCGTATGCGGCGTCCAAGGGGGCCGTGGGCCAGTTGACCAAGAGTTTGGCGAATGAGTGGACGGCGAAGGGGGTGACGGTGAATGCGATTGCGCCGGGGTATGTTGAGACGGAGATGAATACGGCTTTATTGAATGATCCGGAGCGGTTGGCGAGTATTAGTGCGAGGATACCCGCCGGGAGGGTATGTTTCCCCCTTTCCCCCCTTTTCTACCCCTGATTGTTCCCCTTATTGCGCCCCTTATTGCGCCCCTTATTGTTTAAAGACCGCTCGCTGGGCTGAGACTGACCATTACGCAGTGGGGCAACCCTGAGGACTTCAAGGGTACGGCAGTGTACCTGGCTAGCAAGGCGAGCGCCTATGTGAGCGGACACGTACTGGTGGTGGACGGTGGGTGGATGGGACGGTGACGGATCCTAACAACACTTGGTTTTCTTGTATATGGATCTATGGACAGGGTTGGTCGATAAAATCTGGTAAAGCATAACGTTACAGCAAACTTTCACCCTGATTCCCATTTGCATCATAACCCCCATCTAATCCCGCACTCCGGCCATAACCTTCTCCATCCACGGATACACAGACTCGTTGGCCATCGGATATCCCATATGCAACGCCCCCGGGAAAAACCGGGCGTGCTTGGCGGTGCCATACTCCAACAGCATGAATGAGTCCTCGATCGGCATCAGTCCGTCTTGCGTGCCCTGTTCTCGTTAGCCGATGTAGTCCTACGTCGAGTTTATTAGGAAACTTACATTGACCAAAAGCAGCTCGGTCGACGGCTGCTGGATGATGCCCGTCTCGAGCAACGAGAACTTCTTTTGCGCATTCGCCTTGTACTCTTCGACAGAACTAAAGCCGTGTTTCATCGCCATTGCAGGCGTCAACCTACTACGAGTGAGCCTTCTCCCATAAAACTGAAACGGTGGAAGGAGAAGAGTAACAAGACGTACTGGAAAGGGTACTCATGCCCCTCGGCCTTCTCCAACCACTCGGGATCATAAAAATGATGGCACCCCGCCCCCTGGGCAACACAGCCCGCTAGCTGGCTCCCATGGGTGTGCGCAATGCGCACGGCGTAGTACCCGCCGGCACTGAGTCCCCAGACCATCACGCGTTTCATGTCGAACCGGCCGTCCTTGCCCATCCACCTAAGCAGGCTGGTCCACATCCGGTCGGGCGACTTCGGGTCGGCGCTGTCCGCGGGGCAGTCCGCCGTGCCAGGGATTTCGACCACCACCGAGGCCCTGTCTTTGTCAGCCTTGACTGTGTTCTATCTTCACATACAGTGCAAGGGGAAGATGAGAGAAACAGTACGTACCAGCCCCTCTTCAAAAACTCATTACACCGCACCGTGTTATCCGGCCGGTACCCATCCAGTCCCGTCATCAAAATCACCACGGGGCTCTTCTCCCCGGGTCCCTTCGACGACGGAGTCCGGACATACACCGGGATCTTGTCCCGGTCTGCGCCTATAGCGTACACATGCTGGACAATCACGTCCTGGAGGGGGCTCTCCCATAGCGCGCCGGCCTTGAGGTAGGCAGCCTTTTGTGCCTCCCATGCTTTCCTGTTGCATTTTCTCGTGTCAGTAATGAATTTTGTCCAGGTAGGTATGCTAGAGGACGTCTCTGAGAATACTAAAGAGTCGAGAACATACCACTTGGCAAGATCATTGACAATCGGATACCCGGTGATGTACGGGAACCGGGCAATCCGGTACACGGCACAGGCCCGCAGGTACAAAATCGACGCCGCGTGCTTCTTGCCGGCCGCCACGGCTGCGTCGCCTGACGAGACAAGACCCTCGGCGACGGGGAAGAAGGCCTCGGTATAGGCTGGAGAGGTGGCGTCATTGGAGTGTTTCTGGGGTTTGTGTGAGTCAGGTGTGAGTCAGGTGTGAGTTGGGTGAGTGGGTGAATGGGTGTCGGGCGATATTATAGGGAGAGCACCTCAATAAGCTCCGCAAATATGGGAGCAAAATCCTCATAGTCACCGTCGTGGAACGGGTAGAGGGATTTGGTGCACTGGAAACATATCCGTCAGTGCTCATAACAGGATGGATAATCGTGTTCAGTCCGTACCGGAAACTTCCACCGAGTCTCCCACAACTCCTTGATACCATTGTGGTGCGGCATACGTTGCTCAAATGCCTCAGCGCCCATGATCCACTGCTTAGGGGCCTTCTCCCCGTCCTTGCCAGAGGCAGCGGCAGCCCGAGTTGAGTGAGGAGACATAATGCACAGAGTAGCAAGATAGTCACGGACGGTGAACAAATGGGAGGAAGTCGGAAGAAGAAGAAGAGAACGAATTGTTGAGAAGTAGTAAGATGGGCTATGTGACAAGTGACTCTGCTTCACAGCGCTTTTTCCTTGTTGGCAACCGGTGATCCGTTCTTGCGACCAAGAGAAGAAGAAGAGGAAGAAGCAGAATACACCGAAACTGAACTGCGTCTTCTTCGACGAGTGGGAGCAGGTTGGGGGACTCCGAGTTTTTGACACGCTCTGTTTATAGCAGGATTAATTATTATCTGAACCCCAACACCAACGTCATTTGGGAGGGGACGAGAGGAGAGGGGAGGATAAGAGAGAGGGGGTGCACGCACTCCAACTGCACCAGAGCGATGCGGACCCGGGTCAGAGCGACGTGGAGGTCGCGGTCAATGGGTTCCGACTGCATTGTGTTTTATGGTTTTTTCTAACGCAAATCGGGAAGGCGTAAGTAAGAAACTGTATCGGTGGAGAGCGTCTCAGAACGGTCGAGGACTGAGTGTTGGGGATATCCGTCGTAATCCGTAGTCCGAGTGTGATGCAAGGACAACCGCTTTGTCTAATTAGATAGCGCTAGGTAGTTGAGTGTTGGGGTTGGAGTGCTTCCGGGAGCAAGATAGATGGCCGTAGAATATTTGAAATAAAGTCAAAGAGGGGATGGGAATGGCTCAGATCTTGTAAGTGTCAGTTTTGGAATCATACGTTTGATTCCATATAAGTGAGATGACCTGAGAGTAATCCAAAAAGCTGACCGCAGCGGGCCGTGGCCAACTTCTAATACTAATACCAGTACTAATACGCCATTCCACCTCCGAGTCCCGGGAAATCCAAAAGGATGTCCACTACTCAGCAAGCCACCTCTCCGTCGAATAAGAATTACGCCGATGAGTTTGTTTCCCGGTGACCTTTCGCTGTTACTCGGGGTTCCCCGTCAAGGGTGACATGGCGGGCCGGTGTAACGCTAGGAACTCCGATCAGGAATCCGGGGGACAAGCAAGACCAGATACCAAGGCGGGGGAGAAACAAAATGCAGGCTGGTTTAGGAAAGTCCCCGGAGTTGGTGCGATGGGGTAAACGAGAAACTTGGCTTGGCGGAGGGCGCTCCCGTTTCCCGCTGGGGGGGAAATTGTGAGAAATCACATGTCGGAGGCGAGAAGGAATGCGGCCGCTGGTGGTTCGCGAGGTCGGATTGGAGGTTGGCATTGGCGTCTTGGTGTGGTGGAGGGGCACAGGCTGTCACACGGCCACTCAATCCGCGGGTCGTATGTTTCGCGGATGCACAGCATGCAACCGGGGCTGTTCGAGGGGGTGTGAACGAGGTCGGTGGGTCGAGAAGTGCCGGGTCATTTTTGTTGTCGCTGTTCGTTGTCGCTATTCGTTATCGCTACGATGGAAGTACGGAGTATCGCCCGTTTCATCCAGCAAAGTGTCCCAGTACCACAGCCAAATGGCCGGGGGTGCCAACCATACGCAAATACCATTAAAAGCAAGACACGCTATTCCAAATCTATATCTATCCGCCAGTCCTCGTTCCCAGAATCTCCCTGTGTGCACCACAACCAATGTTTCCCATTCCAGCGCTGGTTGACCCTGCTTGTGCTGTGTGACCGTCCGTTGCGAAGTGTGTGGTCTGCGAATGGGACAGACAGACTCGGTGCATTTCAGAGATTGGCCGTATCGTTGCCTGTTCCCATTCGACCGACGCAGCCAGCAAGTCAGCTTCAACGCCCGCACCAACTGCGCCAAAACAAGCCCGCATCCCCCTCCCTTTCCACCTTGTTGTCAAGATCCCAAAAGTGCAGTAAAGTAAATCATTGGGAAGCACCATTACTCTTCGGCCCCTCGTGGTAGTGCGCCATCTCCAAGCCGGCACGCCGAAACCCGCACTTGACGTAGAACCCCTCGTTGGCCTCGCTGCAGTCGAGGATGGTCTTGTAGCACCCCGTCTGTGTGGCAATGTAGTCGAGCGCCTGGATCAGCCGCAGGCCCAGCTTCTTGCCCTGCTGGTCCTTGGCCACCGCGATGTCTTCGATGTGTCCGACTGAGCCGAGGTTGTGGATGCTGTTTGTGGAGTTCAATTAGCTGTTGTTCGATTCTCGAGAAAGTTGGAGATGGATGGATAATGGAAAAGGGCCACCTACAACTTGCGCTCCGCCAGCAGCGCGCCTGTCCCGACAACGCGCGGCGGCTTCGCCGTGGTGTCCTCGATGACAACAATAAAGTAGCTGCCGTCCTGTTTCGCGATCCAGTCGTAACGCTCGTCCCACTGCTCCTTGGTCACGTCGCCCACCGTCGTCAGCACCCGCAGGCAGTCGAGGAACCCGGCGCTGTAGTCCTCGCGACGGAGAGGGCGCAGCTTGTAGCCCTCAGGGAGCGCGGCCTGTACGTCCTTGGAGAGGTACTTGGCGGCGAAGAGTCCTTCTTCAGCCATGATGTGTTTGTGTGGTTGCGAGGTCGGTGTCGGTGTGGAAAGGGAATAGCGGTCGGCGGTGGACCTGGACGGTGGACGGGGGACGGGAGGCTCAGGCTCGGGACGAGGGATTGGATGTCGTGAAGAAGATATGGACGGTTCTTGGAGATGGCAGAGATCAGAACAGAGAGTCTGTATTTATTTCAATGCAGCTCAATGGAAGTAAGCCGTGTAGATCAGAATTGGGTGTCAATACGAGGCGTGGAGGGGCATTTGTTGGATTCCATCTTCCCTGCCAAGCCCCGATTGACACGCCAACCAGGGGCAGATCTGGGGGCAGGTGGCCCCCCTGTAAGGCTAAAAATGGGGGGGTGAAGACCATTTTGTTGGGCTGCAGTGCCGTTGTCGCAGCTTCATTCAACCAACAAACCCGACTGGATCTTTAGACGAACCGAATTCTCATAATTCCAGCGAATAATTCAGCATTTAACTATCTCACGTCAATTGGATCCAGGTTAGGTGGAATCGAGAAGAACACCTTCTTTTATTTATCTTTATTAATTTATTGCTTTTTTTATGTTTTATTTACTACATACATAGTAGTAGTAGCAGAACTACTCCGGCTTCTCGGTGACAATCTTCCCTTCCTTATCATAAAAGATCTCCTTGACCTTGACCGACCGCAGGTGGTTAACCCCCTTGCTGAGCTCACAGTCGTGGTGGAACAGCCACCAGCGGCCCTGGAACTCAACAATAGAGTGGTGCGTGGTCCAGCCCAGCACCGGCTCGAGGATGCGCCCGCCGTACGTGAAGGGCCCATACGGACTATCGCCCACGCCGTACGCCAGGTAATGCGTGTCGCCCGTCGAGTAGCTAAAGTAGTACTTCCCGTTGTACTTGTGCAGCCAAGCAGCCTCAAAGAACCGCCGGTCGTGGTCGTCCGCCAGGATCGGCTCGCCCGTCTCCGGCGCCAGGATCTTGATCTCCTGCACCTCGGCCGCGAACTGCCGCATGTCGTCCGTCAGCTTGGCCACGCGCGGGCCGAGCGCGTGCACGCCTGCGCCCGACGGCTCCTTGGGCCCTTGCCACTCCGCGTCAAACACGTCGTGGCCCTTTTGGTAGCACTGCAGCTGCCCGCCCCAGAGCCCGCCGAAGTAGACGTAGGCCTGGCCGTCGTCGTCGACAAACGTGGCCGGGTCGATGCTGTAGCTGCCCTTGATGGGCTCCGGGTCGGGCGTGAAGGGACCTTCGGGCCGGTCGCCCACGGCCACGCCGATGCGGAAGATGCCTTCCTTGTCGCGGGCCGGGAAGTACAGGTAGTATTTGCCGTTCTTGAAAGCGGCGTCGGGGGCCCACAGCTGCTTGGACACCCAGGGGATGTCCTCTGTCTTGAGCACGACGCCGTGGTCGGTCACGGGGGCCGCCGGGTCCAGCGAGTCGGTGCTGAAGACGTGGTAGTCGGCCATGTCGTACTGGTCGCCATTGTCGTTGAACTGGATGTCGGTCTCGCGGTCGTGCGACGGGTAGATGTAGACCTTGCCCTCGAACACGTGTGCCGACGGGTCGGCCGTGTAGAGGTGGGTGATGAGGGGGGCCATCTTGAGAAGGGGAATTTGGAGTCGCGGGGTCGTGATGCGGGGAGGGGTCTCAGGGTTGTAAGTTCTCCGAGATGTTGTAAAACCAGACGGGAGAAGCAAGAGAGCGTTTCCCACCGAGGCAGAAGAACGGGATGTTCAGGTTAAATAGGAGACCTCCTCCTGTGTAAAAACGAAAGCGAGGTCTCACATGAGAATACCTGGACGCCGCTAGATCCTCAAGACCGTCGTCGGCCGGGCGCGTGGCTGTCGGAAGCAGCATGGTCTGGTCCCCATATCCCTATTTATCCCCATTTACCCGCCTGCCCAGTATTCCGGGTGGACTTGGCGGGTCTGCGGGGCGCTGGCTTGTGTCGGTCGTCGGCCGCGAGCCGCGAGCCGTGAGCCGTCTGAGCCGCGATCTTCATCCAGATTTTGGAATGGAGGATTTAGACAACGGCGGGTCGAGGTCCATTGTGGCTGCGCTATTTAACGGAGAGCGGGTAGTCCAGATATTGATGTGAAGCGGGCCGTGAGAGAAACAGCCTGGCTCCACCGTGTGACGATGATGTTCTGCTTTGGCTGATACAATCTACCTTGGCTTTTAAAACATCTCACAAAGATCTCCAGATCCGGATTTACGTCTCTATTTGGGGACCTAGCGGATCAGCGCGAGTGTTTGGCATTGGAGCGCCAAATAATACACAATACAGCAGCTAAGGAGTAGTACATAACTGCACCTTGTGTAAACCGCATGGCGGTTCCACTTCCTCATACCTATCAAATCTCGTCCTACCCTCCCTGCTGTGTTTATGTATAATTTTCCTGGAAAAAAGGGGTATGGGGTCAGATAATGGGGACCGAGAGCAAGACGTCCGGGATGAAACTTGCAACTGTTACGTTCGCGTACGTATTACACATCCCTTCGTGATTTCGGGTATCAAAGTTAACAACTCAATATCTCCTAACAAGAGTTCCAAACAGAGAGTAGTAACTTCAAACGAGCAACTCCCCCTTCCCCCCCTCTCCCTCTTTTAAAAGTCTTGCACCCCCGTCTCCCCCTCCAACACCCTCTCCCCTGTCCCACAACCCCCTTTTCCACCCCTCCCCTCCTCCTCCCCTTCCTCATCGTCGCCAACCTCCCACGCAGCCTCCTCCTCCTCAAACCACGCCTCCTCCCTTGCCTGCCTCTCTAGCTCATCATACTCGTCGTCCCCGTCTACCTTGGCATAGTCATCAAAGTCGCCGTCCTCGCCGCGTATGAAGCGGTCGCGCAGGTAGGCTTCCCATTGCTCACGGCCTTCGGCGCGGGTGTGGGGGGGTGTGGTGAGGGTTGCTGTTAGGGTGCTGAAGGGGGTTGTTGTTGTCGTTGCTGTTGTGGTTGTGGTTGTTGTCCCTGGGGCTGCTGGTGATAATGGGGGGGTTTCTTCGTTGGTTGGGTTTGGGTTTGGTGTTATTCTTTGACCTGTGACGTTCCCATTACCACCAACGCCGTTAGAGTGGCTGCCAGCAGTACCACTCCCAGTCCCAGTCTCCGAGTCCAACTGCCCCCCATTCGCACCCACTGTGCCCTCTCGCAACTTGGCCAACCGCTCTTCGCCCCGGAGCAGCGACCCTTCGAGGACACGCGCATACCCCTTGGATCGGCCCTCGGCCTCGCGCTCTGCTGGTGTTTGGAAGCGCCGGATTAGGTGGTCATAGAGGAGGGGATCTGAGTGTGTTAGTCAACATTATCAAGTCGTCTCAAGATTCAACAGCTAAGATGAGCCCGTGATTTATTCTTCTCACTTTACATCGAGAAAAAGATAGGGCCGGAAACGCAGGAAATAACCCCCGGAAAAAGACATGAGTCGCGGATATATCTTACCTGCCAGCTCATGCTCACTCGACTGGAAGTATTCGGCGTGTCTGTCCAAATACGCCCGCCTGCGATTCTGCACTCGAATCCGCGCCAAGTGCCCGGGGGATTTCGGTGCTCGAGGTCGCGGTTGTGAAAATGAATTTGGTGTGGATGGGGGTGAGTCGAATTTGGGGACCATGATGGAATCAAATATGTGATGAGAAGCCGGTTGTGTTGTGGTTTTTGATGTATTGGAAACGAATTTACTGAAATGATGGATGAAAGTCGACGGTTGCGCCGACAACGCTGTGGTCGCTATGAACTTGGAGCTAAGGACCCACCTTTGCTCAGGGGCTTGCTGTCGTTAAGTTGGGAATGTTGTGCACCATCGACGGTGTATCCATGGAGGTGCACAAAACCGCCGTTCTATGCTATAGTTGTTAACTACAGTACATTACATTACCGTCTAAGTCTACAGGTATCCTTCTCACAACATCTCGACAACCAAATGGCCGCCTCGGACCCATGGTATCCTAGCATCAAAGGAATCTATCCCACCCAGGCCTTCCCATACATCTCCATCTCCCAAACGCCGTGCACCATGCATAAATCCATAAAATCAGCGCACTGGAAAACACTCAACCGGCCATGATACTGCGCCCACCATCGGCAGTCGTCCGGCCTCGAATCCGAACCTTCAACACCCCATGCGCCAACCGCCGAATCACCTTCGCCCCATCGGCCTGCCCTCCAGCCGCCTTCGTATGAACGCCCACAATAGCACTCGGCGCAAACACCAACGCCTCTCCAACCTTCAAATCCACAATCTTCGCGAACAGCTCCAACGCCGGGTCAACCTCCCCCAGCGTCAGCGACCCCACGCCATCTACCCCTTCTTCTTCCGCATCACCACCCCCACCCAGGGTCAACTTCCTCGCCTTCTCCAACATCCTCCCCCCCGCCGACACCCCCGCAAGATGTTTCTTCAACGCACTCAACCAATCCGGCGACGTAAACCGATGCACAGCCGTCACACTGCACAAATCCAGCAGTTTCGGACTAATAGTCGGTTCCTGCGTAGAAATGAGCACGCGCGCGCCGAGATGGCGCTGCAGCCGGATGGTCGCCAGCAGCGACTCCGTGAGGGTGGCGCACTCCTGGGACTCGGTCATGTATTTGTGGGCTTCGTCTAGGGCGATCACGCGCCCCACGGCGGTTGGGTCTTGTTCGAGGAAGAGGGAGAGGCAGATGTTGAAGAGAGAGCAGGCCATCTCGGGGGTCACGCAGGGGCAGGACAGGTCGACGATGGTGAGGTGGCCGTTGTGGGGGGCCCAGGAGGTGCCTTTTCTCCTAGTTGCTGCGGCTACTGCTACGGCGGCGGCGGCGGCGGATCGTTGGGCCTTTTTGGACTGTTGGGGGGGTTGGGGTTGTTGAGGCCGCGAAGGGTGCGGACCGTTGAACATGTTGTAGGATTTGGCCTGCGACTCAATCATGAAAGACTCAAGGGTTTCGAGACGCTGTTTTAGCGGGGCCAGCTGCATCTCCGTGAGGTTTTCCAGATGGAGGCGTTCCTTGAACTTGCCGTAGTTGAACGGCGTGTCCTGTTGCTGCTGCTCTACTCGCAGCTCGCGTAGGATGCGTTGAATTACATGGAGATACAGTGGGAGGTTGCCGTTTGAACTGACGGCCATCAGGTCTAGCATCCGCTTGGTGTTGAGGTCTGACTCGTTGAGCCGCAGCTCCTCGACCGTGATATTCGGGAACTGTTTGTAGAGGCGCTGGTGGGTGGGTCAGTACGGACAAGCAGTAACAATCTGGGAAACAGAAACTCACCCGCATGGTCCCGATGTTCGTCGGTGGGCACAGGACCCGCACCTTGATGTCGGGGTTAGACGACAGCCAAGCAGCCTCACAAGGGGAGCCGCCAGAGTCAGAAATGAACGTGTCGTAATGAAACACGATACCCGTCAGGGGCCGAGGCAACACGTTGGCCGAGCAGGGTGCCAGGGCGTTCTCGAGCAGACAAGAGAGCGTATGGCTCTTGCCCGAGCCCTGACTGCCGCATATGAAGAAGCTTGAGGGCGCAGCGATGTTCCAGAAAACCCGGGGGTCAAAAGAAGCATCGTCGCTAGCTGTCCCCGACATATCGCCAGCCAAGAGACCGTACTGGCTGAACGGCTGCTGCTTGTTGGCAGAAGCCAGCGAAGCGGCATACTTCCGGACCGACTCGGTGAAAAGGGGCGCCGTTTGGATCTCGTTGAGTTCGTCCAGCCCAGGGACTCGCCGGAGGAGTTTCAGGTGGGCATCGCGGACGGCAGCTTCGTCAGCACTGAGACCAGACTCCGCGCTCGCCTCTTCCTCGCTGCTGGCCGTCTCAGTAGTGCCATCATGGACACCCGGGGAACCCTGTTTGCTTCCGCGTTTGCTTCCGCGTTTGCTTCCGCCTGACAGCGGCGAGGTTGAGACGGAGGCTACATCGATTTTGACGCCGTTGACCTTGGGGGTCATGAGATTCGCCATGTTGGCGGTAAGACTCTCCATGGATGGAGATCGGGTGCCCGAGTCAGACGATCCGCTGAGACCCGTGTCGCTGGGGTATTGAGGGCTTGTGAAGTCAAGAGTAGGGATGCGAGCGGGGCCAAGCTTCGGCACAGTAAGCAAGTCCTTGGTGGTTGTGTGGTTGGAGCCTGCCACTGTCAAGGACAAGGAGGAGCTGCTGTTGCTGTTGTCGCTGCTGCTGCTGTTGCTGCCACTGCTGCTGTTACTATTCTTGTTGTTGCCGTTCTTGTTGTTCTTCTTGTTGTTGTTATTTGTGTTGTTGCTGTTGCTGTTGTTGTTCGTGTTGTTGACGTTCTTGTTGTTGGTGTTGTTCTTAGTGTTGGTGTTGCTGCTGCTGTTGTTGCTGCTACTACTGCTGTTTCCGTTGTTCTTGTTGCTGCCAAGAGGAGAGCCCTGCGTTAGAGAGGGTACGTTGGGGCCCTTGGAGATGAAGGTTCGGTTGGTATGCTTGAAGATGGCGCCTCGCTTGGGTCCATTATCACTGCTAGACTGAGAGTCCATGACCTCGGCTTTTGGGGCCATCTTGGGCCTTATAACCAAAGAGGTCGGCCCTTGTAAAATCTCCCGCTCAAACGCAACAAGGTGGCCTCAGTACCTGATGGTCAAACGAAAGAAGGGAATTGGTCCAATAAGGGACCAAGGAAAGAAGACAATGAAGGGGCGAAAGCGGCAACCCGCAAAAGAGAAAAGAGCAAACCGGCAACGCTCGGAAAAAAGTAAAGGTTCCAGAAGTGAGGCAAGTCGGGACTGAGAACTGACTTTCCAGTACCTCTGTAAGCAATGCGATCTATAGCGCTAAACGATGCGATGAGGCCGCCAAGAGGATAACGATCGGCTTTGGGGATATCGGTTGGTGGAGTTGTGGCCTGGTCGTGAATTCGATCGGAGGATCAGGGGTGCAAACGCGTGGGAAATTTTTGGGTTCACACAAACACAGGAATGTGCTCCCCAATTAGGACAAGCAGGACGAGATTCTAGATCTGTCAGCCGCATAACATCCACTTTCTGTTCTCGATTTCAAAATGCGGGTGTACACTTGCTTGCAAATTCTCAAATTCACGGAATGAGGCATTCTTCACAATAGTTATTTTAGCTTGCTTAGGTTCTTTTACCACTTTGGAATCCTTCTTAGCGAGCTGCATCTTGCCGGAGCAATCAACGTAGCAATCAAAGCTTGGTAAGGTAAACATGGTTTCCGTGAACTGAAATTGAGCTGTTTGATGACAGCCGGGCCCAGTTGGGCTGCTGTGTGAGGACCTGCCATTTATGTTCCGTTAAACATAGATCGTTGGGGGGAAAGACATATGACTTAAAATCTGAGTTAAAAACCTAACTACTCCGTACCTACTGCGAAGTCGTTATGTGCGATACATCACCCATTCTCATCTACATAGTGTAGTATCTTCATCTCAACACTTCATGCCCTTGCAAACAAACAGCCACTCAGCAGCGGCCCGGCCATGCACGGAAACAATCTCGGACAGAGTTCTCGCCCAAAGAATGCAGCAGTCCCGATTGGCAACCCCAGCCTCTGTTGCACGATCACCGGCTTCCGATTGGCACACGGGAGCATCTGCAACGGCTCGGCGGGGGTTCTGCTCGCCAAGAGGTGCCATCCCTACGACCTGGCCAGGCTTGCCTATCGCGCAACCCAAAAAGCTCTCGGCGACCTGAGCTGCTGAGGTCGAGCTCAGACATGGAGCGGAAAACCAAACGAACGCTCGCCTTTCCTTTGCTCTTTTGCCGCCAAAGATCAACACCACAAAATCAACCTGGATCGCATCCCTCCATCCATCCAGCTGCTTCCGCCATGCCACGGCCACTTTTCTGACTTTGAAGGCCCTCGATCGGCACCCAGAAACCACTTTTGCCGGGGACCTTGCTCCCTTTCCCCCCATCTGCCCCATCTGCCCATCCACCGCGCGCGCGCTTGAGGGAGCCGATCCTAAACGCGGCAAGCCAGCGCCCTGGATTCATCATCGAGCTTTGGGCTCCCCAGCATGGGTGACCTACGGTCGAAGTTAAGGGCCAAAATATCGCGACGGAACTCGGGCGTCCCGTCGCTCCCGTCTAGCGCAAATGGCAACAACAGCAGCCTCAGCGGGAAGAGCATTGAGCCCAGCTCGCCCGTGAGCGGTCATCGCTTCAAATTTGGCGGCGGAACGGCATCGCCAACATCGCCCGGGAGTTTCGATGGGAGCCCCCTCTCTCGGGAAACCACGGGGCTTTCGGACAGGAAATTGACGGTGGATGCAAAACAGAACCATGGGCAACCCAAACTCGGACAAGACAGTAATGCGGGCCAGCGGGCTCTGATAAATGGCAATGTTGTGGATGTTGTCCGGGTGGGCACTGGCAGTGTCACTAGCACCGGCGCTGGCGCACAGAGCGTTGTGGTCCAGGCCCTGGACCCCAAGAGTCCCACTAACAACAACAATCCTGGTCCCTCGCAACTTGGCAACAACGATGGCCAGGGCAGTGTCAGTGGTCGCCACAGTTTGACAGCGAACACTCAGCTTTCGCCCATTGATACCGTTCAAAGTCACACTCACCCACAACAGCCGGTCAAACCCAGCGATCCAAAACCACAGCAGCAGCAGCAGCAGTCACCACTGACGTCGTCGCCGCTGTTGACATCGTCGCCTGTATTAGCGGCAGCGACAACGACAGCGACAGCGACCGCAACCGCACCCACACCCACAGACGAAATCCGATCTCGAATCTCCATCGACGCCGTTCGCCGACTCCGATTGACCGACGACCCACTGCCCACGAGTCTGTCCCGGTCTGGGTCTTCCACTTCCCGACCGCCCGCAACCACTGTTGTCTCCAGTCGCCCATCCTCCTCCACCTACCAAGACGTGGGAGTGGACCCGACAATTGGAGGTCCTGCACCACCAAGCAGCCATCAATTGCGTTCATCCAGCTCCGCGAGCTACCGTCCGTCCGGACCCCCCCGACGGCAGAGTCTGCTGCCCCATCGACAGACGACCCTGATCCGCACGCTGCTGGACGCTGGCCAGCCCGATGACCTCGACCACAGTGACTCGGATCACTTGCTGCCCATCAGCGCAACAATGGCCACGCGCAAGCTCTGGGTCAAGCGCCCAGGTGGCTCCGCGACCTTGGTCACCATCAACGAGGAGGACCTCGTCGACGACGTCCGCGAATTGATCCTGCGGAAATACGCCAACACCCTCGGCCGCCAGTATGATGCCCCCGATCTTACACTACGCATTTTACCCCGTGAGGGCCAGCGACAGGAGCGGGTGCTCGGGCCCGAAGAGCCCATGGCCCGCACCTTGGACGCATATTTTCCCGGCGGCCAAGTCGTCGACGAAGCACTGCTCATCGACGTCCCGCACCGTCGCCACACGCCGCGTGCGTCGCCCAGGAACGGCCCGCCCCACGCACAACACCTCACCTCTGTTGGCTACGACGACATTCGCCCGCTCGAAGCCAGCACCGACTACTTTGGGCCCGGCGCGGTTGCCCACATCCCCGTTGCGGCGCTGGCGAATGCCGCAAACGGTACCACACACGCCATTTCCGTTCTCAACACCGGCCAAGTGCCCCAGATCCCCTCGCCGGGCGCAACGACACGGCAACGACAGTACCGAGAACGATCCGATCGCCCACGAATCGGAAGACAACACACTTCATCCCCCACGATTCTCAACGTCGTTGGCGCGGGGGGCCATACGGCTACCATTGCAGTCGCCGCAAATCATGGTATGGCTCACGCGGCTTCGATCCCACGTTCGCGGACTCATTCAAATGCTTCTTCAGAACAGACCAACCCGGGCCAAGGCGTACCACCGGCCCCTCCTCCCCTTCCCACGCCTCCGAGCCAGGACCCGGCCGCCGTCGTGCCCATCATCCCCCGGACCGCTACCCCACCACCAGTGAGGCCAGCATCGCCTCGTGCGCCCATCGCAGCTAGACCAAAGAAAAAGAAGACGGTGGAAGCACCCGCGCTGCCGGCCGGCATGCTCAACGGCGGCGTGCCGCCCATCAATGTTCTGATCGTCGAAGATAACATCATCAACCTGCGACTCTTGGAGGCCTTTGTCAAGCGGCTCAAGGTACGCTGGCAAACCGCTATGAACGGTCGCGAGGCCGTCAACAAATGGCGAACCGGCGGTTTCCATCTGGTGCTCATGGATATCCAACTCCCCGTCATGAGCGGCCTGGAGGCTACGCGTGAAATTCGCCGTCTCGAGCGTACCAACTCCATCGGTGCGTTCTCCACCACTACCAACGGTAACGTCTCGGTCAACGGTGGTGGCAGCGATACCACCGGAGACGGCGAGCCGGACGAGACGAAAGGGGAAGAGCTGCCTGAGGAGGACAAGCTCCAAAACAGGGATATGTTCAAGAGCCCGGTGATTATTGTTGCGTTGACGGCGAGCTCGTTGCAAAGTGATCGTCACGAGGCGTTGGCGGCCGGGTGCAATGACTTCTTAACAAAGGTATGCTTACATACATGCCGCTCTCCCCCTTAATTCTTCGTTCTACTAACACATACCCACCCAGCCTGTCACCTATGTGTGGCTTGAACGCAAGGTCATGGAATGGGGCTGCATGCAGGCCCTGATCGACTATGACGGGTGGCGGAAGTGGAAATCCTTCACTTCACCGCCGCCGAAACTCGAAAACGAGGACCCGGCTGCGAAAAAGACCAGGGCCAAGAGGATTAAGACCGCTCCCAACAGCTCCTCGTCTGACGGCCAATGAGTGTCGTACCTTTGACCAATCATCTACCTTTTGAGAGGGCCACAAAAGCAGTGTTGCTGGTTCATTTGCCTGGTTGTCAACTCGTTGAACTTACTATGTATGGGAATCTTTGGGGGCGAGAGATATGGCACAGGGATATGACACAGGGGATATGGCGCAGGGGATATAATGCGCAAATAATTTGACAAGAACAAGGTATGGTCACGACGTACATATGGGCTTGTGACTGCGGTGTATCAGTGTATCAGTGATGAAGTAGCCGAACGAAACGAGGCAGCTGTGATGGGTAGACCGGGAGATGAAATGCGGCCTGGAACAAGCCTGATTGTCTATTATTGTCTAATTGAGCTCTGGTAGTTTGAAATGTAAACAACAAACCTCTGGGTATCATTTTGACTCCCGTTCTAGGGTGTGTTCCTCGTGTTTGTCTCTATGGGCACCTATAAGCTGTGCCGAGGACCCCGCAGAGCTCTCCTGTGGAGCAACCTTCCATAGCGAACTTAAACCCTAACCCTGAAGGCATCCTCATTGCCGATTGGCCGAAAGAATTCAATGTTCCACCCAAGAAAATTCCAATCGCAGCCCCAAGCTTGAACGTCCGTCGTCCTCCACGCGACCTGACACACACCCACCACAAACAACCACACACACACTGCAAGCAATGCCACCACGGATACCCGGCAGCAGCAGGAGCTGCCAGCCACAGCAGCTGCTAAGCTGCCTCGAGGCCGTCTCTCCCTCATCATTCCGACCAGCCTCAACCCTGGCGATACCCCTCCACAGGCCCAGTCCCAGTACACAATCAACGTTATTATCACCATTCTCACCATTATGCCCTCCCTCCACCACCACCTCCTCCTCCCCACAATGTATCGACAGTATCAACAGTATCAATAACACCACCACCCGCTCCTACGCCACAAAACCACCCCGCCGCATGACCCGACTCCGCCGCCAATTCGTCGACTGGCTCGAAAACCGCGGCAGCCGCTTCCGCAAAAACGAGGAACACCGGCCCAACTACATCGGCGCCAGCATGAACCGCGGGGCAGACCGAAATCTCGTGTTCAACCACAACCCCTATTTTCTCAGCCAGCCGGTACTGTCGGAACCGGCGCGCGAGATGATCTGGAAGGCAGTCATGGTTGAGGGGGCACCGCTCAAGGCGGTGTCGGCGGATAATGGGGTGGATGTGAGGAGGGTGGCGGCTGTGGTGAGGATGAAGGAGATTGAGAAGAGGATGGAACGGGAGGTAAGCTTTCTTTTTTTTTTTCGCGCTTCTTGTTTTTACCGGTTCACAGAGAAATCCCCCTTTCACATGATGATATGCAACAAAAAATTCGATTAGTCTTGAAGACTCAACCGTGGTTAAATTGCTCAATGTCTGATGAAAACCGTCGCGACCGACCGTTATTCCACCCCCCTTACGGTCGGGGTCCTGGACCGGGTTCAAGACACAAACCAGAGGGCTAACAAAAACCTAGGAAAAACCCCTCGCCTACGCCTACGCCCGCGCCATCTCCACCATGGTCCCCCAAGACCACCTCAAGCCGCGGCAAGACGAAGACGGCAGGTACAAAAAGATCGACTTCGAGCCCATCAACGACATCCACATCCACACGGCGACCATGCGGCAACTCTTCGTCCCGACCTCCGAATCCCGCCAATTCACCCGCGCCGACGCCGCCCGCGCCTTTGGCGACCACATCCTGCCCCCCGACGAAAAGATGCGCATCCCGGAACTGGTGCAAAAGGAGCGCAACATTGCCAACGGCATGGACGAGAGGGACGCGCAGGATCTGTTTCTGAAGGAGACGGCCGAGAGCGAGCAGGCGTATGCGGAGGCGCAACGGAAGCGGGCCGAGGCCGAGGAGGCGCGCAAGACGCGGGTGAACACGGACCGGTTCGAGTTCCGGTTTGAGACGTTTGATTCGGAGGCTGTTGGGCCTACGGGCCGCGCGCGGCATGCTACGGGTTGGCGGTACGGTGCGCCGCTGTTGGATCGCAAGAGGGGCCAGATCAAGATCCCGACCAGTGTCGAGTGATGATCTTGTCTGTCTTGTTGGTGTGTCTGTTTTGTTAACAGGGCGGCGGGCCGAATATCCAAGGGGTTGGTTGGTTCAGGGGAACTAACCTGTTTGAGGGGCAAATGGTTAGGTATACCTCGCCAGTTGTGTGCCGATAGAGTGGGAGTGGTTGTCTAGAACAGTATCTAGACCAGTCCACGCAGCAGCACGCACGGAGCCCCCTGCATCATGTATAGCATCGCCAACAAGAAATGTATTGTATGTAACCCACGAATTAAATAAGCTTTAACAAACCTCTTGCAATGACCAATCCGGGCTCGCCTTCTATGATACCAACGGAAGAGAAAGACAAATAAAAAGAAGAGAAACAAGCCCCCCAACCCTAGTTAGTGTCTAGATCTTCCACTGCAATGGCTCTTCGCCCTCAGCCAGGTCAACAACAAGGTAGTCGCGGACACGATCCACGCTGGCCTGCGGCACCCCAAGATGATTGACAACATACGCCTCGACAGAGCCGTACTTCTCGCGGATCAGCGAGAGTGTGAGGAGCATGTTTCCCTTGCTGAAATCATTATGTGTTAGCAAAACCGGTTACTCGAGTACACCCGATCGACTACCAAAGAGGGGGACAAAAATACATACCTCGCCCCCACCATCGTCTCAGCCCGTTTCCTGTCCCCAAACAGCGCCTCGTCGCGTATCAGGCGCTGCACAATCCCCTCTTTGCGGGCCGCCAGACCGAGGTCGGTCAGCGCATATTCGTCGGCGATGGTTGCGTCCGAGAGGCCGCAGAGGGAAAGTATCAAGGCGATGAGAACGCCGGTTCCTGTGATGGTGTAAGTAATTGCTGAACCGGGTGTCAGGGGAGAGAGAAGACGGGAGGAAGGGTGGGGGTTGGGGGTCAATGGGGGTCACTCATCGTAGGAAGGATGACGGGGTGACTTCAAGACTGTACGGCCCCGATCCGTCACCTGAGACGGTCGGTTCATGCCCAAACAATCACATATATGAAGTAATCAAGACAGGAGCTCACGGCCGGGTATGAAAATGTGTAGACTCGCATGGTGGTGTGAGGGAAAGATCAAAACGGTTACGAACTGTCTTTGCCCGCGGTGCAATGAATCAACAGCGGTGAAGGGTGCCCCGCGGATGAGGCAATGTGCTCGAACACCGTTCGGAAAGGCGCATGTGGATGGTCCGGCTCGGCGGCAGACTCAAGGATGGCGGCGTACGCCTTCACGAAGCCCTAGGTCGCACATCCACGTGTCAGTATCTGTGGTGTGGCTCAATATGTGAGATCCGATCCTGCGCCTACCCGCAGTGCCGCAGCACCTGCATATGACACATACGGGTAGGCTGTTACCGAGAAACGGCAAAAGAAACAGCGGGATATGGTTGGATTGGATGGGCCTGGCAAAACCCGGTGGCAGTGTTGCAGCGAGCGTGCCGTGCGGGGTCAAAAGCATTGGATGTCGACGCACTTCAATAAATGTGTGCATATCCATATTCTGCCTCCCAATCAAGGGTGACGGTGACGAGCCTCGTGGGCGTTCTGCAGGACAGACCGAGGGCAAACATTGCAAGAAAACCAAACAAAATGCACAGCAGACCGAATGGCCAGTCAACAAAAATTCGAAACGCGCTTAACTAACCTCTGGCCCATCACTGTAATTCCGGAAGCGCACCGCCAACGCTTCGGGGCTGTAGTCCTTGTTCAGGAAGACAGGCACAAACACGCGGGCGGCGCCCTCCCAGGTCTTGGCCTCCGTGTGGCCGTCCCGTTCTAGCTCGGTCTGTGACCGAAGGTCGAAGACGTGCGTGATGCCCAGTGGACGGAGGACGGCGATGCCTTCGTCTTCGAGCTTGGTCAGATCGGCAGACCGGAAGAGCACCCCGCGCCGGACCACCTTGCCCGGTTTCCCCTCAATCGCGTACCCGCCCGCATCGCGCAGGTTAGGGAGACCTGGGACGTGGATGAAAGGGGGCGAGGGCAAGCTTGGGAGGGCGGGTGCCCGGCCTGATTCTGGCGGCGTCATGTGGTTTCAAGCTGGCAAATGAACGAGTGGCTGAGGATGGACGTTTCTGGTTCTGGGGAAGGGAGTTGTTGAGGAGAAAGAAGGTTTCGAAGCCGATGTCGGGAAGTGGAGAGTCGAAAGCCCACTGCAGTTTTGGGTTTAGATTCTAGTCGTCCGCGGACACTCGGGAAGGTCGCTGGGCAACTTCTCGGTGTGTTGTCGGTGTGTTACCTATTTCCTGCGCAGCCGACCTGTAAATGTGAGCTCGGAGGAAAGAGAAGGGCGGTGTTGTCTTGGCAGGCTCAGTTCATAGTGGAGTGCAGCGCCCACAGCAAAGCGATGGTGTTGTATGTACCGTAGCAACTTAAGGTGGGCGATTGGGTTTAGTGTACATACACACACTAACTACCGACGGAGGAAGGTGCAGGTGGGGTGAGCATCGGGGCACGCAAGCTCATCTGCTGGGAAGGTACCGCCCGGTAGGCACCGGGCAAACCTGCCCGAGCGCTGAGTCTCCGGGCCCCGGGGAAATTGGCTCAAGACATCACCTGCGCGGTCACTCCACTCTGGTGATGAAAGGGAAAGACTTGTCTCATCTGGCTCCCTGGAGTCCCTGGCTTGCCTGGCTCCCTGGGAAGTCAGCAGGTCGAAGATTCTCGACCAGTGCCAACAACCGCTTCGAACCCCGGACCCCACTGTCCTGGACGCAACCTCGTTCAGCCTCACGGTGGGCCCCACAAGGAGGATTGGCCAATCAACGTCGCGTAAAGGAACCTCCGCGACAATCAACGGGGGAAAAAACAAAATAAAAATAAAGTAAACAAATCACCCCTCTTCAACGCCGCAACGTTCGGGGAGAAATCGGTGAAAGCCGTGGTCACCGGTCCATCGTTGCCCGATTCGAGAGCCCGCGAGTGCTTTGACCTCCAGGCAGGACTACCCCCTGCCTGCCTTACGAGTTAACCTTGTGGATCTGCCCCGTTCGAGATTCCCGGGACCATGCCACTGGGAAGAATGTTCAAACAGTGGCGTCTCTTTGGCTTTCCCCTCAGCGGAAATTCCAGGGACAGATCTGCCCCTGGCATTCAACGTAACCTCGTCAGATCCAGCAGTATCTCGTAAAAAAAAGTAGAAACCAAAGGGTCACGTCTCGCGGTTATCTAGACGTAACGATAATGCTTAGAATTGGAGGGGATGCTATTTCTGCACTTTGCTCAACAAAAATCTTCAGACCAGCTTCAAATAATCCTTGCAATGCGGCCACCTGAAGCGACCTTCTCCCCCAACACAAAACCTTTATCGTAGGGATATGGATACCCACAGCCAAGACATTCCAGAAGTAACTAAGAGAAAAGAGAAAAGAGAAAAGAGAACGCAGATGACGAGACAAAAGAGACAGATGACACGAAACGAGTGGCTAAGATCCGAAAGGTGTGTTTTTGCAGAAAAAGACCTCCGAAACAATAAGGAAATGATAAGAGATACACACACGACGTGGAAAAAGTCCTACCCCTGTATTGACAGAATTACCCCCGGCTTGAGAGCCAGAACCCAGCTTCTCCCCCCAAGTCAAACGGCCCGCTCCCGCCCGTCCGTCTGGCTTGTTTGCCCGAATCCAGCCCTGGAGGCAAGGGATCCATCTCTTTCTCCCCTGCTTGCCCCAAAACGTTCGACAATAGGGACCAAAACCGGTGTCCCCCCTCCTCGTGCTCGTGCCCAAGTTTTCCTGCGCCAGGGAAACCAGCCCCCCGGAACATGATAAAAAGAAACAAAAAAGGAAGACAAAAAAGAAACCAAAAAGAAATATCCTCAACCCATCATCCCCTGCTGCTGTTCTTCCTACCCCCACCTTCTAGCCGGTAGTCCTCGGGTGCTCCCCTGTCCGGGCCGCATCTTGCTCGGCCGTCGTCTGAGCCCAACAAAAGTCATCGCTGCTGCGTGCTGCTACTTGCGGTTACTTGTTTGTGGCTGCTGTTGCTGCTGCTAGTCGTCTTGCGTGGTTCGACTCAGACGGTGGGGTCGATGTACACCTTGTCCTGAGTGCAGCAGTCCTCGCTAAAGACATGTTGGCAGCTGATGCATTGGACGTGGCCGAAGACCGTGCTGTACTGTTTGCACTGGCAGCAGACCCAGATGATCTGCTTGACGAGGGTGGCGGTCTATCGGTGGTGAACAGGTCAGTAGTGAGGAAGGGGGAAAGGGGGCGACAAAAAGAATGTGAGTTTGGGGCTCGGGAGGAGAGGGAAGTGAATGGGAGAAGATGAGTGTTTGGGGTCGGACGTACGGCGTTGTTAGGCATCTTTGTAAATGTCAAAGAGAGGAGTTCTGTTTAGCAGTGCTGCTTTTGCGTCTAGATCAATGAAGCTCAAGTAGATTGCCTAGGCTTGCTGTCTGTTGTCTCTTGACTCTACATCTCGCCAGAACACTGAAGCGGATTTACCCTCCTTTTTAAGTCCGTTCCCAAACCACTTCCTGTGTCCTAAGGCAACTTCTTCCCACCCGTCACATCCTGGAACCGCACGCACAGCGATGTTTTTTTCGGTAGGGGCAACCTATCGAAAGCGTTCGGAACGCCATGACGAGGTGATCCAAACATCGTCTCCGAGAATCCTAGACCTAAGGACAGGCCCAGGAAGGTTCCTGGACGTTGGCATGAGCAGCCAGAACGTCGAATTCGTGACTAGCGTGCCGAGGAAACTGATCGGATGCTCCTGTTCGCCCGGCCGGCGTGCCGTCGATGGGACCAGACCGAAATCCTAGCACGGTGGGTTGGACAGGAACAATCCGCTCTCTGTCAACCGAGAGAGAGATACCTAGGTGTGTGTTATTGCGCCACATCAGAAGAAACAAAAGAGAGTCAGGAAGATTTGAGCGGACCTCGTAATCACTCGGTGATGACGAGCCAAGACAGGGGTAGAGAGGTCTTCCGCTGTTCAAGTGGGCGCTTGCGGCGGGCTCAGCCAAACTGCGACAAGAAGGCAAAAGAAGCCCCCCAAAAAGCCTGACAATTGCAAATTGGTTCCGCCGTTCCGCCAGCAAAAGGGCGGAACTGGGGATGACCCGACAAGGGAGTCATCGAGCTTTAAAATTGCCTGTGTACTTTTAACTAGTCAGCATTAGGGCTCTAGAACACTGGCACTCTAGAGATCAACATACCATTTCCGTTAACGCCGTTCTGGACAATACCATTTCAAGGCCCGTAACTGGTGCTGTTGGCCAGCATCCGGGATCCGGGCGGGGGGACAGGGGGCCGATTGTAGATTCAATCCCCATACTCGATGACCCCAAAACGTCCAGGCCCCGGGGCATGCGTGCGGATCTAAATCAGGATGCTGGTCTGTGTGTCTTCCTTGTGAGAATCGGCAGGACGGGCATCGGTTCAGCTATTGGCGGTGGTACGATCCGCGGTGCTCGAGCAAACGTGATTGCTAACCTTCGGTCGGCAAGGTGCTAGCGGGGTTATTGCCGTGGCGATACAAGAATTATTGGGACAAAACCTTGAGGGGCTCACCCGCGCCTAGGGAGAGGGAATCCACCCAGACTTCGGTGGGATGAGAGGGAAACCATCGTCCCGCAGCGCATTTTCTAACACCGTCGGTGATACTCGACGAGAACCGGAGTGAGAACAGAGAGGGGACTTGGCCACTTGATATTTGACCATCGGAGTTCCCGTTCTAATTCAGCTTTGTCTAGCCTTGGATCACGCCGTTTTGTTCTTTGGAAGCAGAGCCTCGTTCATTCCTAAGACCTTGGGTACCAAAAAAAGCTCCATTGGGCCGACCGAGCAGTAGTGGTTGCTGGCGATACGCACAACTGTAGGCTTTGTTCGCCTAGAGCGGCTGAAATGAGTTTCAGCGCAGCCTGGTGGGCCTTGTATCAAGCGAGACGCAGACACCGGGCAACGATAACATGGGTCTTGTGGGACTTGTTGCCCGACGGAGGAGCATAGAGGGACATGAGGTATGGACCTAGGCAGGCGGTTGAGCCCGGCCTGTAAGGGAAAGCATTCCTTCAGGGATCTGGTTTTAGCGAAAACTTTTTGAAGGACAGTCCGTGCCGTGGGAGGCTCTGCAAAGGCCCCGAGCTACAAACCTAGCTACTTTTTCGATGTGGGAGGGCGCGACGAGAGTTACGCTCAGCTCCCATTTGCTTGCTAAACCATCGGTCTTCCGCAAATATCCTATCGCAAGGAACACATTTACCGTGTGAGAGGTCTAGGGGCTAAGCTTAGATCAATCCTTGGCTTGAAAAGGCTGAGTTCAGGCCGTCAGCGCAAAATAGGGATCTCGGTGCCGGTGTATGGATCTCGGTGTTGTTGTGTGGTTAAGGCTTAGACAGATCCGATCGGACACTGGAGCAATGAGCAGCCGCTGATTAAGGATAGGTGGAGACCACGAGACGCTCGGGCCGCAACGCCAACCAGCACCTTGGTCCCGTCGGCATTGACCCTGGCAAGCCTGGGCCTGGATTCACCGACGTCATCACCGTTCCCAGACAGCTGGACCTGTTTCAAGAATATCAGATGAAAACACCCGGGGAAATGGCCCGTCGCATTCCAAGGGAACTTCGCTAACACTGAGGAAAAAGGTTCTCGAAAATCCGAGCAGTGTACACTTGTATGTCTATCACAGTGTGGCAGGCTATTCGTGTGAAGAGGCTTAAACTGTTTCGGCCAGCGTCGCTGCCGATCGTCGCTACGATCTCCCTGCTTGGCGCCAGCGCTAAACCTGCGAGTATTTCCTTTCCCCCATCACCGAGAGGAAAGGTTTTCCCTCCCTTTCCCAACCGCTTCTGGGCAGCAACAGACACCGTTCTTCACCTGCTTCCATTGCTTCGCCTCGAGGAAACATTTGCGCCTCAACGCCGCAGCGACACAAGTTTTCCGCCCAGCGATTCACGATTCGCCCTTGGAGCCGCGATATCTCCTCCGCAACAAAAGCGATCCACAAAAAAACCCTAACCCCAATCACCCAAAACCCCGACCGCCCAACACACCAGAAATGGCTCTCGGTAGCATCTCGCTGGGCTACCTGCTCTTTTCACTCCTCCATTTCGGCCAGTTTGTTCTCGCCATCACCGTCTGCGCGCTGTATGGCATCGACCTAGATCGCGCCCGCAAGGCCGGTGTCGCGGCTGATGGGAAATGGGTCTACGCAGAGGTCGTCGGCGGGCTCGCGGCCCTGACGAGCATTCTCTACTGCATTCCCTACATTCTCCGGTTTGCGCTGGTCTGGGCGTGGAACTTGGTTCTCTTCATTCTCTGGATCGCCCTGTTCGGCTTGTTCGGCAAAGTAAGTTTTCCTTCCCCCTCTTGGAGGGTTGCCCTAGGGGTTAATGATGATGGCTGACAATTGTTCAGATGTACATTCACGAGGACCCGGAGGGAAATGGCGACATTCAGCGCATGAAGAACGCTGTGTGGGTTGTCCTTGCGAGCGCGCTTCTCTGGCTCATTGGTGTCCTTGCACACTTCATCTACTGGTGGGGCCACAGGGAGCGACGCAGCCGCTTCACCAGCCGCGCGAGGGTTTGAGTGAGTGCGTCACAGGCGAGGGACAACAACGACACTAATGATGTGCGACGCCAAATGTCGACGAGAAACCAATGAACCATACCGTTACACCGCTTGGCGTTTCGGGGATGCAATCAACGACGAGGAAATGGAGGTTGCTTCGAGCAAGCGATGATATAATGCAATCAGGACGGCGGACGTTTTGGATTTTAATACCCTTGATTTTAACGTATGTATATTGTAATTACTTTAATATTTAAAGAGAGAATGAGGCATACCCAATATCAATCAGCATATACTTTAAAAAGGATTTAAAGCGCATATCCCACACCCTCGTCAAGTTGTAATGGCAAAACACGGGCAGACGAAAACGGGGAATTCCTACCAGAGTAATTCTGTCAAGCTGTGGGGCATAAGCCGAGCCGTTGAAGATGTTATTTTGGGGGGCCGGCCGGCGATTTTGGTGGTTCAACTGACGTCATTTTGCTGAGCATTTCTCTCGCTGGACAAGCACCCAGCATCTCATGTTCTCTCCGATGGACTGTGGCAAGCGTGGCCCAAGGTCGCTTAGGCTGGCGGGGGCATAGATGGCGCGACATTTTGGGATAAAATTCTGCGAATAGATGGCCGTTTATTTGACGATTTGGCGCGGCTGGCGGCTTGTCGAGATGGGGCAAAAGTGCAGAACTCTTGTGCCAAGGCGGTGATCCATGGGATGCGAGAAGGCCCACCTCACTTTGCCTTTTATCATCTTTTTCACGCCTTTCCTCCCCACCCTTTTATCCCCTCTCCCACGGCCCTATCGTGAAAAGGCGCAAGATCAGCAAAGGCATCTCACGGCTTTGCGGCCTTTTGCTAGGCGCTCCGTGAAGAACTTTTTGATTGCTTTGTCAAAAACAACAACGTTACGCTTGCGGGCATGGGGCAAATGTCTCGGGGCAGAGCCGGACAACGATCTGCGCGATCAACAGCAACTGCTGGTCGCTGTTGAGAAAAAAGTTGGCGCGGTCGTTGTTGGTCAGTGGCTTGGGTCTGAAACACCAAGCACGGGTGCCTTGCCGACGACAATCGTTTGCCAGCTCGGGATTTTGTTTATTTTTATTTCGTGTTTTTTTCCGAAGAGCTGTCGCTGGACCCCCAAACTTGGTCACCTTATCTTTGCTTCCCCGGGAACACCCTCTTCAGCAGCGCAGCACTCACCTGGCCGGCCATGGATTTTCAGAGATGAACTAGTTATTCTGCCACACCGTTTATACCTCTTTTATGCGGGATGCCGCGAAGAGCAGGGTGGAGTGGTACCGCAGTGAGGGTTGCCTTGCTGCAACTAAAAGCTGCCCCAAGTTGGTCTGAGTCTTGCGGTGATCAGCGCTTAGGGTATCAATTTCCACACGCCTCACCACACCACTACACTACGATGTAGTAACCGGAAGTCTTTTGGCGAAGCGATTCCCGCATGCGGCCGGGGAAACACGGCGGCGGCCACGCCTGCAACAACCCTGTGGAAGCCTGTTCCCGTCGAGCCCGATCACACTCTCTTGATATACCGGCCCGTTGCCAGTCACACCCATGGCGTCAACATACATTTCCCAGCCGTCCTATAAAGTGTATGTCCCGATGGTGTGTGTGTGTGTGTGCGTTTGCGAGTGTGCGTTTGTCAAAGTACCCAGTACTTACTCCACGACCCCCATTTCGTGGCATCTCGCGTTGTTCGTTGTCTTGACTGCGCTCGCCCAGCGTTTGCTTTGTCTGTGAGTGTGGGCCCTTTTCGGACGTTCGGCACGTTCCTCTCAGCAACAACCTAGACATGTCATCATGTGGCTCCAGGACGCTGCCAGTTCCCGCCGCTAGTTCTGCAGCTCAACCGTCAAGAAGTGCTCGCGCGACTTGAGGTGGTCTCTAAAGACACCGCTACATCCAGTACTCTACACACTAGTAGTGTCTGTGGAACGTATGAACTTCTCGCCCTCATTTTCGCCCCTCCTTTACCCCTCCATCAATCCCTCCAGACCCTGGATTCAGACGGCAGGGTCCAGAAGATTCACACCTTTGTGGGTGCTTGGGGAGGCTCGCAGGGTTGGTTGTGGGGTGGGGCAGGTCGTCATCCTGGTCGTTCGCAGGGAAGGTGAGGAGAAGATGAACAGGAAAGGGATCTGATCATCCGCCCCCCAGCCAAAGTGTCCTGGTCCTGCCTGGCAAGCTGGGTCGCAAACGGATATGAACCCAAGCGGGTGCCCACAGCGCAAACGCCGCTTCTTTTTGAACCTTTTTTTCCTAATTCCCATCTTCAATCACCTTGCCATGCACTCTCGACTGGCCCCATCGAGCCCGAACTACGACCCGCAACCGCCGGACTGACCATCTTTTTCGAGACCCCATGAAACCCTTCGCCCGCCTCCCTTTCCGTGGATTTACGGTGCTGAAGCCCTGAGACCCACGACCGACTTGGGAGAATAGGCGGCAGTGACGGATGAATCTCCCCCGCTTGACAGAAGGATTAAAAACTCATCGCCTGGGTGTTGTTATCACTAGTGGACGACCGAAAAAGAACAACACGCCAGAGTAAGGCTGTTTCCTAACGTATAAACATCAGTTCTGCGAACTGGTATTGGGGTATTGAGTCAACCCACCACTGCGTCAAAGCAAACAAAAAGGACGTTCAGAGAGGGTCCAAACGGAATTCGAGGCGACCACTCGTCACTCTACGTAAGTTATGCATGGGGTCGCTGAAGAACGCACTCATACATACCTACCTACCTACCTATCACGCCTATCTACCCAAGGTCGACTGAGCCACAGGAATACGTTGTCCACACACCACACCACTGCATTCACCCGTTTCCACATCATCTTTTCTCTTCCCCTTTATCCTTCCTCTTTCCCCTTCTCAAGTCTTAAATTCGACGACTCCCCCCAAGTCTTGCCTTGCCCATGTACTAAGACACCCCGCAACGTCCTAGGCATGATCACATTTCCAACCTTACGACGTCCGACTACGATTACGTTGTCTCATCTTGTTGTTTCATTGCCCTCGCCATCGCCGAAAATGGCTAGCCGCGCTCACTCTCTCCGACTCCCTTTGCCCACCCCGAGACGGCCAATCCACCCGCAGCGGGCAGCTTCCAGCTCGTCGGAAGCGTCACACCTCTCCAACTCGTCGCCCCGCTCGCATGCGTCGGAGGACCCGTTTGTCCTGTCTCCCGTGCAAACGCCGGCGCACGAGACGACAGTCCCGCCCCGAGTCATGTTTTCGCGGCTTGCGACGGACCCGGCCGCCGCTCGAAATGGCCTGCTCCTTGGCAAAGGTCCGTCGATCTTCTTCCTGTCATTTCCTTCGTTTCTCCGCAATTGTTGTTTCGGCCGTGTCGTGTGACCGTCTGCATCGTTCGACGATTATCCACTTACCCCGAACTCTCGATCCCTTTGTTTTTTTTTTTTTTTTTTTTTTTTTTTTGCATTTTGGAGTTTCTAGGTTGCCCGCTGTTTACAAGTGAGACAGCGCTTGGTTGAAACCTCTGTTTTTGGGGATTGACAGGGCGATTGTGGGGCTTTTGGGAGGATTCCCAGGATTTGCCCCTCAGCCCCAGCCTTCCCATGGGGTTGGTGCGGCCAGTGTGGGACCCCCCACCCTGGCCTGTGTTGACAGTGTCCGGGGTCACACCCACTGCGTCATAGGCGCTCAACGGCTGTGATGGAAGCCCTTTAATGGATCACTACAGCCGGTTCCTGGGCGGCCTGGTGCCTGACCTAGGAATGGATCCCCGAATTTCGTGGATGGCCTGGCTTTTCCTTTCTTTTAATAAATGATGCTGACCGGCTCTCTTAAAAAGAAGTCCCCTCTCGCCCCCGAGACTCGACCAACAAGCCAGTGTCGCCAAGCCTTTTGAGAATCGCGAATTCTAAATCTGGGCCAACAACCGCTATTGATGTGCCTGTGAACCGCAAGTCTGTGTCGACCACATCAGCTGAAACTAGCACCCCATTGGAACCGCTGTCCGCAAGAGGTGATCTTCCTGGGTATGTTCCATCATATCACCTGTATGTTCTATGCTAGGATGGAAACGAGCCACTGACACTCGTTGTTACACAGCGGATACTTTCCGCTCCACGAAGAAGAGCCCCGCGTTCACATTCCACACCCCTTCCAGGTCGACACCGACATGGCCCGACGAAGTTCTGTACAACGGGCCGCCGAGTCTTGCCAACCTAGCGTCGAGCCCAGCTCCTTCTCGTCTGCTCATAACCCACGGCCTACCCGAGGAAAGCCAACCAACACCTTGAGCACAGTAACCTCCCCAGATACTCCCATTTCATCCTACAACCCCACCGGTCTTCACGATGATGTGGTACTACCTTTGGGGAAGTACTACCCCTCCAACTGGGAACGGCGCCACGGCAAAGGTCCACCGAGTCGACCTACCACGGCCGGGGCTCACTCCGAGCCTCAAGTGCCCAAGTCCCAAGACTCCAACCCATCTTCCCCGCACGCCCAACGACCAGGTTCCGACGTCAAGCGGCGGCTTCAACAGTACCAACGCGACATGATTGCGCAGGCCGCGATGGCCGCCAACGCGCTCATCGTCAGCAGCGGCTCGGCAGGCTCCGGCGGCTCCGGATCCTCCATCGCCTCGTCGTTGCGTGGGTTGACTCTACCCCAAGGCCACCTCGCCACGACGTTCCTCAAGACGCACAAGCCGCGCTCGCCGCGCTTGGAGCCTGTCGGCAGTCCCGGCCCGGTTACTCCCATGTCGCTAGAGGCGGATAGTTATCTGAGTTTGGGCGCGCCTGTGGATGTTGAGGCCGGTGGAAAGGGGCCGTTTTTTCGGCATGATGTAGCCCTGTCGCCGAGCGAGATGACGACTGCTTCGATTTGATGTTTTGGAAATGCAGATGAATTAGCGTGGGCCAACTGGCCCGTTGGGGAACCATCCGTTCCGTGCAACGCAGCGTAATCGGGATGAGCGACCGGTGTTCCTCTTTTTATTTTATTTTTTTGGTTCCCTTTTTTTTGGTCTACCGCTTCTACTTGTGGAGGGAGCGCAGGAACCATGATACCCAATGATAGACGGTGGAAAGGGGGGGATATGTTGTGTAAGGGCTATGAACCAATAGGGTATTCATGCAACAGCGCATGCGTCTGACTACGGGGCGGCGTCTTTTGTGTTTTTTCGGGGGATGGAGCGGATGATAAAAACTTTGAATCGACTCCATTCAATTCAAGTTCACTTCACTTTGATCTTGTCTCAACTGGAACGGTTTGCCGTGACCCCTTTACTGTGGATATTAGACTGATGACCATTCAGTAGAAAAAAACGGAACAAGATCCAGCAGGTAGAATTACGCCAAAACAAAATGAAGGATGAAGCTGGCATGATGCTATTATTTTATGGGATACTCTGCCCTAGGCTAAAAAAGATAGCCTTAGCTGCCAACCCTTGGTCATAAGTCATGAGTTAACTGCGTTCTGCCCCCGCCGGGATTTATTCGATGAATCCCCGTTGTTGTCCGTTGCGTAGAACCCCCCCAATAACGATAAAAAAAAAGGGAAAACCAAAAACCCATTAGTTCGCTACTACCGCAGTAAGTAGTTCAGGTACCCAAATATGCCTGTATAGCCCCGCCAAGTCCCTTGAAAATGTGATATTAAATGGGAGTAATAGTAGGCCAATATGGGACGCAAAAAATATCAAAAAGAAAATTGGAAACTACCGGGTCGATACTCATCGTTAATTCCACACCGACACGTCATTAAAGGGGCTGACAGTAATTGGCCGGAAAATTGCCTTGTACGCCTCCTAGTTCACCAACCCACCTGTGGTTTCGAACCGATTCTTGGTTAGCGACCTATTTCTTTTCCACTAGGGGAGGGATGGAAGAGATGATCCAAAAAAGAGGGGATACCAGGGGAAATAATCACGTACCAATCCTGATCCGTCTCCGTCTTTTTCATCACTTTAATCCGATCTCCTTCCTGAAACGACAAGTCCCCACTGCCCTGGCTGGAAAATGCGTACCGGGCGACAACCCACTCCTCGGGCTTGGACAAGCCGACCCGTTTCGGCGGGGGCGGAGGCGGCTTCTTCTTACCGAGCGCTGCAGCGGCGATAGCTGATGATGGCATCCCGTTGGCAGTGCCGGGGGTGGAAGCCCGAGAGGAGAAAGCTGGTGAGGTGGCTGCTGCGGCAGCGGCGGCGATGGCGGAAGGGGATGGTGAGGTAAAATAGTCCGGTCGTTGTTGTTGTTGCTGCTGCTGGTAGTGGTATGCGCCCGGGGTACTGTTCGCAGACCGGCTAACAGCGGCACCGCCTAGGATGGTGGCGGTTGTAAAGTCGGTCGCGTTGCCCATATAATCGGGCCGTCGGTCGGAGGAGGATGGGGACGGGGTACGGGTCCGCTCGAGGGGCATGGACGGAACCCGAAGGGTGCGCGCTTGTGGGCCGGAGATCAAGGCCGTTGCGGACCGGCGCGGACCAGTCAACGCTGGGGGCGTTGTGTTCGGGGGAAAGCCATTGCTAGTTGTCACTGGTTGGTTGATCGCCTTGCCGCGGGTGATGAAGCTGATGGTTTCGATCTGGCCACGGATCGGGCTGAAAGCGTTGTTCCAGGTTGCAATTACGTCGTCCATGGGCGGAGCGGGGGACGGGAACCCGTATTCTTCACAGTACCCATGCAGAGTAGTGTAGTACAGTCCCAAGAGCCGGTTTTGGATCATGACTAGGTTCGATACCAGAGGAGGGATCAAACTGAAGGCTGCGGCGATAATCGGTGGTAGAGTTCCTTTGAGATGCTCGTCCGCAATTCCAAACTCCTGTTTGGGAAGTTAGTTCCTAGCGTAGTACTAGGAGGCTTGATAGGAGTCATAAAGGGATGTTTACTGACCTCCCCGGCGCGAGACAGTTCAGCATTGGCTTTCGCTAATGCAGCCTCGTCCTTTGCATTCCGGCCTGGCTTCCGCTGAAGCTTCAATGCCTTGTCCTGGGCTTTCTCGTAGTCCAACCTCTTGTTCTCTCGCTTCTTGATGGTCTTGCGAATTGGCGCGATGGAAGCTCGGGCGTCGGTTGCGGGCTTCAGGATGTGTTCCTCAATTAGGCCCATCTCGCCCGATAGCTCCGTATTAAGCTCGGCGTAGGCCTCCTTCAGCTTGAAAGTGCGTTCTAACTGAAGTTCAGGAGTCGGTACGGCGTGCCGCGACTGTCCGTCAGAGGCTCCGGCGATGGGATCATAGAGGCCTTCATATTCGGTCACAATCTGGAGCTGGGTGCTGGTTAGAGCAGCCCACGAGTCCCTCCACATCCTCGCATTGTCGATGACCTGAAAGGGGGCCTTGTTAGTGATGCTATGCTCAAAACTCAACCATTGCTCTTTAACTAATTGGTTCTGTAAACCCCCCTCACCTTTGCAAGAACGTTGTCGGCATCCTCGTAGTCGTTGAGCAGAACTGCAACTTTGGCATTTTCCCCTGGCCCCTTGCTCATGAGTTTGCCAAACTGTCGTTGCATTGACTGCATGTTGTCTTCCCGATGTTAAGTGGATGGTACGAAGGAACCTTATGCGCGCGAAGAGTTACAATGATCTCGATAGAAATATCGGCGTCGTGGCCGCGCCGGAGGTACGAATTGCGAACAAAATCCGGAATGAGACGAATGGCTTCAACTCGCTGAATGACGGGACGATGGAAAAGCGGAGGATTGCGGAGGTTGGAGACAAGAAGGAAATATTAGATGTGTCCAAGCGAACTCTGTGCTACCTGCAAGTTGGCCCGGACGTTTATTTTCCTTTCCGACATGACTGAACCAAAGTAATGTGGCGCAGTATTTAATAAGACACTCGGTCCTTGCGTCCACGGCCAAGAGCTGCAGGTCCGTGACTGCGCTCCCGTCGAGTCTGCATTGCCTGCCTATTGCTTGAAATTTGGAGCACGAAGAGGGGGCCGAAACGGAGTCGCAGAGTGGGCATGGAATTGATTCCTTCAGTGGCGGTTTCGGTTGCACCAGCTCAAACCGGGTCTCTGTCCTGAAGAAGCCTGCTGCCGTTGGGTCTTGTGGGCGTTAAACCAATCGTTCATCCGTGGTTTGCTGCAGGGGGACGTTAGGAGTGGGGAAGTTTCTAGCCAACCACAACCCTTGTTGAGCTCACAAGTGGGAAGGTGGGGCTACGGTCAGGTGACCGCGCGTTTTGCAGGACACGGTTTGCTGAGCCAGCTTCGCGTCTCTCAAGAATCAAGAAATCAAGAATCCAGTCAGACAAACGACATCCTGGGCCCTGGTGCAGGCGCCAACGGAGCCTCGAGTGCTCACATTTGCCGCCAGAGGTTCTTTTACGAAGACAATGAAATGATGACGACGTCAATGCCACCCAACCATCGATATTTCCGATCATGATATCCTCGAGACCCGGCCCGTCGGGGTCGTCGAATCCGAGCGCTGGACGCAGCAGCGCATACGTCCTCGATTTTATCTGTCTTTTTACGCACGATCTCAAGAGAAAACAGAAGAGATGGGAAGATGGGCGCCTGAAATACCACACTTTCAACAAGCGGGTGATGGTGTACGATGAGCGCGGTAATTCGGTGGGGGACATGCATTGGCAACGCGATGAGGAGTTTGGGGAAGGGGAAGAAGTCCAGCTGGACCGAGGGGGCGTGATCATTCAAGTGATGGAGTGCGTGGGACAACGGGAGCAAGATCTGTCCGAGTTGCTGGACAAACGAGCCAAAGAAAAAGAGCAACGCCAATCTCGGTTCCTCGCGCGCCCGCCCGTCATGCCGCTTGACACCCCTCTAGGGAGATCTCCGGGACCGGAGCGTTTACAAACCCGTCATCGGCCCTTGAACCATGTTTTAGGGACTCCGACTGGCCACTACGGTCGGGCGGTGGCTCCCACAGAGTCGCCCTTCGAGATACGGCGAAAGACGAACGACAGTGCCAACAGCTCCGTGGACTCGCGCCCGGCAAAACGGGCGAAACGTGATATTTCGCCACCGAGAAAGATAGGCTACGCTCAAAGCTTGTTTGGGGCTACACTATCCCTGTCGGCGGTACCGATTAGCTCAGCGCCCCCACGACCACCACCCAATTCGACGGGCCGTCGCCAAGGCCAGGCGGCGTCAATCCCGGAAGGGGAACAGCAAGAAGACGAGGAGGGGGAGGAGGAGGAGGATGAGGAGGAGGAGGGGCCGCTCATCGGAGGAAGTAGTGGGGACGGGAATCTTGGGAAACCAAACCCCGCGATTCCTCTAGCAAGAGCGGGGCCAACGGTCACCGAGAGTGTTGGCCGGGAAGGGTTACCGACCGTGAAGAAGACTACCACAACAACCTCGAAGCACTTCGGCCTGACCAGGTCTGCCGAGACTCCTAAAGTGAACATGCTGAAATTGGTGGCGCAAGAGACTCAGTTTGCTCCCCGAATCAACGCCATGCCCTCGGTGACCGCTGCGATGCCGGAGCTTGCAGCATCGCGTTCAGCATCAACCAATCCGAAATTGAAAAGAGTCTCCGGCAACGCGGGTAAGACACGGATTGCCGATACGGGAGCTTCGAACTCCCAGGCGATTATGGTGGACGACGAGAGCTTTGAAGAGATGAACGAACATCAGCCTTCTGAGTATCAGAAAGTGGTCCGTGCAGAATCGGTTTCTCGGCCGGCCCCGCCCGCTAAAGCTAAGAAACAACCAAAGCGACGAAAGTCGCCACAACCCCCCCCTCCTCCAGAGCCGAAGCCTACGATAACACACTCCAAAGGCGCGGAAGTGCCATTCAACGAGGAGCGGACGGAGATCCGGCTCAAGCCTCGACGGAAGCGTGGTCTCTTATCTGTTCTCGAGAAGAAGACTCGGGCGAAGCAACCGAAGGCAAATTCGGCAGACACGGACAAGGAAACAGTCTCAGACGTGGGTATGGACCAACCGACTAGTCGTGCTGTCCCTGCGTTGGACTTGCACGACGATGCCGACGGCCCCTCAGACGCCCCGCATCGAATTTTGTCTGACACTGGCCCGGCCATCTCGGGGCACATCGCATCGGGACGTCAAGTACCGGTCGATGGGTTCGATGAAGTCGATGACGCCGACGCAGCCGATAAAACCGCTCGGCGTGGGGGTGGGCCTTCTGATGCGGCTATTTCCCGCGAACCTCGATCTGCTGTAGATGGACTTTCGCTGATTTCGACTGACCTTGAAGCGCCAAGCTCAGCCGCAAATACCACGTGCTCGCCCCATTTGCCGCCGCTTCGGGCCGAATGCTTGGACGAAGCTAACTCGCTGTGTTTGGACGCTGATGACCGGTCTGAGGCAGAGCTGAGTGCGGAGCCCACGGCGCCAAAAGCCCAACGACAGTCCCGTAAAAGTAAGAGGCTTGGCGAACAGCACTCGGGCCCCCCGAAGAAGGCACGGCGAACAGACTCGGTCAGTCGAGTTGATGCCCAGGAAATTCCTCCTCCTCCCGCCAAGCCACGACTAGCCAGGCTGAGCAAAAGGAGTGTCAAGAGCCGAGAGGTGTTTGGGTTCGTGCCGTCCAGCCCCGTGCCCGTTCACCCGGGTCTCCTGGCCCCACCCACATTCGGCGCTAGACCCGTCCAATTTGCGGCAGACGATGAGCTGCCGAGCCAAGCGCCGCCCGCACCGGCCGCACCAGCCAAAGATGACGCACCGGCCGGTCAGGCACCGCCGGCCGTGGAAGAGCCACAAACTAACACGTTACCGGAACCGCTGTGCAGCGCCAAGCCATCGACCGAGCAGCGGTGCGACGCTTGGCAAGCCGCCGGAGGGTTTGACACGGAGGAACACGCAGGGCTGATGACGCCGAGCTCCAAACTTCTAGCAGGCGGCAACCTCGCCGGCGTCGAACTCACCATGCCCCCTGGGGAATTCGGGAAAGCGGAAGACACAACCGAGACGCACCCTGACATCTCGGGTCTTGGGATCGATATCACCTGCAAAGCAACCATGGATCACGAGGCGCAACAGCACCCTCACCCCCAACGGCCTGCAGAAGAGCTTCCCGGGGCTGGCGATGATCGGACCAAAGTCGGCGGCGGCACCACCGACCGGCCCCAAGAATCATCGGCGGCCGGCTATTCTCGGCCGAGGATTGCGAATCCCGCAACGAGAGGCCGAAAGGCGGCGTTGAAATCAGACGCAGCGGGCCAGGCGCCTCAACCTGTTATCCCGCTAGAGTCTGTGCAAGGCCATATCAGTGTGCAGATCCCTACGGTGCCGCGGCCGCAAACTGCTGTCGCCAGTGAGCGCCCCAAAAGAAAGATGAGGTTTCCCGGTTTTACATCGGCCAAAGAGGGTGGTGGTCCGTGGAGTCGGGAAGCACACGACTTGTTGGAGAGTGTTCGGCCCGGTTGAGAATTGGGGCTTCGAAACTAGAACCCCAATTAGATCACTCCTCTCTTTTTTTATTGAACTCGGTATTAAGAAGGGCAGTTGGTCCGTGGCACCGAAAATGCCGAGACCGGACGTTTAGCGCGAGAAGTATTTGGTCGCCTTTGCTAATCCCCAGAAATATATCGCTTGAACATTTGCAATGGACGTGGGGGAGGGGTGGGCGGACGCCGAGACGGCGGTTATTATTTCTTGGCAAGACTTTTGAGTTATCCGCGACATGCGAGATAGATGTGCTGTGATGCCCAACCGGCACCCAGGGCCGTAAGCAAAACAGTGTGTAAGCAGTGTTGTAGACAAATTCGCCACCAAAGTAAAGCTACCTCCCACTGTCCGTCCACGGGTATCCTTTGTAGCTTCAACTTTTTAGTGTCAATGGTAGGGAGCAAGGAGTACAGGTGTTCAGGCACAGAACTTAGTATAGCCCTGTGGTGGGGAATTGACCAGATGGCAAGCCCGGATGTGCATGAGATGACGCTCACCCCGGAAAAAAAATGAGACAGCTTTCGTGCATTCGAGTTTTCAGTGTGGTACGTACCGCGCTGCGCCTCTTGAGTTCTATCGCAGAGCCGCATCGGGCAGGTTGGGAAAGTGGTCTGCCTCAGGCCACCGGTAAACTCCCTGTCTGTACCACCATCGAACCACCCACCTGGGGCCAGCAGTGCAACCATACGTTGTGATGTGGCCTTGGTTCCACGACTTACACGACTGACAGATCGCCGAGCCTTGTCCATCTTCACGTTGGTTTGACTGACCGCTAGTTTGCCGGAGCCCGTTCAGCTCTAAAATTTCTGCGAACGTTCCGACATTGGTTCATGAACTGCTGTATGCCTATGAGAAAAGGGGGCGCAAGGCGCTGTTTTGGTGGGCTGTCGGTGGTTAGTTAGCGAGAGGATGAGATGCATGCTATGTATGTACACGTGGAATGGAGAGCCAAAAAATGCAGGGCATGGGAACGCGCCAATGCCCCAAGCATGGCAGTGAGGGCGTGGCATTGGCGCGCTTGAATTGACTTCTGACCAGTGTGTCCAGTTCTCCGAGGGGGTGTGTTGATTTAGTCTCCTAGTGTATGCAAAGAGTTTTTGGGTTCTTTTCCAACTAGAACGTGAAACATTTACTAGAATCACTACACACATATGGACTTTGGCAGCCCCGCTCTGACACATATCGGGTAATTAGTGGGTTAATAATTGCAAGCTTCGTCAGTGGGAAAGAGCTTGTCTCCCTGCCAAGCCTTGCTGAACGAATTGCTGAGCCACTTTGCCACCCCCACCTGCCTCTTCAATCGTGATGGTCGCGGGGTCGTTGTTCCTCGTTTCTGCCCAATACGTGGTTTACTGGTGCGCGCACAACGCTGCGAGGCATGGCCCGATCGGGTAAGGCAAGGGAGGTAGGCTAACAAAGGTAGGCTAACGAAGGTAGGCTAACGAAGGTAGGCTAAGAAATCGATTAGTGGTTGGTGGAGGTCCCGGGTTGCCCAGTAATGTCCAGCAAGTGCTGTACTGTGTATGCCTTTGGTTCAACCCTCAGTTTTGTTTCAGGTCCCCTTTCTCCTGTCGTGCGGTATCCCGCTCCTCGGGCCGTCTACTTTCAGTCGATCATGTTTTGTTACCATTTTATTTTCTTGTCAAGGTACCGATCTCAGGAAGTTGGGCTCACCTTGGGCCTTACTGTACGCATTTGGCTTAGGCCCCCAACATCCTCAACAGCTGGTTCCCGTCTTTCCTCCGTGGGGCCACGCGAGGCGTCTTTTCGCCTTGCGGCTTGGCCAGCCGAGCAAGTGTCATGTAGGTATTAAATATCTATCTTATGTATTCTCGGCACCCTATTTCCCTAGGCCGAACCTTCACACAGGCCCTTTCATTCCTACCATCCTTGCATCTCGCAATACAACCATCCCGTTCCCTTAGTTGCCTTATACATCGAGGGGCTTTCCCCAGTCTCACTCCTTTTTTGGTTTACTCCCTGGGTATTGTGGTGTGGAGAGAACTCAGCGCCGCAGCCTTGCGCCGCGCACCGTGTACTCTGAACCGTCCTCAGATCAAACCCAACATTCCCTCAAACGCGAATCGCCATCATTCTTCTCGGTCCACCAGCCTTCCCACACAATGAACGGCTACGGCTCAGTACTGATCACACCTCAGGATTCAAGTCCAGGGTCGGTTCGTGGAGACCCCGTAGTGCCGACGCCTGAGACTCAAGAGCTTTACAACATATGGCAACATGCGTTGGAGAGTGAGAGACTACAGCAGGAGAACGGAAGCCTCACTGCCAATTCCCTCGGGCTAACTTCAGCCGGTGTCCATGGGCACGCGTTGTTACGACCCCCTTCGCCATCTCAGATGACAACTTCGTCTTGGGCGGGTTCTCATGTCAGCTCTACACGGTCTCTCAGTAGGGGCATGGACGAGGTGCAATCCGGAACAACACGGCGCTCAGGAACGGACAAACGACCACGCCCGGGGCGTCCGGGAAAGAACAAGCGAGGACGTACGGGGCCGATGGAGGATGCGACGCGGGCTAAGGCCAATCTCACGCGCAAGATCGGGGCCTGTGTTGACTGTCGAGAACGTAGGGTTCGGGTAAGAGAGTCGAAGACCACGATATATTCGGGGGGCCTTGTCGCTGTCGTGGACATTTCTAACCTGAAGCTAGTGTGATCACCTTAATTTGGAGTTGTTCCATCAAGCATACGAGGCAGAAAAGCTGAGATCGCGCACAACGGTGAACAATACCGTGGCGGTGACCACCGTTCCAGCCCTTACGAACCAGGAGCCCCTCGGCCACCGTGATGACCTTGTGGGCGTGGGAGGAAACGAAGTCCTCTCTCTCCAACCACATGCTACAAGCGGCACCCATTTAACCGGCGACGAGGGCTACACCGACTTTGATCCCTTACAGAGCCAGCAAGCTACGCCCGACCATATGCTTGAAACGCTCCTGTCTTCGTTTCCAACCCCCGAGCCACAAACCTCACGGCCCCGGCTTTCCTACTCGCCAGTCAGCACGAGACCGCCTTCCAGTCAAGCTCACCGGGTTCCTATCGCCAAACAATCCTACCCAGGCAGTGGCGAGTTGATATGTCTGGGTAGGACCCCGGCCTCGGGTTTCCTGGGCTCCTTAGGCTTCTCAGCGCCGAGTGAAAGCCCGCGTTACTGCCACCAACAATTTCCAAACTTGCCAGGTTGGGAGGAGCATTTCAAAGCTTGTCATGGCCAATTTTTTGAACCGCGAGTCCAGTGGAGGTGCATCTACTGCCAGAACAACGAGGAGTCGCAGGCGCACGAAGATGGAGACTGGTGCTCCTGCGGAACCTCTGAAGTTGGCTCCTTGGTTATGTGGTACTGGGCCGGGATCAGCCACTCGCCGACACCCACCTCCCGAACTCTCGGTCTCAACACAAGCCCGAGAGGGCCGGGCTCGGATTACTCCTCGTGGGCAAGCCAATCTCCGCAGTACAAGAACCCGTACGGAGGAGGCGGAGCCGGCGGCGGCTACGGCCATTATCACTCTCCTTCCTCCGGGAGCTATGGTGGAAGTTACGGAGGTGGTTACGGGGGAGGAGGTTACAACGGAGGCTCGTACCTCGCAAAAGCGCCCCCATCTACTCCCAATGCTGACACCGCCTGCTCAAATCTGTGGTTATCGCCGCCGCTCATCACTGGTAGCGCTGTCAAGCGAGCGTTGATAGCCCACGGCCTTGTGAGCAAATCTCCCGTCCTCGACCTCTGCTCCCCGATCTTCGATCAACACCACAGCCATCATCATCATCATCACAACACCATATGCGACACCGGCACAAACGGCAAGTCCACCGCCCTCCGCAACCTCTTTCTTTGCCCCGTCGTTGGCCTACTTGTCATCGCCGCCCTCGCCTGGCTGTCTCCGACCGCCCATCCCAGTGGATTCCTTGGTTCCCGATACTCAAGGGATGCCATTCTCGTGCTCTTTGTCGGTGATTTCCCGGGCCTGGTTGAGGCGGATATCGTCCAACCGTCAATTGCGTGTATGGGTATTGGGCTGGTCGCGTCGTGGCTGGTCCATCATGTTTTGGATCGGCTGAGGCAGCAGAGGGAGGCGGTTGGCGAGCAGGTAATGTTTCCGGTTGTTAATACGATATCGGGTTGAAGTTTTGCTAACCGGCGGGTGTGTTAAGCAGGTCTGGGTCAATGATAATGACGCCGTCACTGCCGTGCAGGAGAAACACCACTCGGCTGAGGTTGTCGCTTACTAGGCTCTGAGACGTTTATTTTGTTGCCATTCTGACCCCAGAGGTCCATTTTCTTTCTTTCGCTCTCTCTCTTCTTCCCCCTTTGTTTTTTATTCTTTCTCTTTTTCTTTTTTTTGTTTGTCATACGGGGTGCTTGCTCGTTATACGTACCCCTTTTATGAAACGTTTTCCTTTATCGGGGCCATGGTGGCGGTGTTTGGGGGATGGGGTGACTTAAAATGTATTTTTGTTTTGATATACTGTCGTTTTCGTCGCGATATATTATTGTCTTAGTATGCGGCATGGGTGCGAACCAGAATTGGGGCAGGTGTCTGGCGTCTTTTTCGTTGTTAGGCTTTTGGCTTTTCCGTAGTGCAGCGTAGTGGTAGGCGCTCGTTTCTTCATTACAGGCGTTACATGAATTGGCGTTCGTTATTTATCCGTTCCTAAAAACTGGTGTCGGAGGGTTGATGATTCTGCCTCTGGGAGACGTACAAATTACCAGAAGTCGTTGCAGGCGCTCATTTTTTCTTGATATAGTACATGCATACGTGTAGGTAGACATCAAGGAATTGGGTCCTTTTCAAGGAGCGAGCTTCTTCACGGGCGCCCCTACAAAGACCGACCAGAGACGTTCAATTTCGCCTTGAACAAGTTGTTGGCCGTCTCGGCGACCTCAAAGTCGTCAATTGCGCCTCCATCTAGATATCATGGTGTAGTGTGAGAGGGGGCACAGCCACAATCGCGCAACCTCAGTTGGAGTTGGCTGCCGAAAGCTTGACTTCTCCCAGAGCGGGCAGCCCAATGGACAGTGCTATGTAAGTGCAGCTTCCGAACCCCCTTTACACGGCATGTAACGTGCTTTTGGCGGGCACGCGGGGAAACCCGAATCACATTTCGTTGCCTTCAAGCAAGTAAGCTGCCGCAAATCTGCAGCTGAAGAGTCATCGAAGTTTTGAAACCAATAAAGAATTGGCTCGGAGAACTTGGACGGTAACATCTCTCGATACCATCCATACGAAGTCCGGACTAGGTGCGGGTGGGTTGAGTCAATTGAGAGATGGATGTGGGGTTTCCTGGGGGGCTGGGATCTGGCACTGTGTCAGGGATCATTGCTATCGCGGTGCTGCGCATTGAGAATTGGGCCGGGGCTTGGCCTCGCACTCCTCGATGTGCAGAAGGGGGCGCAAGGCAGGGCGATCTTTGGGGTCAGTCAACCTCGTGAGATGCCTCCAATTGCGCCTGCGCGAGGGGGAGGGCGAGGCTCGGGGTTTGTCGTGGGCGAGGCAATTCGTTAAAATCTAGAAGCACCTCGGCCGGTTGACTGCACAATTGGCCCGGGCCGGCCTGAGAACTTGCTAGGTTCATCAATTGAAAAGATGGAAGGGGTTCCTCAAAACTCGAATTCAATTGTTCCAGCACTGTGCGGGGGACAGAGAGCACTCCCAAGCACCTTCCCTGATAGGCCCAGCGGAATTGATGGTTTGACTCATCCGTACCTGGCCAATTACAACCATCACCATCGCGAAGCCGTCGTCCTCTGGTCAGACTGCAGGCGCTCCTCGGGGGGACGGCACGGATGGGTGGGATGTGGGGTCCGTTGCGCAAGGAATCACTCGCCGTGTTCTGCAACCATGCAGGTCGCTTCTCCGCTCGGGCTCGATGGTCACTGGTACAGGAATGGGCTCATATTCTGTAGCGCCGCGTGCAGCCTCGAGGTTGAGACGACGCCATATGGACAGACTTAAGTAATGAGAGAAGCTAAAAAAAGGCTTGTCTTATGTTTTGGAAAGCTTGAACAGCCAAATACTAGTTTCTGGCCGTCTTTAAAGCAATTTATGGTCTGGAGATCGGAGTGGCGGAGCAGAAAATACAGAACGGCCAAGTACCCGGCCCATGGTCTGACCCGGCCGCGCTATTCCTGATTTGGCTCGCCGAAATGCTGGGGGAGAACCACCTTCGCTGCGCCTTGGTCCTCGTTCCAGCTATGGCAGGTCTTGTCACAAGAACGAAGTGAAATATCGGCCTGACTCCTCGGACGCGTTTCTGCCTTTTTTCTCTCTTCTCTTCCTCATCAAAAAAAACTATTGTATTTGCTTGAGCAATTGCCCGACAACAGCTAGTTAGGCGCTCAAGGATCCCTTGCCCCAGCAGAGAGAGAGAAACCTTTCCCTGCAACGAACCGACCTCGTGCTTCTCTGTGAGTACTCTGTAGGCCCCCCATCAACCATCAATGTGCAACACCGCCTAATCGCCGAGAACAGAAACTCGGCGAAATCCGAGCTGCAGAGCTCGACTTCCAGCAACTTGGATCACCAACGGAACGACTTTTACCAGTTCCCCGACGGTTTGGATTTCCATCAATCCGAACCTCGTCAGACGACATTCCGCGGTATCTTCAAGATTCCGGAATCCGGCTTTTTTGAACCTCCGTGCGACCCCCGCATTAACCCCGAACCGATGGCCGGCATGGCCCGACACGGCTCCGTCGGGGCCTACAACGGGTTCTCCGTGTGCCAGCCGGCACTCGGAGCTTCCCTGCAGTGGCTCCCCGCGATTGGCACCGCGGAACTTGACGACATGATCAACGCCTTCCTCCCTGGTCCCGCGTCCATCCAGGACAAGCGCGCCCACATCTCCATGGACTTCTTCGAGTACTGCCGACTGACCGGCGAGACCCTGAAGTTCTACCCCCTCCCTGCGACCACCTTCACTCCCGTGACCGCCTCTCCTGCGACTTCGGTCCTCTACGACTCGGGCTATGCGTCCAGCTTCAACCACTCCCCAGTCCTCTCGGATCAAGGGTCGTGGACGCAGTCCCCGCCCACCTTCGGTGCGGCGACGTCCGAGGCCAAGACCAAGTCGTCGCGGTCCTCCGTCTCCAAGAAGTCCAGCAACTCTAGCTCGCGCCAGCAGACGGTGGACTTTGCGAGCCACCCGGGGATGCGCATCCTGACCAAGGATGGCCGTGACGTGACCAACTCGGCGTCCCGGGGGTGCAAGACCAAGGAGCAGCGGGATCACGCCCACCTGATGCGCATCATCAAGGCATGCGACGCGTGCAAGAAGAAGAAGGTCCGCTGCGACCCCAGCCACAGGAAGAGGACCGCCTCGCAAACATCACCCTCGCAGTCAGAACAGAAGCCGGCGAAGAAGGCGAAGAAGGCAGAGGAGCCACCACCTGCACCAGTCGTCAATGCTGCGGCCATGGATTTTACCCCGGCCGGTGATTTCACCGCTGAGACCTTTGACTTCTCATCCTTGGAAGTCGACAACTACCTCCAGCAAGATTCTGAAGAGTTCTGGAACGAGTTCATCGCCCTTGACCAGGCGCCAGCACCGGCAGTCAACCCCGCGACCAGCGTCGATGACTTCCTCTTTGACTCTTTCACCGACTTCCAGAGCTTCATCTCCCCCAGCTCGGATTCGTCATCCTCGACTCCTCCTTCTCAGATCCTCACTCCGGTCACTCCAGATCGCTCTCGCCAGTCCCCGATTGCCGGCCCTGTTTCCGACCTCACCTCCGACGTTGCGGATGTAATCTCTTCGGCCGACCTATCCGTCCCGTACCTCAACCCGGGAGTCGCGCACGGCACCGATTATATCGACTTCAACCTGTACTCACCTGGGCCTGAAGTGTATGAGGAGGATCCCGTACTCCAACTACGGGAGCTTGGCAGCCAACAACACTCGCCACAATCAACCAGTTCCGTCGCCAGCCACACGTCCGCCCACAGTTCACCTCGCAGGTCGGAAGCCGGTGTTGTTACCCAGCTAAGCGAGCCTGGCCAACAACAATATCTCGCTACCTCGCCTCGTGAGACCTGGTACTATGATCCTGGGGATACGCCGGATGTCGAAGCACCGCCTGGAGCCGAGCACGCAAGCACGAACCGGCGCCTGACCACCAATCACAACAGGCTAATCGGGGAAACACACGGCGGCTACTACAGCCACAGGCGCGCTGCCAGCGATGGTTCTCTTGCCGGTTCTTCTCGCGTCGCCGCCCAGCCTACCACCGCCGAGTCGCATGCACCTCTTGAATCGTCTGCCTCGTCTGGCGCTGTGTTCGCCAACAGTGCGCTGTCGTCGGTTAGTCCGAGCAGGATCGCCGGACCCAGGAGGATAACTACTACAGTGCCTGCTACAGCACCACGTGGGAACTGTATACCGGCACCTCCTGCCGGCCCGCTTGCGACGATAGCAGCAGCTGCTCGTCAACCTGGCACGCCTGACTCTGACGCGTATGTCAAGGCATCGCCGCCAGCAGCAATTGCAACTGCAGCAGCACCACGTGGCCGCGCTTCACTGCGCACGACGCTCGCGGCACGCCCGACGGTCCTCGCGACTTCATCACGGAAGGTTGCCGATGGAACCGTCCGTGCCGGCGCGCTGGGCTCCGGCAAGCGGTACACAGCCAACCTGAGCGACTGCTCAACGGACCGCTGCTCTCTGGATACCCGCCCTCTTGAGGAACAACAGCATGCCAAGCAGCAGCCCACTGTTGCGGGCAATGTCGCGCTAGCAACAACTGTGTTGTTCTCGACCCTGCCGACGCGGCGCAACGTCGCTGGGGAAGGCGTGCCGTCTGACGGCGCGTTCTTCTTCCAGCTTGCCGTGTTCGGTCTTGTCTCCATCCTTTGCGCCTCTGCTGTCTTGCAGCAGTACGCGCACTCGGCTAGTCAAATCAGCCTCGTCAACATTCTAGCCATCACAAGCATGTCTTTGGCCCGGTTCGCCTTGTGGCGCGCCGGGCCACCGTCGCGCGGCGTGTCCTCCATCGCCGCCGACACGAAAACCTTGCCGCCGTCCGGCCTCTTTGACAACATCATGTCGATGGGCCGCCGCCAGTCGGTCGTCACGGGGTGTCCGACGGACCAACGGTCCTCGGTGTCCCGGTGGGCGAGAAGCATCCTGCCTCGCCTACGGACATCGGCGCCACTGCTGGGGATGTAATCCCTTCCCCTGCGGTGGTCGCCCGGCAAGCGTTGTCGTGATATGATCTTGTGTTGGCTTTTGTTTGTTGTAACCAGCGAGTGCTCTTTTGACTTATGATACCCCGGGAATGGATGCGAGACATGTGGTCGTCCTCTTCTCTTCTTTTTTACATACCGTATTTTGGGGCTTGCCGTTGCGGGCTACTGTTTCCTGTCGACGGCGAAGCGTGTTTTGTGTGGTATTGGGACGTTGGGGAGAGGACGGCTTGGTGGTCTGTGAAGGACTGGACTGTACTTCGGGAAGGTGGAATATCTCTTCTTTGCTCTGGGTTTCCGACAGCAAGGTAGCGCTCGCTTCTCGAGCTTGACAATGGAAGGTCCCCGCAGACCATCGAAAATTTTCAACTCTGGTGTCCCCTCTGCTAAACGTGAATGTTTGATGCCCTGATTCTGCCCTCAATTGCCCCTCGAGATCAAAAGACCAAATTCCCGGTAGATATGCAACAAAACGAGCCCTGAAGCCCCACTCTCTGCTTATTGACCCGCACACACATGCGAGAGACTTCATTTTTCATTGATCCACTTTCTCGTTTCATTGAACTAGAGTCCCCTTTTGTGTTTCTGTTTGACAAGGTCCATGTGCCATGTGTTCACTCAATTTTACTCATGCTTTTCGTAGCTTCATCGACATGAATGCATTCTAACAAATGTAACGGGGCATCTCGACTGAGCTTTTTGAATAGATATCCCAGCATTGCGTGGGTGGCATAACCTTAGCATGGCTTGAGCGGCACTCTAGAATTCTCCCTTTGACTCAACATCCTTCTATTATTTTTACCTTACGAAACACGACCTCCTAAGGAACAGGATCTTTGTGCACCCATCGTTTCATCCTACGTTTTGTTTTTTTTATCTGAGCTGGTGGAGGTTAAAGATATCCGTTTCTAGAGGAGCAAAATCTGGGAAAGCGAGAGAAAAATGGCAGGCGCGCTCTTTCAGGCCATGTCGGCTTTTGCCCGCAAAACGACCACCTTCCTCTGGTCGCTCTTTCTCTTTCCTTTCAACACACTCATGCAGGCAGCACGGCTTTTCCCCGGTTTTCGACAAACAAGTCATCCACCAATACTTCCCCGATCGGCCTCTGTCTCCGGCGCTGGTCCCGGGTCTGGTTCTGGCTCTGGTCCTGGTCCTGGTTCTGGTTCAGGTTCATCTCCATCTTCCTTCGAAGAACCTAGTTATAGCGGCAACAGCAATACCTACAGCGACGTTAACGAGGGCCCCGGAAGCCACAACAAAGACACCAACATGACGACGGCATCGACTTCTCCTGCTGCCTCGGCGCAGCAGGATCGCAAGGGAGTCCCCTCCGGAGCCTTCCCAGCAGCCCCTCGCGTTCATCCAGCTGTTTCTGGGGAAGAGAACTACCCACAGCCTGGTTCTTCCTCGACCGCCCAAAATGACGACGAGCAGTTCATCGAGATGACCTCAAATCTGAACTTGAACGATACGCCGGCCCAGGAAACCGATGTACCGCCGATACCCTTTCAGGATGTGGCCAACCGCTTGGGAATCACAACGACGGACGTGACTTCATCAAAAGCCGACACACTGGTAGTTCCAGAGGTGACCAAAGCCCCGGCCGTCCCGTTCCTGCACGCGTTCTCCCAGACTAGTAGGCTGAAGGAGACCCCGACGTCTATGGAGCTGGACGGCGTAACGGTGCAGGTCCACTCCAAGACTGAGACACCGGAGCAGGCGGCTGAGAGGGCGGTACACAGTCGGTTCATGAGAGAGGCTCTTGATATGGTGAGTGAGAGCGCTGCTTGTGGTGGTATTTCTGAGAGTTTGGGGCGGGCTTGGGGGGGCAGATTTAGGGGGAAGCCGTTAGCTAACATCTTACCCGATAGGCCAGACTCGCTCTCAAAACCAACGAGACGCCCGTGGGTTGTGTGCTTGTCTACAAGGGGCGTGTCATCGCCCGGGGCATGAACGCGACCAACGTAACGCGCAACGGAACGAGGCACGCAGAGCTGATGGCCATCTCAGCCTTGTTGTCTTTCTCGCCCGCATCTGATACCGAGACCAAGACCCACGGTTCGCCAGCGGACGCATCAGCGCTTGGGATGCCCCTCAGCGACAAGACCAACCAGCCGCAAGCCACGGAGGAGACTAGTACCTGGGGTGACGTGGATCCGAAAGACGGCCATCTCTACCCTTACGGCCAGAAGCTCCACCCTTCGCCTCGTGTGGACCCCTCGGTCATTACCGAGTGCACGCTGTATGTCACCGTCGAGCCGTGCGTCATGTGTGCTTCGCTGCTTCGCCAGTTCGGCGTCAAGAAGGTCTACTTTGGCGCTGTCAACGACAAGTTTGGAGGCACTGGCGGTGTGTTCCGGATCCACAAGAACTCGCCCTTCTCGATGGCCTCGGCTCCTCCGTCGCCTGCGCCGCAGAATGGCAAGGGCATCGCGAGGCCGGCTCTCGAGCGCCGTCCGGTCTCTACCGACGCCGTCTCCGAGGAGCCGAACCCGTTGGATGAAATCAGCCGGGCGAACGGCGTGATCGTTGCTCCGATTGATACGTCTGCCCTTCCGGGCGATGGTGGCAACATTGAGCGTGGGTACGAGGCTGAGGGTGGATGGGGCCGTGATGAAGCGGTGACATTGCTGAGGCAATTTTATGTCCAGGAGAACAACAGGGGTAGGTTTTGGGTCCCTCCGAACTTATCGGCGCTGGGGTCACTAACGAGGCCGTAGCTCCCGTTCCGCGAAAGAAGGAAGGCCGAGCGGCCCGTCTGGCTGCCTTGATGGAACGCAACGGGCAGCCCGGCGGTCCTGTCGACGTCAACGGGACAAAATCACAAGATGGTTCAGGGGCGAGCACACCCGTCATCTCTGAGTCGACCCTTGATGACACTGCCGACGATGAGGCCGAGAATGGGACTGGGAATGCGACTGAGGATGGGGCTGAGGATAGTGCCGACGATGAAGACGATAGTGTCACCTCCTAGGTCGCTTCCTCGTCCCGAAAACGAGTTGGATTCCCTAGCCGACAGTACTGCTAGTACTAGTACTAGTATTCAACGACATGGAAACCGGCAGTGCTGTGGGTCCGACAAGACGCGAGTCTTCCCGAGGCGAGGAGCAAACATCACTTCCTAGCCTGGGATGCTGTATGCTAGTACTCAAGAATAGTACGAGGTACGTTTGGTCCCCCGGGAGCTCTTGCGTGTCGTTTTGCTAACTAACCGTATAGATCTCAGCTCCCGTCTCCCAGTTGTCTGTGAGGGATGCCGACTTGACGAGGTGGGGGTGAGTCAAATATCCGAAACATGTTACAACATCTTGTATCGATACTTTACAGGAGTGGGATCCGCGATACAGGGCCTTGGGCTCACTCATCTTATATTGCCGCAGCGGTCCCGGCGGCGTTGGCGAGTTGGAGGACGTAACTAGCCATTGGTAGATGTTAGATATTTACCAGACTAATTACACAAGGAGTTTAACATGATCAGGACTCGTTCCTTTCTTCTCACTATGCAGTACAAAGACGGCCTTACTCATTCCTGGAGCTATGTTCCTTCTTCATCCCCTCTTCTAGCCCTGCGATCAAACCTTCTCCCCACGCCTTTGCCCCCCGCGTTCTCCCCGTGCTGGCCTCCTCTGCGAAACTGACCCGCCCCGTCCACCACACCAACCAATCTTCTCTCCGCGAATCACCGCCATTCTTCCCATGCTCGCCACCGCGCGCAATGTCTGGAGCCGCAGCCCGGAAAAGCCCCGCACTAACGTCGATCAGGCCCGTGCGAAACTCGTCGTGCCAGAAGACGGTAGCGCCGCAGACACCGCAAAACTCGCGCATGCGGCCTGGGGAAGAGCGGTAGGTGGTTAGTGAGAGGTTGGCGGGGAGGTTGTTGAAGTCGAGGGGGTGGTAGTCCAACGACATTCTGGCGCTATCGCCACTTCCCTTGGTTGAATCGATGGCGGCGATGGTGATGTTACGACGGGGGATGAAAGCCCAGGTTTGGATCTCCGAGCCGGTGGTTAGGCGACACGGGAGGCAGGCGCAGGTTCCTGCGAGGTAATGGCTTGGTGGGTTGGAAGGGTTGGAAGTGTCGTTGGAAGGGACCGGGCGAAGGTACCATTTCTCGTGAGACGGGTTAGAGATGACCTCGGGAGGGTTGGTTGCGTAGGGAAGGAGGAGGTCGGCGTAAGGGGAGTCTGGGTTGAGGGTTGGGTCTGCTGAGGGGCGGGTGATGTTGAGGGTTATGGAGGTGCAGTGGCATGCTGCGTGGAGGGTGTCGGTTTCGGTATCGGGAGGGAGGGTTGATGATGATGGTAGGGTGATGGCTGTAGTAGGAGTGGAGGCCGTGGAAGGAGGGGTATTAGGTAGCCATCGGGAAAGTCCGCCGTCTTTAGTGTCGTTGATGTTCCGGTGCGTCCAAGTTTCCGGGGAGAGATTGCTAGGCTCCGGTGCATCCAAGATAGTTCCCGTTGCTACCTCCCACTCCCACTCCTCAGCGGGAGCCGAGGGAGAAGGGTGCTTAGCACAGAAAACGTGGCATCCGCAGGTAGGACAAAAGTAGCGGGTCGAGTCGGCCGAGGGAGAGTAGCGCTTGAGTGCTGCGACGGACGGCGTGGAAATCGGAGCGAAGGGCACGCAATGCACACCGGATGAGTATCGGCAAGTATCGCAATGGCAGATCGTTGCGCCAGTGAAGATGCTGTCCTGGCCGGTTCGCGGTGTTACCGTTTGTCGGGCAGTACCGCAGTGGCACGAAATCGTGGCTAAATTTTGAATGGAGTCCATTGTTTAGCTTCAAGGTTGGGATGAAGTGCAACGGATGGGAAGGTGGGGGAGAGGTCGAACTTGCCATATATGGGTGAAGCGGTTGGTCAGCCGGCACTTATATGAGGCCGAGGTTTCCCAATCCGGCGAGCACCTGTCGTCCTCATCCGCTGTGACGGCCCGTCACGGTCCGACTTTCAGCCGACGAGCGGCCCGCCGCTCCGTTATGGTGGCAGGTGCATTGGAGGGCAACCTTCTAGCCATACATTACATACCTTAGTATTGTGTTACGAATGCAATTGGTACGGACAGTAGTAGCTTCGGAAAAGACTCAACCCCTCTTCTTGAGTTTGCACCTCCAGGAGTGCGAGGGACACGTTTCCTTGTCATTCACTCAACGTAACCAACTTCACACACGACGCATAGGAAGATCTGAGAATATATTCAATTAACACAGCACCTTGCCGCTAAACTCGCTTGCCCCGAAAAACATCCCCGCCATGACTATCTGTAAAAATATGATGAAAATGGCACGTTCACTACGCTAATTTCTCGGCGGGGGATGTCGGGACAGTGTCCCTGTCCGAGTCAACAGCCTTTCCCTCGATCTTCTCCGATACGCCCTCGGTATCAGCCACGGATGGCTGCCGCGGGGCGCGCCAAAAGTCCTTCCGGCCCTTGGCCAAACGGGCCATCCACGCAGGGATAACGCCACCCTCGGTCTGCCACTTCCACTCCTCCTTCATAGCCTTGTTGGGGGGCACAATGCGGCCGAACGACAGCTTTTCGATGACCCACACCAGGGTGTTGATCAAGATGTAGAGGCAGATGCCCGCAATCAGGCCATCGGCAATCGAGTAGGTAAAGGGCATGAGGGCGATAGTGACAAAGGCCGGGACGGAGTCGCCAAGGTACCGCCAGTTGATGTCGGTCACGGCCTGGACCATCATGGACCCGACTAGGACGAGGACGCAGCCGGTAGCCCAGGGCGGAATCGAAGCGAAAATCGGCGCAAAGAAGATGGAGATGAAGAAGCAAATCCCGGTAGCCAGGGCCGTCAGACCCGTCTTGCCGCCTTCACCGATGCCTGCGCCGGATTCGACAAAGGCAGTGACGGGAGGAGTGCCAAACACCGAGCCAATAGCGATGGTAAGAGAGTCCACCATGTAACTGATACGACGTTAGTTTGTCTCAGATATGAAGAACGACAACAACAACATGGTTAGTTCGACTTACGCCCACGTAGAACCCTCAAAATCCTGAGTAACGGGATCGACAAGGTCGGCATAACGGGCCATGGAGTAGAGGGTACCGGTGGTGTCCAGGATATCGACGTAAAGGAAGGTGATCAAAGCCAGGCCGAATTGTCCGCCATAGTCGCCAATATCCCACCTCTGGACGTTGAGAACCTTTCCGATAGAGTGGAAGTCGACCACCTTCTTGAAGAAGTCAAAGTTGGCGTCGCCCAGCTCGGTGTAGGGGAAGTACGTGACGGAGGTTGTGCGCGGCCAGGAGATGACGGAGACGAGGACGATGCCAGCGATGATGGCGCCTTTAACCCTGTACAGCAGCAACATGACGGTCAAAACACCACCGCAGAAGATGCCAATCCACAGCATCGGGCTGCGCATCTTGGCAGAGTCCGGACATTGCCCAGCCTCATCCATGGCTTCCTGAAGACATCCGGCCAACGACATCGGGGTCGACGAGCTACCGACAATGAGACCGATACCCTCGGCATACGTCAGACCGATCAGAGTCAGGAAGAGACCGATTCCGACACTGGTTGCGAGCTTGATGCAGCGGGGGATGGCACGAGCGAGCCACTGGCGCAAACCGAGAATGGCGAGTCCGAAAAAGATGAAGCCCTCGACAAAGATGGCTGTCAGAGCAACCTCATACGGGACCGGGCCGGTTCCGTGCTTCCCAACGACCGTGTAAGCAAAATACGCATTCAAACCCATACCGGGCGCAATTCCCACTGGCCTGTGAGTCAAAGGGCAAGTTAGCAATTCCATCCCCCAACTTAGTCCCGCAACTGAGTCCCGCTGCTAAGCCATTGACGTACAAATTGGCGAAGATACCCATGCACGCGGTTCCCAGGGCGGCGATGGCGGCAGTGGCCGTGACAAGATCTCTCTTAATATCGGCCTTGCAAAGCAGGTATTCGGTGTTGTTTTCGCAGGGCAAAGCGCCCGGGGCGGGGGTTTCATTGCACACACATGTGCCACCCGTGTCGGACACAATGCTGGAGTTCACGGCGATAATGTAGCTGTTCATGAGATTAGCGCCATCCGTTCAAGGCCGTGATGGCTTTAGAACGTGGAATGCACTCACGCCATGGCAAAAAAGGTCGCCAGGCCAGCTCGTATCTCGGTGAAGAAGCGGGAGCCTTTTCTCTCTTTCGGCTGTTTGGGCGCGGTCGCCTTTAGTATTGTTCCCCGCGGTCAGAGACTGCTTTCATGAAGCGCTCACATGTCCACAGCCCTCAAGCTTAAACCAGCGACCGACCGGGCCGGCCGCGATCCGCTCGTTGGTCTTCTCAATCCAACCCATCTTGTCGATTCCTCGTCGGCGAGGGCCCAAAGTGAGGTCGTCGATAGCGCACGAACAAAACTTTCGAAGATAGATCCGGCTCTTGGAGGGTTGCAAGGGTCGCAAGTGACGAGAGGATGATGGCGAAGGTGGAGACGAAGTACCGGAATCGGCAAGCCCGTCGAGGGAGTGAGCGTTGCTAAGGAACTCAACGATAGCAAAAAGGCTGGGGTGGCCACCGACTTTTAAACCAGGAGCGGGTGTGCAAGAACGGGGAATCGGGAGCCTTTTAGCGCAGTCCTGGATCCAACGTTGGTGGGATGGATCATGGCCGGGAAAAATTCGCGGTGAAAAAAAATCCCTTATCTCTGGGTCAGTTTGGGGATTGGGGATTGGGAATTGGAGCTCCCCTTCATCCCAACTGGGGTGTAGCCACTTACACCGAGACCCAGCCAGCATGGAAAGGCATGCTTGAGACTTGGCATGGTGGAGGCCAGCTCGACGGGCAGCTATGGGCATACTACTCTGGTACACTCCCACAACAGCCCCGGTGTTCGAGAAGGAGCTTGGTGTTCTGCATGTGCCCTCCTCAGTGTCTCAACACCGAATGGCACCCCAGCCCTCCACAACATCGGGATCTGCGGCGAGACAAGACGTTTGCGCCCGACCGAGCAGGTTACAGCGCGGGGAACTGCGCGCGGCCTTGACGAATGGAAAGAACGGTTTTACTGGCGTCGCCGTGACCCGACAACTCATAACAATGCTACTGTACTTTGTACTCTGGAATCTATGCATTCAAAGGCGGGTTTCATTCTCATTCCTCACGGCAAACTCGGTGTCATCGAGATACGGATTCTTTCCAGTAGCCTTCGATAACAAGAAACGCCGAATGATAGGACGAACATCCAAACCGAGATTGGGCTGTTCCCCACGGCCTGACCCTGTCCCTCTCTCCAAGGATCTGTTGCCTCGGCAGGCCACCCTAGCAAAGGCCCTCCGGCCACGTTCAAAGAAGAAACTAGTCTAAAAGAGGATTCATTTCATGCACACGACAACCCCCCATGTTCCCACGCTGAACCCACTGGAGATAAGATCCCCCCGCCCGCCACGCGACAGTCTTCCTTATCAGCCAGCTTTTGCGGACTGCAATGCAATGCTCTCTGCGGTTCATTGCATCGGCGCTCACTGTGGGAGCTTTAAAACGTGCGGCCCCGACCGGGCTGTAGGGTAGCTCCGATGGCCTAGCTGCCGGCTTTGGCCTTGGCCACGGGCTCTCCCGAACGCATGCATGGCATGCATCATTGCATTCATTGAGCAGTGATGCGCCTAGTATACATACTCTGCGGTGCTGAGGAAACAATCTAAAACGCAGTCTTCCGTCTTCCGCTCCCAAAGCCGCTGTCCGTCTCCACACTAGGGCCCGCCCGACAGCCCAAGCGCCGAGTTCCAAGGCGGGGCCGAACGACCCGGGTCAGTCTCAAACAAAACTGACGCGATGATAACTTCACATTTGTTATCGGTTAAGGTTAGTTGTTTGTTTCCAAAATTGCGATCCCAGACTCGCGACGTTGGACCCTACTGTGTATCGCAACGCGACGGCCGGCGGCTGAAAATGAGGGGCCGACTTCTTTGAGGATGGGCAAGCGTACACTACACTAGTATGCATGGCACTTTGTTCTTGTCCTTCATTGCAATAATGCCTTGGGCCTGAAAGAGCAATTGCGGGCCCAAGATCATTTTATCATGCAGCGATTCCGTGCAGCGGTTCCTTGTTTACAACTGGGATGAGACGAAAAAGGTAAAAAAAGAACAAACTCCATGGCTACTCCCCGCTTGTGTGTTACAAGTGAGACGCTGCCGGTAGGACAACACGGGCACCTTCCCGAATGCCACAAAGCTAAAGCCGGGGGGTTTGCCAAACACAATTCCTGTGACTGTTTTGTGAGACGTGGTATCGTTCTGAGGGCCCGAAATTTAGGGGAAAGAGGAAAGAGGCTAGAGATCAAAGTGTCAAGGAGGAATGTGAAGTTTCGCGTTTGGGTGCTGAGAAAAAAACGATAGACACTAAGGCAACTGGAGTGGAATCATGGGTTTGGTTTTCCCTATTATGAAATACATGAACTGAGTCTTGAAACATTTGTTTTTACTTATCTACCGAGTGTTTCTTTACTTAGCCTTGGTTTGATCCGAGTAGTCAAGTATCTACTGTTTCAACCTTCTATCAATCTCACATTTCGAGAATCTCCGGCTTTTTGCCCTGCTTTTGACTTTCGGGTTCTTCCTCCTTAAATCCAATATGTGTTTACCCTTGGGCCATTGTCGAAGTCGGTCGTAGTTGCCCTGCGGACAGGTAATTAAATGGTTGTTGGCCTGGTGGTCAGGAGGAAAGAGCGCCTACAGTGCGGGTTTTAGCAATGGTAATTAGTTATTCTTGCCCCACAATGGAATTCTCCCATTTGCATTTCAACTTTTGACATTCATTTGCCGACTCCCTTCCTAATCCGCATCGCTTCGAAATTCGCGATAAAATAGAGGATATGTATTGCGGTAGCATCATAACACCTGACGGCCTCTAGTCTTTAATTTTCCACACAGCTCTCCTGAGATGGAACTATAGGCACCGCACTGTATCGGTTTAACCACACATCTTGGACTCAACTAGCACGAGATATGATACCCCATCGACCAAATTTCTAGAATCACAACTTAAGTCTGGGTTTGCCACGCGGTGATAGTGGCACAGGGAAGAGCTGAGGAAACCAACCCGTCGTTCAAGGCATTGTCATTTGCATAGGAAGTTACTTACCTGATTGTTAGCTCCAACTTGAGAGGCCGCGGCCGCCGCGCCCTTCTTGACCGGAGGTTCATCAACCCACATCAAGCGGGACTTTAGTCTGTCTGTTCAATCCTCAATGGAGGCGGACGTTTAGCCGGGCGCTTGCTCCTATTCAACTGACCGAACGCAGGATCGCTTAACTAGTACATATGAATAGACAGAGAGAACCAACCTGTTGGCCATCAGCCCCACCAGGTTCGCCCGCGAATGCGCCCTGCTCAGCAGAGGGAGGGGCTTGGCTTGAACCCAGCCCCGATGGACCTGCATTTCCGCCTGCATTCCGCCACAGCTCCTCAACGGCTGACCGGCCATTGACAAGCGGTGCGACGTCAACACGAACACAAGATCCAAGATGCATGAAAACTGGCGTCGCGCTTTCTCCTCAACTTACCTGGCCTGCCCGGACTCTTGTATCTAGCCGCAACTTTGGGCTCAACTCGAGGCTCCGGCACGGGACACCACTCGGCTACGCTTTTACACCTCACTCTCATTAGTTACTCCTCACTCTCACACAACCACAATGGCCAGCGACCTCCCACCCCGCTTTGCAACGGACCTCGAAGAAAGCCTGAACCTCAGGGTTCCCACGGCGGCCTCTGACGACCAACGCAGTACCACCAGCACCACAGCTTCAGGCCAGGCACGCCCGCGTCAATGGGACGACCCGCCGGACGACGAGGGCGAGGGCGGGCCGGGAGCTGGTGCAGCGTCCCCGGCAGCCCGCGAGAACATCACGACCATGGTATTCGTCCTGGTGGGCCAGGTGCGCTCCTCCCACGACGCAGAAATCATGCAGCTGACGTACGCGTCGGCCAATGATGCGCACCTGGTGGCCATGGTGCCCAAGTCGGTCAACGCGCGCAACATGGACAACAAGGCCGGGCCGTACGGGGTGATGATGTGGTCGGCGACCACGGGCCAGCGGGTACTCACGGTAACCGGGATATCCGGGACCCGAAGCGGCCTGCGGCTGGCGCGCGGCGGGTTTGCGGTGAAACCCGTAAGCGCGGGTGGGGCGAATCCCGTGGTGGCGTGTCCCTTCTATGTACCGATGGCGCCGCAGTCGACGCCGGAGATGTATACGATGTGGACGCCGCGGGTGGAGGCGTTTGATCTGGGCCGGCGCGAGCGGTTGTTCAAGCAGGACGTGGCCGTCCGGGCGCCGCTGGCGTATAGTCCGGACGGGCAGTTGTTGGCCGGGGTGTCGGAGCGTGACCCGACCCGGGTGATGGTGATCAAGGTGCCACCGGGAGAAAACTCGAGTCCCTACGCGTCAATACCCAGGATCGTGCGGATCGTGATGTCGCACCTGGACGAGGTCACCAAGGTGGCGTTCCTGCCTGCCGGAGCAGGGGCGACAGGAGGAGCACGGGCGTTGGTCAGCGCGGGCAAGGACGGACAGGTGCGGGTGACAGATATCGACTCCGGGCGGACGCTCAAGAAGGTGGAGGTGCTGGTGGCGGGGGCGCGGTTTCCGGCGAGTATCCTGCAGGTGTCGTCGGACGGGACGCTGGTGGTAACGGTCTGGGGCCGCGACGTGGTGCTGTGGTATCTTGACACGGGCCGGGTGCACACGTACAACCTAGACGCGGTGCGGGTGAACGAAGGGTGGCCGATGGCGGTCTCGCCGGACGGTCGGTACCTGATGTGCCGGAACGAGGAAGGGTTCGATGTGATGGAGGTGCAGACGGGCAAGTTCCGCGGGGAGTTTGCGGTGTCGCGGCAGCCCATCACGTCGGCGGCGTTCAACAGCACGGGTACTCGGCTGGCGACGGGGGACTATGCGGGGAATTTGCAGATTTACGAGATCGTCACCTCGGAGGTGTAGTTGGGCATGTTAGATTTTGGTATCTTGATAGTTGAGTCTTGTCTTGGATAAAAAGCGCCCCTGGTTTTCGACTGGTAAATTTCGAACTGTGAGTATTCCGTTGCGAGACGGTAAATTACGTGGATGCTAAGCTTCAGTCATTTCAGAGCACCATCGCAATACATACGGTATGGTATAATATGGTATGTACGGCACAGAAGGAACCCAGCCAATGTATCCGACAACTGCGACAAAACAACAAACAAACCCGACCTACATGCAAAGTAGGAAACAAGCAGCCGATGCAATGTACTCATGCTCAGAAGCGAGACTCAATATGTCGTTCCAGTTAAGAGTCGATTGTAACAACAGACCGCTGAAAACGAACCCCTGAGACAACCCCCTAAGAGGAATCCCCGAGACGGACCGGACCCGTACCGTATTCACTGCTGTATAATACACGCCTTTTACACGCCCCTTTCTTTATCCCGCCCATCTCCCGAGACGCCCGCCCGCCTAACCATAGACCTACTCGACACAAACTTCGGCCTGCCGGTGTTTTTACAATATGCCCTGCGATGTTTTGCTGCGGGTGATGGTGACTACCGGTTGCTGATATGCTGGATAGCAGCCAGCCATTTCTGCTCGTCCGATCTGTTCAATCAATTGTCAGTATTTTACATGCTTGTTTACATAACGCGGTACGTGTATCAAATGATGGGAGTTCGAATCAAGGCGGTCAACAAATCAGACGTACTTATCAAACTTGAGCAGCTTCCCCAGCACCGGCACCAGCTGCGCGCGCAACCGATTATCCTTTTGCTCCAGAAACTGCAGCAGAATGGTCTTGAGGTACATGGCGTCCTGGCTCGCCGCGGCTCCGTTGGCCACACTGCTCAGACTAGTCGACCGTGTGGAATCGATGGAACTGCGGCCACTGGGGTCTACTGCACTCGCTGCAGATGATGATGTTACTGCTGGAGATGCGAGCCGGGCTTGTAGGGTTTTGGACTCCTTGGCCAGCTTGTCATACCGCACGCGGTAATCGTCGAGAGCACGGCGTAACTCGGTGTTCTTCTTTTCCGTGTCGCGCACCTGCTGCTCAGACCCGTCGAGGGTGGACCGCAGGTTGGATACCGTGGTGCGCATCTCGACGACCTCTGCTTCCGCGCGCTCTTCGTGAGCTTCGAGGGCCTCGCGCCGGCGCCGCCACTCGCTGGCTTGATGCTCCAGTTCGTCGCGTTCGGCAACGAGTGTCTTTGTTTCCCGCTCGAGATCGCGCACACGCTGGCGCAGGTCTTCGGTCTCGCGGGTCTTGCGCCGGGCGAGGGCGGCGGATTCGTCCTCGAGGCGGTCGCGGTCTTCGACGGCGGCGTCCAGACGGGCGCGCATCTCGCGGACTTTACCGTCGGCGCGCTCGTCAACGTCGGCCAGCAAGCGGCGCATGGTCTCGGCTTCGCGGGTGCGCTCGCTGAGCATCTTGCGGGCCTCGGCCAGCTCGTCGTCGAGGCTCTCGCACTGGGACTGGCTCTCGCGGAGTTGGAGGCTGACTTCGGCTGTTTGGTCGCGCATGCTGCCGAGGAGGTTCTGCGCGTTGCTGTACTGGCTGGTTTTGAGTTGGACTTCTTCGCGCAGGGCTTCTTGTTCGGTGGTGCGGCGGGCGACTTCTTCTTCGAGGGCGCGGAGGCGGGGGCGGAGTTGGGCGGCGTCGTCTTGGATGCGCTGGAGTTCGCGGGTGGCTTTCTCCTCGCGCGCGGAGATTTCGATTTTCTCGGCTTCGGAGCGGCGGAGATCGCGGCCGGCGACGCGTTTCTCGTCTTCCAGGCGTAGGCGGGCGTTGGTTTCGGCGGTGACTTTGTCGTGGAGGGTCTTGATCTCGCCCTCGCGGTCGGTCGCTAGACGCTGCGACCGGGTGAGTTCGGCTTTGGTGTCCTTCTCGCGCTTTTCGAGCGCCCGCAGTTCGTTGTTCTTTGCCGCCAGCTCCTCCCGCGCCGTCTTGAGCGCCGCCGCGTCCTGCCGGAGGGTTTTCAGCTCTGGCTGCGCCTTTTGCAGCACCTCCCGAAGCTCGGTCAGGTCCTTGTATCGGGTCTGCGCCAGCTGCTGGGCGGCAGCCAGGTCGGATTGCAGCGTGGTCGATTTCAGTTTGAGGCTGTCGAATTCCTCCTGGAGCGCCGTGTTGCCCCGGGTGGCGGCGGCAGCGGAGGCGGCGGCGGAGGTGGCAGACGTCTCCACCTCCTTCTCCAGCTCGGCGATGCGTTCTTGTAAGGCCTTCTTCTCGGCCAGCAGCGCCTTGATTTTCTCCTTGGCCTCGACGTGGTCCTGGCCGATGGCCATTAGGTTCTCCTGGAGGTTTTCAATCTCCTCCCGCAGGTCCTCCTCCGTCTTGCGCTGCCGGGACAGCTTCTCGATCCGCTCATCCTTGGTGGCCAGCTCTTCTTGCAGGCGGGTTAGCTCGGCTTGGAGGGCTTTGTTTGAGGTGCTTTCGGCTGGGGAGGGCGGGGCCAAGTCGGCGGTGGAGGCTTCGCTGGGTGTCGGTTCGGCGGCGGCGGCGGCGGCAGGGGCACCACCACCACCACCGCCCTTCTTCTTCTTCCTGTTCTTCTTCTTGCCACCTCCCGCGGGTGGAGGTGCAAGGGTAGCCTCGGGTTTCGGCCCAGCGGTTGGCACGGGGATAGTGAGGGTCGGAGGTGGAGCTGGCGCGGGTGTTGTTTGAATCTTCTTGGTGAGCTCGGCAATCTTGGACTCGTCCGCCGCCTTGGCCTTCTTGAGAGTTTCGATCTCCGACCCGAGCGTCTTGATCTTTTGGTCTAACGTCGACTTGGCCTTGCTAGCCTCCTCCAGCTCCGTCTCGAGCTCCTTGTTCCGAGACTGCGACGCCGTGAGCTGGGCAACCTTGTCCTTCACCCCGTCAGCGCCGTCGGCCTTTGCCTTCTCCACTTGAGCCTCGACGTCCTTGAGCTTCGACTGTGCTTTGTCGAGGCGGTCGGTGAGCGTGGCGATCTCGGTGTTTCTCGCCTCGAGCTGGGTTTCGATCGCGGCCTTGACGGCAACGGCGTCCTTGGTCTCGCTGAGCTCCCGCGCCGTGTTCTCAAGCGTTTCGACTAGACCTGCGCTGTGCTCCTTTGCGAGGGAGAGCTCGTCTTTCAGGGTGTGGACTTCGGCTTGGAGCTTCTCGACCTCCTCCGACTTCTTTTGGACCTCGGCCTGTAGTTGAGGGATCTCGTCGTCGTACGAGAAGAAGTCTTCCCCCTTTTCGCCTTCGGCGGACTCTTCCTTCCTTGATTTGGTTTCCGGGGGCGCATCCGGGACATCCTTCTCGTCAGCGGGCTTGGATGGATCATCCTTGGCCACGGGAGAGGTAGCCTTCTCGGTTTGTGCAGCTTTTGATTTCAGAGCGGCGAGCTCTTCCTTGGCTGCTATCAGCTCCTTGTCGGCCTCGCTCGCCCTCTTCTTGAAGCTGTCCTTCTCTGCCGTCACGCGTTTCAGCTCCTCCATGACCATGTCGCCCTTGAGGTTGATCTGGTTCAGGTATTCGACCAGGGACTCGGGGTCTTTGATGGACGTCAGGGGGGTGTTTTCCCGGAGTGCTTTTTCAAACGGTTCGATGGATGTTGCTCGGCTGTGGGCAATGCGGTACGACCGGAGGAGTTCTTAAACAATTGAAGAATAGCATTAGTCTTGATTCCCCCAGAATACACACATACCCTACCCTGGCTGGAAAATAGAGAACAAACCTGGGTATGTCTTCTCCAGCTTGTCCAGCTTTCGCAGCCGAGCACGCACTTCTGGTGGCACCTCCGACATCGTGGACGTAGCAGTCGGGGCATCATTATTCTCCGTGTTGCCCTTGTTAGAGGCTTCTCCATTATCAGTTGTTGACGAGGAGTCGCCGGTGTTATTCGTAGCTGCTCCATTGCCTGACCCGGCATCACCCTTCCCTTCCTTTTCGGTCGACAACGGCGTAGCTACCCTCGACGGAGCAGCCGAGTCGTCCATATCGTCAATCACAAAGGCAGCTTCGAATACAGCAGGGTCCGGGTTGACCCCCTCGCCATTCGCGTTCGGATCCTGCGTCAACGAAGAAGATCTCAAGTCTTCGCTGGGTTTCTTGCTCGGCCGTGGACGTCGAGCTGGTGATTGTGTTCCGCCCGCGGTGCTCGAGGACCGTGAGCGACGGGGCCCAGCAGCAGCCCCTTGTGTGGAGGCGAGCGGCCGTTGCGCCTCGAGGCTGGCTCGTTGTTGTCGGGCTTGTTCCTCGGCGATGGTCCGGTCGATGGCGCCCTTGAGTCGCTGTTGTCATTGTCATTGTCAGTTACTGATGGTCACTGGCGTGAACATAAATTGATGAATCAAGAATTAATAAGTGCACAAAATACAAACCTGGAACATGATTGCCGATCCAGACAACCCACCACCAGCCAAAACGTGGTGGTCAAGTGGTCTCAGTCCGAGGTGGATGTGGATGCACGAAGCAAGTGGACCAGTGAATATCACAGCAGTGACTGCACCCCAGTGCGCTGCATTTGTTTGTCTGTGACAATGTCCAGGCGCTAGTTAGGTCCGTCCCTGAAAACGCAGAAGAGAAGGGAGAAGTTGACCTGGAGAAGCTAGAAAAATCAGGAAAATCAAAAGATGATTTCTCGGGCACAACCAAGGGTGAATCGGGAATGTCAATGTGAACGTAGCTTCTTCAGCAACACACTTCACATCTCCAGGGCACTCTCCAACGGTTCTGGAAAGTTGTCGTTTCGGCTTGCGCCGCAGCTTGGGATTGGCATTACGAGGAACCGACCCCCTGAACGCGCCCTGCCTGCCGCAGCTTGCGCAGGCAACGCAGGCAATGCCATGTGGGGTTACACGCAGCTGAGAACGAACCCCGATTGTGTAATATGTACGCGAAACTGCTCGATAGATATATATTTCAGCCCCTGACTGGTTGTTGACAAGCTACATTCCGTGCCGCAGTATTCGTAAGAATGGAGAAACCAGCGGTCTTCCATTTCCAATTCATATCCCATGTAGTGTATGGCTATCCTTTGAAACGAATCCAGATTTGAATTTAAATCACCATCCCTGAATCCCGTGACAAAGTTGCTTTGTTTGTCTTGTCTCTCCTTAGACCGCCTATAACGATATCCATGAGGTCACCGTGCACATGCTCCCGGCCTTCCCCAGCGCTTGAACATGCCCTTGTTTCTCGTGCTGGCAAAGCGGGAGGCGAGCTGCAACAAGCTCACACCGCACAACATCCAACTTCTACCCACTTGCCAGCCACTTTTTTGCTGGCAAGGCACATGATCTGTTATTTTTCCTTTTGTATTTAGTTTCCTATTCTCCCTTCTCACTCTCATTGCCGCGAACGGCGCACCCGTTTACTTTCCTTTTGATCTTTCGCAATCATGGTCTCCTTTTGGCCCTGGGGGGTAAGTTGCCAGCCCTGGATTTCCACAGACAACATGATTTCGGTTTCGCAAAGGATAGAATTAACTAACATTCTCCTCTACAGAAGGATGACGCCTCCCCGGCATCATTCGAGAAAGCCCTCTCTGCGCTCTCCGCGAAAATCACAACAACCCAGACCCGACTCGAGCAGGACCGCGCAAAATCAAGGAGGGTCAAAGTCCTCTCCACGCTGTACCTCGGTTTCGCATACCTAGTCTATGGCATCGTATTGGTCCTTGTAGTGGGATGGACGAAGATGGGACCCTGGGAATGGACCGGTCTCGCGGGCGGTCCTATCATGATCGCCGCGGTCCGCGCCGTCATCACCAGCTTCTTCGACTACCGCATCCAGCACTTCAATGCGCGCCTTAAGGAGTACCAAACCGAGCGCGCCAAGACGATCCAGAAGCTCAAGGACGCGACCAAGTACGATTCGACCCTCGAACTACTCGAGAAATACGGGGGCGCCGAGAACAAGCAGAAGAAGGGACAGCAAACAAGCGAGGAGGGGGGTGATGGGTCCTCACAAGAGAAGGACGGACGTCGCAAGGGGAAACACCAGGGCCTTCCACAGCGCACAAACATGCCGCCTCCTCCTACGGCCAACATCCAACGGTCTCCTGTCCCTGGTGCTGGTTCTGGTACCCCTCAGCCCCGGCCACAGAGCAGGCCCGGGACGCTCACTCAACAACGACCGCAACAACAACACCACCAACAACAGCCCGACCACGACACATCTTCCAGCTTTGCCCCAAATGCCTTCGAAGGACAAGGCCAAGGCCAAGTCACCCCCGCATTCATGCAATACCCGCCCGCAGCCATCGCACCCCCCACCGAATCCCACTGGTACGACCGCATCCTCGACACCCTCCTCGGCGAAGACGAGACCGCCGCCAAGAACCGCATCGTGTTACTCTGCTCGCAATGCCGCCTTGTTAACGGTCAGGCACCCCCCGGTACCAAGTCCCTAGCTGACCTCGGCCAGTGGAAGTGCATGGCTTGTGGTGCGGCCAATGGCGAGATGGATGAGGGGAGGAGGATTGTGCAGGAGGTTTTGGGGGGTGCAAAGCCTGGGGTGGAGGAGGTTGAAGGGAAATCTGAAGAAGAGGTTGGGGAAGAAGATCATGATGTGAGTCGGAGCTCTAGTGATCTTGTTGAGGTGGAGGTGGAACGGGATGTGCCTGAGAAGCAGGACTCAACCGATGAAGGGAAGGGGAACCTTCGGAAGCGAAAGGGGAAGGGTGGTGCCCGATGATTCCAGGGGATTCATCAAGGGCGTTAATTTTTTTTTCGTTTAGCCCGCTTGTCCCTAGCTTCTTGTGTTATTTAGCGACTTTGTTTTGTTCAACTGTGCGCACCGGTCTTTCTTTGCGTGTTTTCTTTGTGTTATACCGAGAGTCCCTTATACCCGGTTTTCTGAATCTGCCCGCCGCTTTCTAGTGTTCTCTTGACAAAGGGATGCCCTCCTATAGATCTGTACATATTCCACGCAATCCTTCTCGTCCACATGGACCGGCTTCCTACACCACTCGGTTTCAGACCTCTGCTTTTAAACATGAGGGTATGTAGTAGTGGCAACAGTCTTGGATACTTGGGGAAAGATATAAACTTTTAGCATGCGGTCCTAGGAAATGGAGAGAAGTAAGAGATATTTACAATATGCAGGCGAATGGTCAACGGATTCAAGATTGAACCAGCGAGGCTGCAGAGCCACTGCTGCATCACCGGGGACACGGGAGCCAATAATTCACAGCAGCACGCCCTAGGGCTCGGGTCGGCGGGCGGTTAGCCTAGACGAGAGCGCTTGAAAGCGAGATGCCAAGGCGCCGCGAGCAAGTGCTCAAGGCGAAAACACCAAGGATGTCGAGCAGCCTCAGGTACAAGGGCCCTTAGCGCCCTCCGGACAGATTCATGGGAGGCCGCAGCAAATAATACATATTGGGACCGTGTGGCTAACCTGGAGGCGCTCTTGTATTCAGAAATAGTCCTCCCATGAGCAATATAACTTGTTCACGCCTGCCAACCTCGAGTCTTGCGGCCAGTTGCGTTGCATCTTGTCGCGAACCTTTCGGCTTCACCAGTGACCGAATCTCTTAGTTAATTGCTCCATATACCTTCGCAGAAGACCCTCCCCTCACCTCCCTAGAGCGTGGTTCCGAACGATTCGTCACACGAATGTACCACGGTTTCTCAATGAACATTGGCCCATGGCCGCAAGTCAAGCCATGGTAAGAGAAGAATCGGTATAAAGCCCCAGCCGGCTTATTGTTGAAACAGGTTTTTTGATTAATTACCACACGGTAGTTACTAGATTTCTTTTTTTTTTAAAAAAAAATGTCCTAAACTCCAAGAGCGGAGCAGGATTTGAAGCTGAGGTAGTAGTATTCCGCAACCTCTTAACACATCAACGCTCATATCTTAACGACGGTAGTATGAGCTGAACACCTTCTAGAATTTACGACCTTCAACTGTGTTGTTCTCAACTCCGGCTTACTCTCCGAAACAAAGACTAAGGCCAATGCCGTTGTTCGCCAAACAACCATCTGATCCACCATTTTCATTTCTTTGAGTTGAACAACATTCACGTTTAATTACCTTCTCCAATTCCAGTCCCTCGAAGCCTTGTCATATTAAAAGGTGGCCTCCCAATTTCGAACCCCGGGTTAACCTTACACCAAGTAACACACGACAGATCTGAATAAGCCCTACTTGGTGTCTGTCACACTATCTAGAATCACAGAATACAGCCTTTCCACATGCCGCGCAAAAACAGCATTTATGGCGGTTCCGCCCGGGAAGATGACCGTCGTGATCGAGAGCGAGCGAGGGAGCAACTGCGAGATCTGGACCGTAATCGAGATGGCCGGCGTCGTAAGCCTATCGAGGAACACTCCTTTCGCGACCCTAGTTTACCTATTGCCGGTAGGGTTAGAAGAAGCAGGAGTACCTATTACAGCCAGTACGGTGTTAACGATTACTTTGTAGAGGAATTCGAAAGCAGTTGTCGGGTGGATACGCAGGATCCCACAGCGGCGAGCAGGGGCTCGTCATATTTTACCCCCCACGCGACAGATTCGTATTATTCAACACCGGCAAGGATGGGTACGACATATCATTACGGGGCCGGCAGTATTCACCTGGAGTGGTTCCCCCCGGAGTTGCTGCCCGGAGGGTTAAACAACCACCATCCTACAGCCAGCGGGCATCCAGCGGTCCCCAATCCCGTATATCACGACCCTATGATGAATACTGGGTATCCCACACATCAAGGCCCTGCGAATCCCGGGTATCCCACGTATCACGACCCTGGCATGAGTTACGGATACCCTCAGGAACCACCCCACACCACGAACACCCACTATGCCCAATCCCAGCCTGCAGGCCCCTCTGCAGCTGCGACTGGCGCGCCTTACATACCCACGGTACCGGCCCCTGACAAGTACGCCACACCAAAGGTAAAAAAGGAGAGCGGCCGCAGAGAACGATCCCGCCAGCGAGAGGAACATCCTAAGAAGCGTGACCCCAGCCGGGATCGTCGTCGTAGCCGTAGCCGGGAGAAGAAGAAGCCTGAGAGTAGCAAGGAGAAGAAGAAGCCTGAGAGCGCCAAAGAGAAGAAGCCTAAGCCTGAGAGCAGCTGGGGTGAGCGACATCCCGATCCTTACAAGCATAGCTATAGCGGCTACCCTCACGCAGCTGGCTGGTCTAGATATCATGAACCGGGCCGGGATCAATATGATCAATATCAGGATTGGGACCAGTTCGAAAGCCGCCGGCCGTGGACAAGGGGGCCGATCCCACGAAGTGACCCGGAGCGTTACGAGTACGTCGGTACGGAGGGTCCGGACGGCGAGATTATCGACTGACACTAGCCCTGGTGGTCCGTCGTTGTTGCTATCTGCTTAGAGAATTCATCGGCGGGATATTTTTGGAGCCTGCGTTTTGGGAGCCTGCCCCCTGGCTTTCCGGACGGTATCACTGCATCCCCATATACAACCCCAACCCTGGTACTTTACCCCTTATTTTCGCATCTTCCCCATCCTCTGCATTGTCCACACTTTCTGCAACAGGTATTCTCGGGAAACACGGCTTAGTTAGTGAGCTAGTGATTATTCAGAAAACAACAAAAATTTCTCAATCGCATTTTATCGCATTCTTGAGCGATTCAACAGTTGCCAGCACCAGAGAACTAGACAGCTGAAGTCGGAAGATGGATGTCAGGGAGGCTTATAGAAGGGTTAGGGTTGTGTATGCGGATGCCGTCCTGTGATACGGTCCCGAAAATCGAGGGGTAAGGTCGCAAATGCAGGCTTTTTCAAGACATGCTAAGCTGAAAAATCAAGGTAAGAAAACTGGCCTAGTACACTCTGAAATGTTCCGTTTGTCGGGGAGCTTCTGCAAACGGACGGTTGCGCATGCTTCGGGCCGCAACCCACCTAGTTGGGCCGCAGGTGGGCGAGAGAGACTGTGTAACAGTGAAAGGTAGGTTGAGAGCGCCCAGTTTCTAAATAGTAACATGATTATCATTCGTCAGCGCTGCCCCTCTTACTGTATTCTCATGCCGGTGCAGTTTCTGATTGCCAAGGTGTATGCGAGGTATCTCCTCTTTTGGACGGAACCACGTTGTCCTTGTCGGTTTGCAATGTGACCTCATCTCTGAGCCTGTGAGATGTGTTTGCGCCACATTTAGGGGGTCGCCCCGTCGCCATCTGGCATCATTTAGCCACAAAAAAAGGACTAGAGTGTAACATCCGAGACAAGTTTTGGGTAGGGTGCCCCGAACGAATCGTTGTTGGTTCGGAATTGTGGCCTATGGCGGCTGCGCCTTCCCGCCCGCGCGCCCTGTTTGGGCTCACCACGTGTCGAACAGTCTGCCCGAAGAAGCACGAGGGAAGGAGCAGGGCAAGACAGCCTCGGGTTTACCCGTCCAGATTCGGTCGAACTGATGAGGTCCCGCGATGCTGGGGAAGGAACCAGGCAGGGAATTCTGGGGCAGCAAGCAGCATGGAAGCAGGACCCTCCATCCCCTGCTGTCCTGCTGGTCTCCCAGGAAGGTAGGTACCTAGGTACCAAGGTGACAGCTCAGCCTGACGGGAGCTTTGCCCTGCTGCTTTGCATGTTGTTGTTGGCTTTGCTCTGCGGCCCAAACCGAAGCAGTCGTGGGATTTGTTTTTCCAATCTGCCACGCAGCTCACCATGATTGATGTTGGATTGTTTCAGCTAAGTCCGCGCAATCCATACGTACGACGACAACAAATGCGTTCCATTCTTATTTGGCGGGTTTCCCACCCGAAGTTGTTCGAGTCTGGTCCAGCCTGGACGAGCCGACATCCAAAACACGCGTGACAATGTTGTTCCTAGTGTATTTCATCTGTCTCATCACCCCGTGGGCCGTTCGCTCCCTGTTCCCCACACTAGGTGAACTGCCCCTCATGGCCGTCTTTGACTTTTTGTTTGCCATAACCTCCCTTCCGATGTTTGAGACTCTTTTCCTCATCCCCCAAGGCGTAGCAGCGGCGCTACAAGAGAAGATCCGACAACATGGACCCCCACGACGATCCGAGTACCACCACAACTACCACCGACTACGACTCCGGTGATAGCGTGAGTGTCGACTACGTCTACGAAGGCCAGCGAGTCATCGAAAGACCGCCCGTCAAGGGGAAGAGTCCAAGGAGAAAACGGTCGCCCAAGGCCAAGTCTCGTGGTGGTCCTACCAAGTGCATCTGCGGGGCCGGGGCCGGGGCCGGTCAAGGAGAAGACGACGCCGAGAGTACTGTGTTTGAGGAAGATTCGGATACCGAGGAGGAACGCACCAATTCTCCGAAACAGCCAAAAGCCAAGCACTCAGGTCCCTGTGCCGGTTCGGCTTGTAAGGCAAAGAGCCTACAACATGGCAAGGGCAAGAAGAAGGCCACGACGGCAACCACCACCACTGCCACCACCGCCGCTACCACTGAGACTCGGGCTCGACGTGCTCGGACACCATACATCGAGGATTACCCGGAAGAGCCCCGCCGACCCGCCATTCTCTTGAGGGAGCACACGATTTTGCGACGGGGGTCTACCTCGGACGTGAAACGTGTGCGTGACTCCGACGATGGCTCGTCGGTGGTATCTCGCAACAGGTCACCGATGGGGAAGAAAGCACAAGGCCGACTGGCCCACAGGCCTTCGATAGAGCCCGTCGGTAAGCCAACCAAGGCGACGGCCAAGCACCACAAACGGCATTCCGGTTTACGCGATCCCATCTCATCTTCCGGCTCAGAGATTCGCGGTCCCCAGTCGGACTCGGAAGACAGTCACCCAAGTCACCCAAGAGCCCGCCACATTCGGCAGAATACCGCGCCGGATGTGGCCTCTATCGTGAGCCGAAGCTCGGCGTGGACCGATCCGCCCCAGATCAAACCTTCTTCTTCGTGGCCCCTGCGTGCCGAATCACAGCTCCCCCCGAGAAGACTTGAACGCCGCAATCACGATTACGATTCGGAGGAAGAGCGTAAGGAGTATGATTACAATGAAAGTCGCTACGATGATGATGACGACGATGACGACGATATTACCAACAATGACCGCCATGACAATGTCGAGGATGACACGGGCAGCTTTGTCGATAACACACGTCACCACTGCCTGAGACAAATCAGAGCAGCACCGTCTTTCCACCACCGCGGCCGAGACAAGGACCACGAGCCGTCTCAGGACATGGAGCGCTGGACAGCACCGCCCTCCGAGTATGACTCCCGAATACCCGAGAGAGGCCCGCGCCTTCGTTACCGCTCCCGGTCCAGAGTAGCCCCCAGTCACGGTGACGCCAGCATGGCCACAATAGACCAGGGCTACCGCTCGGTCGCGACGTCCATGTGTGAGGTGTGGCGTGGCAAAGCCGACGACTGGGAGTCTCCCTACGTCTCGGTCAACGAGAGCGACTTCGAGTCCGACACCGAAAAGCGCCGAAGGTTTCCACGAATGGAAGACCTCCCTTCACGCCGGCCTTCTCCTCGTACCCTCCCACCTCGTGGCGACGCCAGAGACTTTGGCTTCCGCGCAAGAAACCATTCCCCCCCTGCTTACCGTCATCGCCCTCACTATAACAACCACTCCTCCGCATACACCGACGAGCCAGGTTTCGACGCGAGCCGCACCCTCCCCTGGGCGGCCTCCAAGCGCGACGGCATTATCTTCCTCGACGAACAACACCCCCTTCCTGCCCTGACCATGGAGCCAGCCCCCATGTGGGGTGACGACGACGAAGACGATTACGCCGACAGCGAGCACGAGGGTGACGCGCCCAATCCGCGACGTCTACCCCCTCCCCCGTCCTCGTTCTCCTCCTCGTCTCGAAGAGGGGCATCCCGGATGTCGAGGCTGGCGCTTCTCCCTGCTCCCCACCCACCAAGCACACAGTCCCGTGGTCCCGTCCTGCCCCCGGTATTCTCGGCGAGGGAAACTAGAGAGTTCCTTTCGCCGAAGCCGACGAGGGCGGTGCCGGCGCGGTTTGACTTTGATGCGTGGGGGTGTGGCTGGGGTTCGCGGAACGAGTTGGAGCTTGTCTTGCGGTGAGCGGGGGTTGATGTTTGGGCATGGTCTGGGTAATTATCTCCTGTCGAGTTCGAAGTGGGGATCGCATGGGCTGGAGTTTGTGGAGGTCCTTTGGTGTTCTTTCCCCTCCGATCTATCTTCTCGCTTGGTAACGGTCAGTGGGTTGCCTATTTGTGGTCATCAATTGCAGTTATGAGGAAATCTCTTTTTATGTTTCTGTTCATTTTGTTCGTTTGTTATTGGCGATGAAATCTTGTAATTGGCAGAGGCAAGGGGAAGCTTGACTTCGTTACGACCGGGTATGACGTATGACATGGTTAGAAAAATGATTTTACGATGAGACGACAGTTTATGACGCTGAAAGAGATAACTAATGAGGGGGCCGGGCTATCGGGAATATCCTTTAGGGCTGTTGAAGACTGGGGGAAATTGGTGTTGGAAGCATGTGGTTTATGGTCACACTCACGTTCATTACAGGCATTTCCTTGAGTGTTCATAGTTAGTTTATTAATAATTTATTATTAACGCTATTGCGTTAATTCCCATGAATAAACCTAGTGACCTTAGTTTTCAACGACGGCTTGTCTGAATTGGACTGGTAATAATTAGAAGTAGAGATTTCACCTGTCTCGGGCACATGCCCGACGGCCAGGTTCAAAAGCCTCTAAGATAACGCCATGGATGTCAAGGAACAGCCCGTGTTTGCACTACATGACCAGTTTTTTATACCAGTCTTTGATCCTACAGTCTATGCCGCTTAGCCTTCTTAGCTTGGAGTGTTTGGTCGGTGACGGTTATCAAGGCTCCGGAACTTGTCTGGGAAATCATTTGGAGGCTGATGGTGTCATTGCCTTTGCCTTCCGCTCTTTGACTACAGAGCTTGACTATAGAGTTTCTTTGACACCAATCTTCCACATGACTTGACACACCCGTGGTCGGGTGAAAATGAAAGGGCATACTGATTACCCGTGATAGTCATTAGTGGTCATTTGAGTATGATCAGTATTCTCCAAGGTCTGACAGGAAGAGGAAGTCTCGTGCCCCCATGAAAGAAGATAAGATCCAAGGAGCAATTCCAAGAGAGCCAGGGCTGTAGAAACAGGGGGTGGCCACTTCCAGTGTCGCCCAGAGGCGCTCTTTCCCAGTACCTGGAGCAGCCATCGGGAGTTAATTATTCATCGACCTCGTAACAAATGAGGTACTCATCACACACACATTCCCAACACATCTCACACCAAACCGTACGAAATGAGCGACCGTCGCCGACGACCTGCGGGATTTCCAAACTAGCGGCGCCGGCCTCCAGAGCGGGACAGGTCGCTCGAGCCTGCAGACCCCTCTTTATTTCTCAATGGAGATTCCCACAACAGCAGCAGCCCATCTGACGATGGCCGTCCATCAGATGCTAGGAACAGACAAACCGCCGCTGCCGCTGCTGCTGTCGCTCCTGCAAGCTCCATCCCTCCTCCCTCCGAAGCTTATCCTAGCCAAGATCGTCCAACCAGCACGGCGACTGAGGTATCTCCAGCAGACCGGCTCACTCGATGGGACCTCCTTGGGAACACCGTCCAGGCGCGGCAGAATCCACAAACGCCGGGCTTTCGACCCCAGTACCCTGCGGCATTGCCCATGGGTTCAGTTGGGGGCCGGTCAACTACTAGCGGGAACGGGGACGGGATTGGGAATGGGCATTATGAAACCGACCAAGACGGGAACGGCGATTCCGCCGACAATAATCCCAATACGGCCCCTACGGCTAGTGGCAGTGGTACGCCGGGGGAGTCAAGCACACCGACAAATAGGGAGACAAGGGCCCAGAGGAGAGAAAGGGAATCACGAAGAGGACGGGGAGGGCGGGACCGGAGGAATCGGGGTAGGACCAGATGAGGATCGAGCGGTACGACCGGTAGAAGCTTAATATAACCGGCAGAACGGTGTCTAAAGCAGCCTGTTTCGGGGGGCGAAAGAAGGTAATGCTGGTCGAAGATGGTGGCCGTTGAAGCACAGCAAGAGTTAGACAACAGGATACGAACAATGAGCAGCTCGGGCGGTGGTGGCCCAGAGCTGCCTGGAACGGCCAATTTTCCATTCGTTAAAATTCAATGTAGCAAGATAGAATAAGGAGACACTCGGCTTGTTCTCGAGTCCGTAGTCTACGATTAGTTGAAACCGCGGGTCCCAGCGACGAACGATAGCTCTATGGTGATTCGGTTCAAACGGTCTGGTGTGTCTTGAAAATGTAGCAAAGTCTAGAAAGACAAAATGGCGGTGGGTTTGCGGCTTAAACCATGTCTTCGTAGGGGTTGGAACTGGGCAAATGTAATCGAGTTGGGATCAACGCACTGTTCAATGCACGAGTCTTTCTCCGAAGTGCCTTGTTAGAAAGGTATTTTGTCCTCCGAAATGAATGTGTGTTTGAGACATTGAGATTGGTAAATGGTTGGAAATGATAGTTGGAAACATAAATTTCAGCACGTGATACTATTTCGGCCACCGGGAGATAAGAAGCCTGTGGTAACATCAATTGGACAAGTGGCCACTGCTGGCGACCAGATACCTTTCAAAAGCAAAGGGTCTCGTGAGAAATGGGCTTCCCTCAAGCTTCGAGGTGGCCTGCTCCTTTAATCAACTAGCAGTCATACCGTATCGTTCCTCTATGCCCGGGGCCTAGCCCTACGGAGTAAAGTGAAGAGTAGGTGGCGTTATGATCCTTCCTAATGAGGATGAAATCCTAATTAGCTATGAATATGTATCATTAGTCGTCACGTAAGAGAGACACATCGGTGCACTGCCAGTTAGACTCTACCCTCAATTATATGATGCAACTCGAATCGTGACCTCTCCTCAAACGAGATGGCATAGCTGTTTACTGGCCCACAGCCTTGAGCATCACACCGCCACAGTCCAGCCCGTAAATCGGCAACGGTGAGTATAGATAGTACATGGCCACACGGGGGGAGTGGCCGGCGCAAGGTTTACGAACTGATCCCGGGTGGATGGGTCTCGTCGTAACCAAGCAAAGAAACTGGGCCAAAGGTGTGTATGGGTTCAGGGGATCGGGCCGTTCCACCCTTCAATGGCAGTCTCAATCACCATGTCAAGGTGCTTTCCCCGAACAGGAACCGTCGTCCTCGCCATTGCCACTGACGGACCGGCACCGGGTTGTCGGGGCTTCTCCGGAGGCCGCGACCGCGGTGATGCGTCCCGTTGCTCGGCTGTCTTCTTGCTGCGACATAATGGGGGCTGCGTTGGAGTTGTCGTGGTGGTGCCCGGAATCCGCTGGCTTCTTGTGTACTTGCTCAGCATCGACGCCTGATCGTCTGCACCCCTGGGTATCAGGTACTGAGTCGGCTTTGGGGGCACTTCTTTCTCCTGTAATTCCGATTTCCAGCTCCGCTGCGGAAAGTTCTGATTGAGCGTCGTTAGGAGGGACCGAATTCTCGGGCCGAGAGTCGGAGAGTGTTTCGGGCGGCTGACGGTTCGCAACGACGCCCTCAGGGTCATGGGTCCTCCGCTTCTTAGCCAGTGGCTCGGCGGTGGCACTGTCGTTTCCCCCGGTCCCGTTGCGCTTAAGACTTGCTTCCGTGTCGCGTTTCTGTTCGGCTTGGAGCAAAGGAATTTGATCGGCGGTCCACTTTAGCTGGGCGACCCTTAACTCGTACTGAATCGAGCCTTCATCGCTATAGCGACGCGTCGACCTGCAAGTAAAGGAGGTGTACTCAACCCAATCCGTAAGCCTATCTTGTCGGCTCCGGTCCTCTTGTCCTCTTGGAATTCGATTTGCGGCGGAAGCGTGATCGAAAACCGCGCCAGGTTCCTCAACATGACCCGATGGTACTTATCCATCTTCCCTTTGAACACTTCTCGGTTTGCGTCTTGGTAGCCACGGAAGCAAAACCATAACCACCACTGAGTCGAAAAGATGTTCCATAGCGGTGGTTTCGATGGTTCCGCCCAGGGGCGCAGGATGTCGGGGTATTGCTCAGGATTCCGCGAGATACTTGGGAGCAGCTCGATCGGGTAAAAAGGCCGGCCGCCGTCTGAGGAGCTTGTGATACGCCTCTTTTTCTTCTTCCAACGATTCTTGGTACAGGTCCTCCGATGCAACGGTGCTACAAGATGTCGAGGAGCTTGAGGAGGAAAGGGAGCGGCCACGTGGTGGCGCTGGCTAAAGCAGTCGGGTCGAAACTTGGTCAAGGTCAGCGGGCTTGGAGAGCGGACAGACACGGTCCCTAGATTCCACGCCCTTCAATCAGTCACTTCTGGTATAAAAACCAATGCAGATCCCACCACGTACCGCAGGCGTTGGAGGAAAGATTCAGGTAGATTGTCCGGGTCCTCGACCTCAACCACGCGATCGCCATTCGGCAAGCAGCTCGCTTCGAGAAAGTCATCCAGCTCGGCATCCGTAAAAACGGCGACCTCACTGGCACGTAACAGCTTCTGGGAAGCCATGATGCCGACAATGCATTCGTCTTCGTCCCTGGCACGCTGGGTTACGATAAGTTGAGGATGCAAATGCCTTGCGCTGAGCGTTGTCATAAACGATGGATGACGCGACGAGATCGGTCGTCGGAGAGAGCGCATCACGCGCCACCGAGCAGAAGTAAAGCGCCGTCGACCGCAAGCAACAGCCTCCGACCCCTCGTCGCCGGCGTCCAATCTTCGCCAAACCAAGCGTCCTCTGACTAAGGGAAACGCAGACTATTTTCATACCAACTGGTTGCAGGATAAACTTCAAGTCGGGGGCACCATTGCGGAGATGATGGATGAGCCGAGTCCCAGTGGGGTAAGCATCCACAGCAACGAGGTCATCCCCGGGTCTCCAGTCGTGGTCTGTACGGAACCAACCAAAGAAACGTGGAGCCTTCTCACCACATCGGTTAAGGAGCACTCAATGAGGTATGAAGTGTGTGGGCAAGTTGGAAGCGTTCTGACTCTCATCTCTCCCTTCCATCCCATCTAACTCCCACCTCGCCACTTGTATCCGCTTTCTCGTTTCCCCGCGCTCGCCATCATGTTCATGATTCGTCCGTTTTCCCCTGCCCGATGCTTTTTGTCACTTGGTCAGGAATCCGTAGGCCTCGGGTTTTGACGCGGCCAGGCGGGACCAAGTCCTGGCTGTTTCTTTGGTAGGTCTCGGGTCATGGGTTAATTGCCTGTACACAGGTGACATGTTGAATGCCCCAGCCGCCAATCCGCGGGAAGCTCTTTGTCGTTGAAACATCCGTTGAGCAGCTGCCCATCCTGTCAGCCGCCTTGCATCTTTCGGGCACACTCCAATGAATACCAAGAAGAAGCCGGTGTGAAGTAAATGAAAATGGTAGGGTATCTCGGGAGTTCCGAAAGGGAAGACGGTTCTCCCATTCAGACCACTTACACTAGCCTTTAATGCCCTTCCTCGACTATCGTGGTAGTACACCATCCGATAATCAGATATGATCAGGTCGCTTCCAAGAACTGGAAATAGAAAATCAAAACAGATGCACATCAATCGAAGCTGCTGTGATGACACAGTGTAAGAAGTACCGCTATTACAAACCAAGATCCTCAGAAAGACGGCGCCGGTCGAGTACCAGTTATTTTGACGATTTCTACGGCCCCGACTACTCAAACTTAGACTACCCCGGGTCAGACTATCCTTATATCGAAGGCCTGTCCTACGATCCTTCCACCTCCTACAACAGCCGTCGACGTCTCCCCAGTATCACACCTCGGTATCGATCCCACAGCGGCGATACACTATCCCGCAGAAAGTTAGACCACGAGCTGTTTCCTCCCAGCTCCGGATTCTACTCTGGCCAGCGGTCCAGCGGTCACAGATATGGGAAAGAAGACTGGGACTGGGATTGTGCAAATGAGTATTTGAGCCGATACGTCTGCCCTCTGCTAGGGTGTGATCTAGTTTGGCCCAGCTATTCTGACATGGGCAAGATTGGCTACAGGAGTAGATACCGGTATAAGTAGGGTTTGATTCAATCAAGTTGATGCAGCTCACTGCAAAAGCTCATGATCAAGATGGAACAGGTACCTCAAATGTTCTCTCTTGATACCACGATCGGTCTCCAGTGGGACGAGGCAATTAGTGGGAGTACCTATGTTTTAGATAATAGCGTTCAAAATAGACTCTGTTTGAAAATTCGAAAGCCGAGCTCTTGAGAAGGGTTGAATGAGTATTAATTCAAGAGAAGCAATTGAACTATGGAATTTAGCCTCTTCCGCCCGTCAACAGTACCAGCCCATGACGGGAGGTTTGTGTTACCTAATTATATGCAATTTCGTGAAGCCCGACCCCGAATCCAAGGATCTTTATTTCATGAAATTTGTCCAATAACTTTGCACCGTTTTCGCCGTACCGTCTGCCAACGCCGTAATAAAGACTTCTCCCAGCTGTGCAGTCCAAGGCCACCTACTTCTCGCCAGCATCCTCTGTCTACTCGCCATCTACATTCATCCCATGCTCCCCATCACCATTCTCCCCCAACACCTTCTCCAACGTCTCCATCCGAGCCTTCAAAGACCCGTTCTCAACCTCCAACCGCCGATTGCTCTGCTCCAACTGCGCAATATACTCGGTCGCCTCAGTCAGCACCGTCAACTTGTTGGGCTTTGCCCGCCTCTCCTTTCCCAACCGGCCATCTTTCCAAACCTTGACGTTTTTGTAGTCGTTCGCCTTTTCAGGTTTTGTGACGCGGTGCAGAGAAGGGACCACCTCGCGCAGCTGGGAGAGTTTCTCGTTGAAATTGACCCGGTACCGCTTTTCGCAGAGGTGGTGGCTGATCCTTTTTGGGTCAGGCGCTGCAGGTGCAGGCGCAGGTGCAGGCGCAGGTGCAGGCGCAGGTGCAGGCGCTGAGGCAGGCGCTGAGGCAAGCACTGAGACAGGTGCTGGGACAGGTGCTGGGGCTGGGATGGGTGTGGTATGACTCGTGGCGGTTGTGCTTGTGGTTGCGGCTGTATTGGTCGTTTGGCTGCCGATGCTGGTGGCCGTGGGAAGGGAGGCATTGATGGCCGCGTCAAGCGGGTTACCAGAAAGTGTGGTCGGTGTAGGCAATAGTCGCCGAGTATGACCGGAGATTGATTGCGTGGAGACTTGCTCCGGAGGGAGTATCCTTGGGATATCCCCAGCGGGGACCAACGGCTGTGAGGGCTCGGAGAAAACGGCCGCCCTCTCTTGCGGCTCGGAAGTGGGTGGTGTAGGGATGTAGGAGCTCAAGTCATTGAGGAACGGGTAGGAAGCGCGAGCCGTGTGGTTCCCAAAAGTTATGTCGTCCACGGGAGATGTCTCCGGAGAGATTTGAGACGTTCCAGAGTCCAACATCATGCCGTTAAATGGATTAATGAAAGGATTGAAACACGGCGACGGGAATAAGGGTGTGGTCAACCACTCTAACCCAACACTCATGTTCGGTGCCTCGAACAAGAAGTTTGAGGGGAAGTCCGTAAGCGTCTCCTTTTTTGTGGCGTGTCAGCGATGAGATCTGTACCGGGGAAATTAACTGGGGTAAATTTTACTGACAGCTTGAGGCGGGGTGTCTGTGTGGCAGCTGTGGCTGGGAGATGTACCACCTTCGCTGGTTGGCATTGCTTTGATGGTAGCTTCCAAAGAGATACAATATTGGGGGTAATAGGCGAGGTCGAGTGTCGATGTCGGGGGTTTCCTTGGGGCACAAGGCACTTCACAATACCATTCACAGGTGGGTTGGAGGGTTTACTTATACTCCTCCACGCCATCAACGAGGCCATGCGGTACCGCCTAGGCAAACAAACTCCGGCGGTATTCGGCGCTGATTTCCCTGATGAATTGTCATCATCCCATAAAATGTTTGCTAAAAACGAGGTCCAACCCTGCGATTTGGATTCCGGCGCTATGAGGTTCATGAGACGACTTCCTCGGGCACGGACTCACTGACGTTAGACCAAGTCTAGCCCGTCTCGACTGCCTCCCTCGCAACTACCTTCTCTCGGATCCGGCCGTACAGAGGGTTCTGGGCTGCACGGCAGCGGGAGAAGATGTTCCCGACGGCTAACTGGTAGATGACAGCCAACGGGGAATTCGCAGCCGAAGGCCCGCGGGCGGCCCCTTCGCGCGCCGCCATCGCGAAAGAATCATCACATATATCAGACGCTGATGCTCGGGCCTCGCAAACAATGTCGACCGTTTGGCCTCCATTATCTTTCTCCTCGCCACTATTTCCGTCGCCACGTCCGCGCCTGCAAACAACTCGCTTTTAGTCCGAAAACACGTCTCCATCAGGTCTACATTTCAATCGCACGATGGAAATGTTCTGATAACAATTTCCCTCGTTTCCACCTCCAGTTGCAAACATCCTATCTTTTACCCACCTATGTATCCACGCAGTACGTCAGACATGGCGAGCAAACAATGGAATAACTGCTTGCCCAAACCCTCATCGAGATCGCTAGTCAGTCCCACGTCCAGATTTACAAGGTGTTTTGTCTTTTTTTTGGGCCCGGAAGTTGAGATGAATGCCAAGTTTGTTCTCGATGCTGTTCGAATCCCCGTTCCAGCATCGCCAGGCCGGACTAAGAAGGTTTAGCTTCGGGGTTGACTCCGAGATGGGAATCACTCACCTCCCCTATAAAACACGAATCGTCGAAGACAAAAGCATGATACGGGAATTCGGTTCCAGTTTCTAAATGCGGCGGTACATTTGGAACCGCGTCAACTACTCTGAAGCTACCGTACCTACAGTCACACGGTTACAAAATCACAAGATACGGGCGGTGTATCCCTGAGGACCATTGCATTGATGAGGGCCAAGAGTTGGTGAACCCAGAAGAGAGGTTCGAAAACGCAAATGAGAGGGCAATGGCGGATGGGAGATTCGTCGAAGGGGCTTCCAGAATATTCCTCGACATGCACTCGATGAGCTGTACAGCACTTCGTATCACCGTTTTCTCGAGTCCTTTCTATCTTATTTGGGCATTTCTTCCGGAAAATAGATGACGGAAACACAAACATATTAAACTGCGGCCCCGAGCAACCCCAAACGGAGCTGGCTCCTGCAGCGTGGGAGCTCGAAACCCGGATTCCATATTTTAACAAACGACATCGGGTCTCTCTGACCACTCAACAAGGATGAACTACCTTTCTTCAAGCGACAGATAAGTTGCAACGCCCCTGATTCGTGGAAAGTCTTCCAACCGTCCGCGGGGGAACGGATAATAGGACCTCAGAGGCTCTGATGGCGTAGCCAGCCCTTTTTATGTGGACATGGTTCATTTTAATCACGAGCGTAGCGTTCGATATTACTTTCCAGCACGCCCAAGGTGGCAAGGTCTACCAGCTCAGCTAGGTGGCTCCTGGGCGAGGAAAACCCTACATTAGACCTGCCGTTGCTATATTTATTCCCCGCTGGGCTAGCGAATGGGAAGCTTACCTCGCGTCGTGGCGTAATTAATATGTTCGGGTAAAGTCTACGCTCGGAGAAAAAACAACCCCACCATCTGCTACTTCCGGATCCTGGACTTCGTCATGGCATTCCGGCACGTCGAGGTACTACTGGTACATCCTCCCTACTCGAAGAACCATCGTGTATCGCCTGGGATAGCCTCCGCCCAAATTTCGTATTGACCGACCAAGCTCACATTGTGGCGTTCGTAAGTTCGCAACGAGAACAGTCTCATTCTAGGGTTCATTCTTCACCCACTAGCCATTTCTGGTCTTACACCGGAGGAAATCATACCTGCTCATATCACGGGCAAAAGATGCCGAAGGTAACCTGCCAAGTCGCACTCTATATCTGAACCACGGTCCAGGAAATCGTGCACATGCTCCGGCTGCCTTGGCCTAGGGTCCCAGCTGCTCGACTCTCGTCATCGGTGTCTAAAAATGCCCGTTGTCCCACCCCAATGGTTCGGCCGATCTCCTCGCGTGTAGATTTACCACTTGTCCGAGACTCTGTCTTCCCGTCGTGACGGCCGACTTGAAAAGTTTGTGATAGAATCTCAGGTTATCAGCTCTTCAACCCACGTTGCGAGACCAATTAAATTTCCCGAGTACCGTTAGAACCATGATCGCAATGCTACGAACGCTAGTTTTAGGGCTAGCCGCGGCGCTGATACAAACAGGCAAGTAATCATCCATTTAATCAATCATTCCAGTCACACGAACCGAGGATTCTAACCGCAAGCAGCCGCCGCCGACACCGTCCACGATTCCGAAACAGGGTTGACCTTCTCCTCGGCCTTCCAGCTCTACAAATCCGGCGGCCACGGCATCACATTCCGCGTGGCCATCCCAGACGACGCCCAGAGCAACGCCGCCTACGATGCCGTCGTTCAAGTGATCGCGCCCAGCGACGTGGGCTGGACCGGGCTCGCCTGGGGTGGTTCCATGCCGAAGGACCCGCTGCTGATATCCTGGCAGGGTCCCAGCGGTCCTGTGTTGTCGTCTCGGTGGGCTAGGTACGTTTTTTTCCTCGTCTAAAAAAATAAAAGATACTAGGTAGAGAAAAAGGAATAAAAGGGAAGATGGGAGACCATCACAGTTAACAATCATAACACCAGTGGCCACGTCGCCCCAACCTCCTACACCGGCGCGCAATACACCCTCTTCCGGACAGGCACTAAATCCAACGGCACCCACTGGCAATTCACCGCCCTCTGCAAGGGCTGCACAGCCTGGGACAGCTCGGGCTCAGGCTCAGGGCCGATGCGCTACCTCAACCCGGCGGGCAGCAACCGGCTCGCGTTTGCCTACTCGCCTACAAAGCCCTCTGGCTCGGCAGATGCGAATATTGCGGTGCACGAGGTGCATGCGTATTGGTCGCATGATTTTGCGCAGGCGAGGAATGCGGACTTTGCGGCCACGATCCAGAGGTTGGTGGGGGCGTGAGAAGGTTGGTCATCAACAGAATGATAGGGGACGTGATGGGGTTTGTAAATACCGAGATGGCGTAACATGGGGCAGGTCGGGCCAAGGGATGGAAGCGTTGGGTAATGCCAATAGTTGTAGGCAGATCTTTACACTCATGCATGTTTTGCTAACCTAGTGCCCGGTACGCGGTACGTAAAATATATCATCGTATTATTCGTCTAGAAATTATTCGTATATATCAACTGTAACTATGTGCATGAAGAAAACATCCGTCGTGTTGTGGCCGTGGGAATCCGCACGACTCCCACATCATCCAGGGTCACATATTTAGTCAACTCAAATACCGCGGTGTTGTAGCCTCCATCTCCACCGGCGCCGTGTAGTGGAAGTTGGCCTGTACGTCGTGGTATTTGTACGGAGGCGCTTCGGGGCCGGCGCTGTTGGGGTCGGGATGGTGTTCCGAATGGTGTTCCGGATGGTGTTCAGGATGGTAGTAATTCCCCGTCAGCTCAGCATGCGAGCGTTGGCTGTTCAACTCATACGGCTCGTACTTCTGGGGAACCAGCGAAAGGGCTTCGCTGGCGCGTACGGACGCCCCTTGTTTGAGGGCCTCGGGGGCTTGGTGATGGTGGTAGGGCCCGTCCGTATAAGTCGCCTCGCTCTCGGGGCCCGGACCGTTGTTCCCGGCTGCAGCCTTGGCCCGTCGTCGGATCAACCACCAAACGATGGTCGCACAGAGGGCAATGGCGGCTAGGCCACCGACGACACCGCCCACGATGGGGCCGATGGGCGTGGAGGATGAAGAGTCGGATTCGCTTGTCCCGGTACCGGATGGACCGGCGTTGCCTGAAGAAGTTGCGTTGGGGTCTAGGTTGTATTATGTCAGTCGCCGCATAAGGGTGTTGCAGTCTAATGGGGGGTTACTCTGTGGACGTACCTGTTTGAGAGGTGGATTTGGTGACAAACAATTTCCGCACCTCGTCCGAGGACCAGTCGACCGAGTCAAGCCCCCTGAGTCTGTCAAAAACAAATACTTCTAACAAGAAAACTGAGCAAGGGGGGGGGACACATACCCGTCGTCGTACCACTTCTTGATCTTGGGAGCCCGCACATACGCCTTCGCATTCGCATCATACGCGTGCTTCCACTTCCAGTCGACCATGTCAAACAGCGCGAGACCCTGCGGAGCGGGATCCGCATCTTCCCATCCTGTTTGCGTGCCGCCGATGCTCAGGACCTGCCGGTTGCCGACAGCAAGGCACGAGTGTGACCTCCGGCCTCCGTCAGGAGAGTCGGGTAGCTTGGTCCATACAAACCCGGGCAAGCTGAGAACGTACGCGTCGTTGTGCATGATTTTGTCGCGGTCATTGTATCCACCAAAGAGGAAGCTAGCGAAACGAGAGACAAGTTTGTTAGCCACATCTTTCCATCCATCGCCAAGGTTCAGCCAGCTCCTGCTAGAGGTCCATTTTTGGCTCCCACACTCACATCTCGTAGCCCCCTCCCTTGTTCTGAAACCCAGTCACACAGAACGTCCCGCGCGGGGACGAGGGCACATCGCCCGTCGTAACCTGAGTGTACTTTTGTTTGGTGTCGGGGTCGAAAAAGGTGATGTTGCGAAAGTCTAGCGGCGTGGCATTGACCCAGTCCGAACTATCAATAGGCATCGAAATCCCACCGAACACCATGACCAACCCGTTGGGCCCATAAATGGGAACCCAGTGCGCACTCCCGGCGGTAATGGTGTTGAAAGGGCTCCATTCGGTTGTCCCGTTGTACCACAGCTTCGTGTTCATATCGAATGCGACCATACCGGTAATTACCTGATTCGACGCCCGGTACAGTCTCGTCCAGCCTGATGCGACACCCCCCATGCTGAACCCCGTGGTGTTGGTGCTGACAGAGACGCCGTACTCGTACTCCTCCAACGAGTTGAAGAGCGCCGGGTTTGCCGGGAGTTCCTTCGACCAGGCGCCCCCACCGCTACCATCTGCGGTGAACTTCCACAGCTCGTTGGCCGTCATGTTGGCGCCCCGAATCCATTTGCCGCCCCACACGTAAAAAGTGTCTTTCTCGTGGTCCGTCCAGATTACTTGGTTGGATTTTGATCCCCATGGCCGCAGTATTGGGCGAAGGACGGCGTCGGAGCTGGTCCATGATTTGGAGATGTCGATGGAAATCGTCGAGTTCACTAGACACGCGTGGCGGTTAGAAAATAGTCGGCGGCTGAGGGTCCAGGCAAACGGGCCAGGAAAGTAGCGGAAGGTGTCCTCTCCTACCTGGAACCGAGATCCGGCCGGATTCCGACAGGTTCAACCCGTCGAGAAGCTGGGACATTTCGCCACCGTCGATGTAAACGTAGTCCCCGATAACAGTGGCTGCGCCGAGAGGTAGTTAGAGTCGTCGACCTTGTCTTTTTTCGGCCAGATCAATAGAGAACAAACCGGACACGCCGCCCCTGCGGAGAAATTCTTTGACCGGCGGAACATCTGATATTTCTTCACCAAGCGCGTGCCGGGAGGCCGCGAGCAGAGCCAACAGGCTCGAAGCTGCTCGAGGAGCGCGCATCGCGAGCGAGGATGAATGATGAATGCCCGACAACGATTTCCCAAGTGGTCCCGTTAACCCCTCCCAGCCCAAAAACCGCCGCCGCGGATCCTCTTTTTGTCGTCGCGCTCGCACTCGTACCCGCACTCGTCCTCGTCCTTCCGTGGAGTTCGTTCGTAACGGCGTTCGGAGGGGTTGCCGTCGAGTCGAAAGTCGATACCGGCCGAAGTCCAGGTCCGCAGAGATCAAATGGAACAACAACACCAAGCTTGCAAATCACAAACACAAGACGGAAGAGAAACAAGGGCTTCACCCAAGCGAGGGTGTCCACCACGCTTTTTCGCTATTTGAGGCTCGCCCGCCGCGGACTCTGCTCCGACCGGGGCCCATCAAGCCTAAACCAGGGTGGTTTCCCGATTCGGTATGCCCATCTCACCCATGCATCATCTCACTGGCCACCCGAGGCCGGGAACCCACGGCACTGGCACTGGCGAAGCCGGGATTGGGGGACATCAGACATGTGCGCCGCAGGCCAGCGCAGCACCATGCTGGCTCGAGCATGGCACGACAAACAGGGGGCCGAGCAGGGGTTACAATCCTTCCTCGGACTCTTGCGCACCATTTTTGGTTGAGCTGCATTCACTTGCATTGGGCCTCGGGAGCCCTCCCACGCGGTTCTTTGCGAGCGGGCGAATCGTGTGGGGGGAGGGGGAAGACGAAAGCCTGGTTTGGGAGCTCCACTGCATCGGGAACTCCAGACTCGCTTTGCTGCGAGATCCGCAGGGCTCAAAAACGTGGTCGCCCTTCCATCGTGAGGTTGCGTTGACCATTTGCTCACAAGCGGACAACAGTAGCTGTAGTGTACAGGAAGGGAAAGAACGTTGACCAGGCAAGGCACCTTAACAGAAACTCAGCGGAGCGCCCCTAGGCCGGGTTTGGTGCTTTCCATGCAGGAAGAGAAGGCGCGTTCAGCAGCCCCCTTCCTCTGCCCATTTTAGCGGAAGGCGGTGCTCAGAAAGCGAGCAACTGGGACCTCAGCCAGTGCCAAGCTTCATCCAACCACCGCATCGCGAAAACACGCTCCCGATTGGTGCAATGACGGCTCAACGCAGTCGCGATTCCTGTAGGGCTGGGCCACCCCTGGTTTCCTGTAAGCGGGATCCCGCAATGCGAGAGACGCACTTGAGACGGGAGCATCCGGAACTCCGTCTCCGGCTCCGCCCCCAACAGCTCCCTGCGTCAGGTTAATGGATGACAGGAGAACGAGTCCTCGGTTAAGGCGGGGGATTGGTCGGGCTCGCAACAGGCGGAGTTACACAAGTCGCATCTCCATTTCAGGTGCGCCTCGCGCCGTTCGATGGCGATGTTGACCCTCGATGCCCTCCTTGAGCCTCACACGGTTCGATGGCCCTATTACACTACACCTGGAATTGTTGCTGACAGAGGCCCCCCAACCTCCGCCATCTGGGCTCAGACCCAAGTGCCAACAGCTGTGATGAGATCCCGAGATAACGCTAGAGGCCAAGAGATCAATATACATAACTGCTTTTATAAAGTGCTGTTTACCTACAACTATGAATTATGGCCGTTGGACTTCCAACAGATCTGCTCTTCGACTCCTCGATCGGTCACTTCGCTTTACATTATCTCCATTTCCGTAAGCCGTCCCGCTCTATTTCCATTCATTGCCCAACTCCCCAGGTAAACCATTTGTCAGTAAACCGCCGTGCAAGACACAGCCATGTATCCGGCAATCGCGAGACTACACTATGATTGTTCTTAGCTTTATATATTTATGGAAAAACGGTACACGCTATAGGGGAACCCGGTTTTTTTCGGGCATGCTTACAGGGTGCCATCGTTTCCACGACGAATTCGTTATATCGTAGGCGGAGGATGACGCGCTTCGGTTTGCGGTCCGCTACTAGGACTCTGGGTCCCGACATGTTGATGCTGTAGACAATAATGGGGAAGCAAGACGGAGAGGGAGGTTCGGCCAAAGTCAGGCCCGCATATGATGCTATTCACACAGATCAAGCGGGAGGAGACGTGATCCTCCACGATCACTGGAGATTCAAGACCATAACACGCCAGGGCTATGCCCATCATACCAGGGACTCTCACCCCCAAGCTCTGAGCATTCGCAGTAAACAACGCATCCCAGCTTTTCGTAGCACATTCCCAGGGCCAGGTGGTTTTGGGGATGTAACGGGTTTTGATGACTTCTCCCGGGAGAAGCAGTTGGAGGACGATGGATCTGTATGTAGCCTTTATTTGTCAAATCTGTAATCTATGTGGGAAGTTTTCGACCCTGCTTGGATCGAGGACAGTCAGATTGGGAGAAACCCCAAACCTCATCTTTTAGTTGAGTTCGTCCGAGTCTGATTAATTAGTTGGAAACACAGCCCTCTATTTCTCACGAAGCAACAATGCCCAAGCCTTCACCTCATGGTAGTCAGCCCATCGATTTGTTTAACCGGTAATTACAACCTATTTCTCCGTTCTAGCAGCGGCATTTCGTTGTTCTTGACAAAAGTTGTCGTGGTTTGGTCAATAACTACTTGATGCATGCTGAGTTTGTTAATTGTAGTCAACTAAACAATATCATGTCTGGATATGACTAAGGTTCAACAAAGAACTGGAGCCGGACTTGCAATAAACAAAAGTATTAGATTCTACAGTCTATGGCGAGATAATTCTTGCCGCCCAACCAGTTAAATGTGTGATTAAATGTGTGATTACATTAGCATTAGGGATCCTAAACTTGAAACTAAGAACTAAGTTCGCAATGCGGAACCATGAGGGACATCCAGCATACCCGAGACTTTTTCTTTCTTGTTGTTGTTTCTTCTACTTGGGAAGAAGTGTTGAAGCCGTTAATTATGTTTCGGTGTTCAATTTCATGTAGTATCTCGGGTTCTCTCTGTGCATCCACAAAGGCCCAGTTTCTTGCGGTAAACAAGGAGTTAGCCTCTCATACGCTGTTCTTTAATTATGTATTAATTGTACTGGAACTGAAGTCGTATGGTCGATGTACTCACGAATCCAGAATACTTTGTTCGCTCTAGTCATCCAACAACCCCCCACCCCGGTGATAACGCTGCCCTAGACCAAACAAAGATGCCGTCGACAATGTCGTCGGCCCAGGCCATGAACCGTGAACACTCCACGGCGGGGGTGTTCGCCGACTGAGTGACGAGAACACCCGGCGACTAAGCGACGGCGAGGTCTTCACACAAAACGCAAAATGATGAACCTTCCTTTCCTATTTCTCGAACGCTACACTTCACGTCACACCCCGTCGCCTTGACTTCACGCGCAGACAACCTTCACAACCGACGCCATGAGTGCCCCCTCGCGCCTCCTAGGCCAAAAAGCCCAACGTCAAGAGAACGGCCACGGCCCGGGTGTCAAAACTCTCAAGACCAACCCGCCCAAGAAACCCTCGACTGGCGACGGGCAATCCCCCGACGCCACGGGCCCGCCGCCCCTCAAAACGGCCACCAACTTTGTCCTCGCCGCGGCTCAGCTCGCCTCCCAGAAGGCCACCACCGCAACGCGAGCAGCAGCCACCGCTGCGGCCGACGCCCTCCCGCACATCCCAGGCACGGCCTTGGTCCCGCCGCAAGATCCCGTCCGAAAACAGCAGTACCTGAACCTGCCCAGCGTTGTAGACCACATCCCTGGCCTTGCCACGCCCTCCGAGACGCAGTTCATCGCCAGCAGCATCGACAGCCGCTGCCAGAGTCGTAGTACCAGTCGAAGTGGCAGCCCTGGTTTCAACCCTAACCCTAGGGTCAAGCGAGCGACAGACAAGTTTGGAGAGATCACGACACAAGATTTGAGCAAGAAGGACCAGGGGGAGCAGCGGGAGCGGGAGGAGGCCAGAGATGGGAGTGGCTTTTCCAGTGCTGCTTCACAGAGTAAGCTGGGAGATGCGAGTGGGAGAGAGGACATGTAGTCACTTGAAGAAGACATGTTTTGGGCATTGACGATTGTCAACCCAAATTACATCGATGTTTATTGTATTTTGCTCGTTTATCAATAGCCATTACACAATTAATTCATCGAAACAAGGAATCAATGATGTTGTCGAGAGTGAATTTCGAAATTTGACTGGTGATGATGCGCTGGTTGTGTAGCGCATCAGGCTCAACGCCAACGAAATTTGTTGAAAAGAACAGAACCTGGAATCCGAGGGGGGGGGGGGGAGGGGGG